TAGTGGGAGTCGCAGGAGCAATTATGCTAAAGTTTAAATTATCGGATAAGCTAAAGAGATGCTTTCCGTTGTTATTTGGGATGCTGTGGATGTCCCATAAACCGTGTTTGCAGTTTAGATCTCCTGCAATTATCACGGAAGGGCCTAAGTTGAGTAGCGTATCTAGGTCGCTTTGTAATAAGGTTTTGTTCCCCGAGAGGTAGGCTGAGACTAGTACAAGCGGCCTATGGCCGGTGAGCGCTAACCTACACGCGGATGCCTCTATATGGCTTAGCTCTGGAATGTCGAGCGGGCTACAGTGCAAGGACCGTTTGTAATAAATTAAGGTGCCTTCCAGATGGTTTGCTAACCGGTCGTGGCGGACTATGTTGTAGTTTGCGATTCTGGGATCGCGTACACTAGGTTTTAAGAATGTCTCTTGCACTAGAAAAATATCTACGTTATAATTGCGAAGGAATTCCGCGATTTCGTCCCTTTGACCCTTTATGCCGTTTGCGTTGAAATACGAAACAACCAGAGCCCGAGGTTTTGTTCTACCTGCGGTTGTACTTCCCATTAAAGTTTTTTATGAGTTCTAACTAACGACGCGGCGGAGCGCGGTTTTATTGCGCGGGCTATTAAGTTTATGGTTGGCTTGTAAATGCCCAGAGGGCTTCTACAAGCATTTTATGTTCGCTAATGGCTTTAAATCGCGGGTTGCCAGATGTGGCGGCCGCTATTTTAGCGGACAATACGGCGAGTTCTTGTCTATTAATGCGGTCTAATAAGGCGCACATGTTGGCAATTTGGGCGAACGGGTCGTCCTTGTTTTCGGCGAAAACCGACGGTGTCGACTGCACCTGCGGCGTCGGCGCCGTTTGATAGGCGGGCTGCGATAGAGTGATTGGTCGTGAGGCGACCGGGGGCGCAACTACCTGCGCGGCCACCTGGGGTTTCGCCCAGGCGTTTACGACGGGTATGGGCGCGGGAACGTATTTCACGGTCGCGGGTTTGGGCAAAGTAGATTTCGCGGGAGCTTTTCTCGCGGGAGTTTTTGGGGCCTTAGCGCAGCCCCTGTAGCTAGCCGGGAGGCCGGTGGTATGACAATTAACGCAGTCCGGTGGATCTGCGCAATCTTTTGGCCGCGTACAATCGGGCGTGCCGTGGTCACCGGTGCATTTGACGCACCTAGGGTGAGCGAAACAATTATTAGCCGTGTGGCCATAGTGTTGGCAGTTGTGGCGCAGTGCCACAACTCCCGATCTTCGCGGGGGCTCGATCACGAGGTCGCTGAGCCCACAGACCCTCTTCAGGTTGAAGATGGCCTTACCTTCCGGGGTAGGGTCAAGTTCAACCATCACCATGTCCATAGGGACACGGGTTCTGGGGTGTCTGAGGCGTCGGACGGCATGCACAGGGTATCCCTGAGTGCGGATGTCGGTTTTCGCCTTGTCGACGTCCGACTCTTTGGGGACGCCCTTGATAACTACCCGAAGCTTGCGTTCTTCGGGCAAAGAGTAGGTAGTGAAAACCTATCTTATTTTCGCGCAAGTATTTCGTTACGCGGCGGAAATCGTCCGTTGTGTCAAGGTATACGCGGATACCCATTTGTGTATTTTTCGACCGGGGGTCGCGGATATTGTGGCGATCAAACCACGAAGAAATTTGGTGCCTTTAGCCTTCTCCTGAATGATGATGGGTGGAGGAGGCTTTATTTTTCGCTCGGAGGCGAATTCGGGCATCGGTTTAGCCGCCGCAGCCGCCTTTTTGGCGGACGTCGCGGTGGGTTGATTAGTTGAAGCGGCCTCGCATTCGGGGTCGCTGTCGGCAGCGGGGCGTTTTTTGCCCTTCTTACGCGACTTTACGACGATGAAGCCGGCGACGTTCGCGTTTTCAGCGGGGGTCGTTTCGACCTCCATGTCCGATCCGCCGTCCGATTGTGAGTCGGGAACGACGGCGCGGAAGGGGGCCGAGATGGGATGCGCGGAAGGCGCGATGGGTACGATCGCGGCGGCGGAGGTCGACGCGACGGGTATTTCTTGTGTCGCTGAAGGCGACGCATTAACGGGCGCTGAGGGCGCCGGAGATGACGGCGAGGCGACTTCCGGTGAAGCCGGGCTGTCGCTGGCGAACTCGACGACTAAACATTTTTCTTTCGCGAACGCGAGAAAGTTTGCCCACACTTCGGGACATCGTTGGCGAAGGAATTCCTCTAGGAGGGAACCCATTTCGAGCGCTTGAACCTTTGGGGCTTGCGCCCCGCCGGCGTGTAAGTTACTAAATAGGCCTCCCCACCTTGCGGCAGGGAGGTGTGTGCCTAAAACTAACAACTAATCCGCCTGCGCTTTAAGTGCGCTAGGGTGGGTACCTGGCTGTCGCCTATCGCAACAAGCACACAGTTATTAAATAAAAACAATGCCGCCTCTGAGGCGAGAAGTGTGTATAGAATTCTACTTACAGAACAGGAACCTGCCTACGAGCACAACACTAACACTAAACTACTGCACTGCTTGCACAAAGATTTAAATTGCAACCGAAGTTGCGAGTAGCGTCTAATTCGGGTGGCATTAGCCCTCCGTCTTAGAGAGAGTTCCGTTCCGTACGAGAGCACGAAGCGGAATGTGACAGATTTTACGTTCTGGCTCGTGAGTGTACTCTGTCCGAGGGAGAAAATCCGCCTTAACATATACAACAAACAGTATTCCATGCGCAAACAAAATCCAAAGCCTTAGCCATATTTTGATTTAATATAACTGGTCAAATGTGTTTAAGCAGTTATATGGTCAACTGTAAACCAAACTTAGTTATAGAAATTATATAGGTTAATGTAACGTTCATTAAACTAATTTGGGCAATCTTTCACTTTTCGGTGTCAATTAAGCTGTTGAACGATACAACGGATCAAGATTGGTAGAAGCAATATGTCCGTTGTTTCCTATCTGGGTTTTAATATATGGAAGGGCGGTATGTTTTAAAATTCATTCGTTGAAGTTATACTTTTTTTTAGGTGCGTTATGAAAAATGAATAAAATTTTAAGATGCACGCCCATCGCTATAACACAAAGGTCACACACACTTTTAAAGCTGCCCGCTAAACCACTTATTTTTCTATAGATGGCAGCATATTTTCAATCACATTCACCCTTTACAGTTCTCAATAAAGAATGTAGATGCCGCTTTCATAATTTTATTATTTATATCCTTTTCCAGTCTTTTTATTATTTCATTGTAATTAATTATTTGCACGCAATTTAAAACTATTTTTAATGATGACCAAAGAATTATAACTTCTCACGCGCGCACCCATTTTTCTTTTTTGGAAAAGGGCAAACGAGCAGAAGTCTCACATGATAAGTGATGATAAGAGATTACCGCCGCCCATGAACATCTACAACGCCGGAGGACTTGCAAATGCGTTGAGTGAATACCAACTTTCAATTTATATATTTTATATATTTGTAAGCCATGACCTTCGTACTTTGTGCTATAAAAAATACACGGCCATTCAAATCAGCGACCCGAGTATTTAATTTGAATGAGAAAGAAACCTTCTATTTCGATTGAATGGAAGTTCAGGACATACCATGTGCAGGATTAAGAAAAACGCTGAGTATGGCCCCAAAAATATATATATTGATGTCTTAACAGAAACGCTATAATTAAATTTATATTATATAAATTACATTTAGACATTAACAATAAACTTATTTATCTAAAATTATCATCTAAGCCGTAAGATTTGTTGCCTGAAACAGAAAATAAAATCTATTAATTTACATTTGAAATTTTAAAGTATTATAAACGAAATATTCTACTTATCCTGTACAAAGGTCACCGTATCGTATTATCGTCAGTGTTTTGATTACAGATATCTGAGATATCTCCAATACATTACTCAAGAGTTTTAGCACCCTTGCGTATTACTGCCAACCTCTTTATGAGAAAATCTTGCATTGGATTGTACGCTGTATGTGAGCAGACGCGTTTTCTTGGATTCCTATCGACTCAATGCAACAATAAGAGAACGCGAATTTTTAAGTTTAATGTGAAAAATTTTACTAGACTTTAAAAAAACATCAGACGAATATGATTGCGCCAAGTATTGCTTAAAATGCGAAAGAACAATGTAGACAATATACGTTGCAATTTTCGTCTTTGTGGCCAGAAGTTTTAACTTAGTGGTTAAAACGTCTGGGCGCGAAACCGGACGACATGGGTTCGATACCCGCAGCGGCGAAAGACTTTTCAATTTCATGCATTTTTTCTGCAAATCTTAATGGGCTGTTACAACGTTAACTCTTGCCGTGAACACTTTTTTTATGTAAGAAGGCGGCAAGCGAACTGGCGGTTCAAGTAAAGTTAAGTGATAGCCGCCGCCCGTGGACATTTGCAGTACTCGTAGGTTTGCAGATACGTTGCCACCTTTTAATAAAGTGGGCCCCGGCTACCTCATTCACCAGACGAAACGCAGAAGTACACCTACACACCTGCCTATCATAATTTGTTTCTAATCTTATGTCAGGGTTTGCTGGAAGAAACTCTTTTTAGGGCTATGGTCGCCTTTGTACAATATTTGTTTTTTGTAATTTTGTTTTCTCTTATACTCTGTGTACAATAAAGAATAAAAACCTCACTTCACGCCGGTTACCCGGACGGACCTGCCCATTCGTGCAACAGCCGAAGTTGTTGCGTTGCCCTACCACAGTTAGACACTACCAATAGTATTAGTATTTATAGTATTAGTATTTATAGTATTAGTATTAAAAGAAACATTGCCCTTACTTTAGGATAACATTATCCTGTGTTGTAAGGGCGTTTTTACAAACATAAATTTCACATGGACAAACACCCAGATTAGGAACAATTATCTGTGGGTCACACAAATAGTTGTCCCGTGTGGTAATCGAACCCACGACCCTCGACGCCGAAGCCAATACGTTGGCAACTACGCCACGGAGTCATCAAATAAACATTACTCACGTCTTTGTATTAGATATGTAATCCGTTCAGTGCCTTGCCTAGACCTCGCCAGCAGACACGGCCAGCGATTTCTTGTAGGAGCCAGCGAGAGAGCGCGCCGCTAGAGACAAGATCTCCCTCCTGCCCACTCCAGTCAGTGCGTCCTGCCATTCCGTCTGTGGCACCTTTGAGAAATGGGAACGTTTATCCATAGTGCTCACAACGGAGTGAGGCGAGTGAATAATTAGAAGAAACGGTGGAATAGAATAAATCTAAATTTTCTTTGATGACTCCGTGGTACAGTTGCCAAAAGGTATTGAAGGCTTCGGCGTCGGGGGTCGTGGGTTCAAATCCCACACGGCACAACTCCCCCGTTGTTATGTTACAGTGGGCCCTGGCCACCGCACCAGACGAAACGCAGAAGTATAACACTTCCACTTCACACCGGTCTTCTGTGAATTCGTGGTACGTCCCGGACGGACCTGCTCATTAGTGCAACAGCGGACTGTTGCATGGCCCTACCACGGTTAAGCTTTACTTCACACCGTTCTTTTCAAAGTCGACCTAGTCCCTTCCCCCTTCTTGTCCAGTCACGGTACAATTACTGCAGGGTAAAGTAAGATCTATTGTCATAATCGTAACTAAAAAGGTCAATGAAGGAGTGTGAGTGCTGAGTGTGAGAGATCCGCCTGTTAGCTTGCCAAATTTTAACATAAAAAAAACGTTGTACTTATGTACGCACTCAAGAAGTTATACTTCTTAAGAGTAACAAAAGAAAAATAAATAAAATTTTATCCCGCGTCAAAACTTACGTAAAATGAATTTGATGACGTTTTAATTGAACTAGTTGGAATCATAGGTTAAGTGACAAAATAAAGTCGACGTCGCTTTCAGGTGTTGCACATCGTAATAATTGACTCGTCATCACTTTTCCCAAACGCGCACGATTCAAAAAAATCTCTGCGGTATATCCGTCCCACCTGCAGACTGGCGGCCATGACGGACTCTAGGGTCACCGCAAAGCCTGTGTCCCGGTGCACGTAGGAGCCGGGCGTGGCAGCCCTGAGCGCCGCCAGGGCTGCCACCGCCACCGGCGTGCCTTGCCCGCACACCTGCAGCTCGACGCCGATGGACGGCTGCGAGAGAACCACCACCGACATCTCGTACCACCTGCGGCAACCAATGTCGGCCATTACTCGCCCCCGTTTTAGCATCTGGAACACGTTGTGTGTGGCTTACTACATAAAAAGTTTTTAGTAAGGGACACCGTAAAAAAAATGAACATAATTATCGTAAACGTAAAATTTAATGCAACCTGCCTTCAATGCACTTTAAAAACATTTTTAGGAGTGATCCAATTAAGGACGCGTTTACGAATTCACGCGCTTCAATTTTAGGTACAGAGGCGTACTACTACACGTGCACGGCTCACGCACACAGCGACAAGCGCGAAGCAGCGAAACTTTATGTAACTGACGCAACTTGATACTTTTATTTAATTTAAAGTCATTTATTTTTTAAAGCTTACGTTAAATTTGTTTTCAACAAGTTTTTAAACTGAATATTTTTTTATATATTTAGGTATAATTTATTAAATTTCATTTAAAAGCTCGTAGCTGTTGATAATTTGCGTTTTAATTAATTATGTATATAATTTAATTTTATGTTTTAATTAATTTTTATGAAGTAAACGAAGCTTGTTTTATACATGTTTGATTATGCGTGCGGTAGGTAGATAGCTTGATAGGTAGGTAATGGTAGGGTACGTAGGAAGGTAGCTATGTAGGCAGATAATTAGGTAAAACCCGCTAACGAATTGAGTAAAATACTTTGTATGGTATTCTGAATGCATTTTGCTAATTCAATAATATTCATGCTAAATGTTAAAAAAAATAATTTTCTGTAAATGAATTGGAAATAGCATGGCGTACGAAGCCGGGCTAGTATCTAGAAACTAAAAATGAAATAATAAAACGAAGGAAACAAACTAGTAAAAATTAAAAAAACATTTTTATAAAAAAAAAACCTGTCGCACTCGGCTCAGCTGGGGTAAAGCTACAGCATAGCATTTTTTATCAACTTATGCGATTATAATTATTTAATTATGCAGTATTTTTTTCTTTGATATTTATATTTATGTTAATAAATAATAATATTTTAATAATATAATAATTAATATATATTATAATTAATAATATATAGTTAATTTATATTATTTACAAAAATGATAAGAACTACTAAGTCAGTCACTAAGCTCTGGATAGTTAAATTACAATATACTAACATTTTTAAACTTGTGATATCTTTCGAATGGAATGTCCGAATTTAATCATTCAAAAAGTTATATAAAGATATTGAAACAGTCTTAAATATAAAGTAATTTATTTTTATAAGAATTAATACCAAGATACAAATAAAGAGCCTTTTCTAGCGGCGGCATTTCAATCAAAATTTTAAAGTAAAAGAATACTTATTGTGGCATAACTATAATAGTTAGACATATACTGTCGCAACACTTTTTATAAATAATGATGTGTTCTGCAAATTCGTAGTACATTATTTTATACAATTATCAATAGTTTTAGCAGCGCACGCGATGCAAACAATATTTTAGGTAATTTTTGTACACTTTGGTTTACATTATCAAGTTTTAGTAAGGATTCCTAGTTTTTTGAAAATTTTATATATATCCTATGTCATCCGGGGATAATGTAGCTTCGAGACAGTGAAAGAAATTTTCAAATCTGTTCAGTGGTTTAGGAGCCTATTCAATGCATAAAAACAATCAAATCTTTCCTCTTGCGTGGTAGGCGGAGTGGGTGGTGTTAGGTTTTATTTTCGTTACGGAATTTATTGATTCGTTCGCCGCGCTCAAAGCCCGCGATAAAAGCTGTGCAAAACTGTCGCTATGTCGATCCTGGGTGGAGCAAGCCCGCGAGGCCAATTTATACCTCCGACACGAGGTTCTGGCTCCGCCTTTTGATGTTCACTCTAGGGATAGGGAAGACCACACGGAGTCGGGGTGCTCTGTGTCGGATCTTTGTGATTTTTCTTTATAGTTCTCTATCATTTAATTATTTTTGTTATCTATATAGAAGTAGTAGCCTGCTAAAATTTTATCGTTTTAGGCTTTGGCATCTGAAACAACAATTGAGTTATAAGAGGTATAAATGTTGTATGTGATAACTGTGCCATAAAAATAAGTCTTTGATAATTTAAGTTGAGACCCACTACATTTTTACATAACTATTTTTTTTTTCGTGTTTTGCCTATTTTAAAGACGTTCTTACTTATTTTAAATTAAGTATTATTTTAGGCAGAATCCATGATCATAAAAGTTGATCAGTGCGAAACACGACAAAACAATAAACGATAAATGGGGTCATAAACATGAAACAAAAAGTTTGCCACATAGCTGTCGTTCGAAACTTTTGAAGTACATGTTTATTACACCTATTCATTGAAACATACAAAAAAATGACCTTTTAGACATGCCTAATCTTACAATTTGCAAGTGTGCAAATTTGTTTTGTATTACTTGTATTTTTAATTATCCATACAACTTTTCTACATGTGGTGTACTTTTGGCCAACATTTGGCTGCATGGAAATAAGAATTTATAATAAAATACCAGATAGGTTCATAGGCCTGCCGGAGTATTTAAATTTAAACGAAAATTCTAAAATCTGTACACTGTCAAATTAGACATTTAAAATATTTAATCATGTCTAAGTAATGTAGAATGTTTATATTAAAAATTCATTACTTTGACTTGTGATTTACTTTGACTTATATTTATACTCTATTGACTCATAATTATAATCTAAATTTCAATTTTTTTTTTATATTAACATGTTTCACAAATATTTATACACAGAATTGATGTAGAATACGTAGTTCCATATTTTAAATAACTTTTTTACTGTATTCTTACACCTTCATGCCAATACATCAATTTCAAAGGTAAGGTCTCAAAAAAACTAACAAAACAAGCCCAAACTCGACACACATAGCTCATCTCGTCTGTTAGTTCCAGTAGCAGTTCTCGAAGTACACCTTCAGGTCACTCCATCTAGTCAGAAGGCAAGGTCTCACCATACCTAACAAAACAAGCCCAAACTCGACACACATAGCTCATCTCGTCCGTTAGTTCCAGTAGCAGTTCTCAAAGTACACCTTCAGGTCACTCCATCTAGTCAGAAGGCAAGGTCTCACCATACCTAACAAAACAAGCCCAAACTCGACACACATAACTCATCTCGTCTGTTAGTTCCAGTAGCAGTTCTCGAAGTACACCTTCAGGTCACTCCAACAAATCAGAAGGCAAGGTCTCACCATACCTAACAAAACAAGCCCAAACTCGACACACATAGCTCATCTCGTCCGTTAGTTCCAGTAGCAGTTCTCAAAGTACACCTTCAGGTCACTCCATCTAGTCAGAAGGCAAGGTCTCACCATACCTAACAAAACAAGCCCAAACTCGACACACATAACTCATCTCGTCCGTTAGTTCCAGTAGCAGTTCTCGAAGTACACCTTCAGGTCACTCCATCTAGTCAGAAGGCAAGATCTCACCATACCTAACAAAACAAGCCCAAACTCGATACACATAACTCATCTCGTCTATTAGTTCCAGTAGCAGTTCTCGCAGTACACCATCAGGTCACTCCAACAAATCAGAAGGCAAGGTCTCACCATACCTAACAAAACAAGCCCAAACTCGACACACATAGCTCATCTCGTCCGTTAGTTCCAGTAGCAGTTCTCGAAGTACACCTTCAGGTCACTCCATCAAGTCCGTAACGAAATATGAATTTTTAACCCCTACTAATTTCTAGTAAAAATATGACAAAGTGTGAATTATAGTTTACTTTTGTCGTTCGTAGTCCGAAGTCCGAACATGATGTGTAAAGTATCAACTTTGTTACGACAAATATTTTGTATTCGTACAGCGATCTTTTTCCTCACGAGCTGCTGTTTATAAGCGACATAGTGACCACTCATGACGGCAGCCGAGCGCCGACTAATATTTCTTTAAATATTTTTGTGGGATAAATCAAAAAAGTGACCAGTAAAATAACCTTTATGTCAATCACTTAAGATTCACGCGTAAGATATAAATGTGAAAGAAATAGATTTTAATCTTTATTTTTTTCTGAAACTAATTTCAACAATTTTGATACGTAATGTAGCTACCTTTTTGAGTTGAACATGTGTGCTTACATAAAATATTTTTAAATAAAAAAAATATGTTATTAAATAAGAGAAAAATGTTCCTAAACCCAACAGGATATCGTCCATTTTGAGTGAAGTGGTCACGAAAATTCTCATTTACAATATTATAAACCAAAATTTTCGATTAAAAACTATCTACCATTTGAAGATGAAGGAGGGATCTATATGTGATAATTATTACTTACATTATATTCGTTTCGTTTTGCCGCAAAATGTACCTGAAAACGCCCTATTTTTGCAGATTCCGCGAGATTTTGCAAACACGCCCTTAACACGGGTTAACAACGTACGGACGAGGCTAGTGTGAAATATGCAAAAAGTATTTCACTATTTGTACCTTAAAATACACATGTTAGACATCACAAATGCGAACACTTTGTTAATTGCAGCACCAAACGAAGAATAATAAAAAAATACACAATTTTAGACAGTGATCATTACGAAAAATTACTAACCTTACAGATATGCACAATAAGATTGTAATCACACGCTTCTTTTGGCAACGGCACCAACAAAGAAAAAGTTGACTACATAAAAAATAATAGTGTCAAATTAAAACTGAACATACACGGCCGTCAGGGGCCAGGCCGTCCAGTATAAACTGACCTGTCGCTGACGGCCTCGTGCAGGAAGCCCTCGATGGCGACCACCGGCACGTTGTTGGTGACCTCCGCGCAAGTGGAGCGCACGTGGGCGACTCGCTGCTTCGCCGCCGCGTAGGCAGCCGCGTAGCCCACCGGCTGGGCGGCGGTCACCTCGCTCCGTGCCGAATGGCCCCTGCGCGAAAACAGACAGTGTTGTCACCATGAAGGTTCAATGACCCCCGCACGAAAACTATAGAAACATTACACAGGGGGCGTCCATTAATCACGTGAGGCTCGATGTATATGAAGCTTTCATTTCTCCGCCCAACACTTGATGGCGCTGCGATCTATATAGAGCACGCTATCGTATGTCACTTGGGAGGAAATAAGGTCACCAAAAATTTTAGATCAATATAACCAGCAACAGATCAGTACACAGTGTAGTTTTATTTATAAACTTCCTAGTGTGCACAACCATTGTTTGAAAGGCTACTTCGGTCTTTAACACTCGAAAGAGGGGTTTCACGAAATATTACAAGGGGGGAGAGGGATGTATTAAAATATCACGTGTATTTATTTTTTCGTCAAACGTGCGATCTTGTAACTGAAAAGCAGCGTGACCTTGACTCGTCGTTACATTTTTATTATGGTCCTTAACTTCAGAATAAAAACTGGATTGTGTTTTATACCTGTATTTAAACATAATATTCTAAAACGTTTTAATATTCTTTGTAGGTACAAAAAAATTCACGTCATTTTGGGTGGGGGTGAGGGGGTAGTCTTAAACCTCACCACGTATCACCAAGGGGGAGAAGGGGGGCTAAAATGCTAAAAAAACATATGTGATTATTGGACGGCCCCATAGATAGTGTAGTATTGAGATCACAACAGTTCAACGGTAAAGATAAATTACCGTTGAACTGATGTGGGTTCAGCTGTAAAGAAAAACCCCGGTTCAACTGCGAAGTAAAACCAGGTTCAACTGCGAAGTAAAACCACGGTTCAAATGCGAAGTAAAACCACACAACTGTGATGTAAAACCATGGTTCAACTGTGAAGAAAAACCCCGATTCAGATGTAAAGAAAAAATCACAGACATAACTATTGGTGTAACCCGTAGTGTGTTTCGATTCACGCAGAGCCGAAGCCAATACCTTGGCAACTGCGCCCTGAAGTCATCTAAAGACGTTTATAGCTGTCGTAATTTTCGCACATCCTAGGTAGAACTAATTGGATAATAAAGTAAAGATAAAAATTAAGTCTTTCGTTACGTAATAATAATCTATATGATATAACTTACAGTACTGTTGCTTTTCCGAAGACCGTTTGAAATGCCTCCCTGATGGCGGACACTTTATCTTCTTCTTCACATGCCACAACTATGTACAAGTCCCCACCGCTCTCTGAAAAATATTGATATTTTTTTTTTTTTATGCGAAAAGTTGTCAAACGAGCTGACGGTTCACCTGATGTTAAGTGAATACCGCCGCCCATGGACATCTGCTACACCCGAGGGTTACAGAAGCGTTGACAACCTTTTGAAAATTGGGCTCCGGCTACCTCACTCACCAGACGAAACGCGAAAGTATTTGTCATACTTCCGCTTTACGCTGGTCTTCTGTGAGGTCGTGGTACTTACCCGGACGGGCCTGCCCATTCGTGCAACAGCCGAGGCTGCTGCGTGGCCCTACCACCGTAAAAAAATTACATGTTTTAAAGACTACTAATAAGATATATTTTTTAATTTATTTATATTATACAGCGTGTCGTTACAACCGCGACAATAAATGAACACACGTCTAAGGCTACTTGCCAATAAAAAAAATATATATAAACGTTTAAAATCTATAACTAAAAATAAATATTTTTCAAACTAATTAAATAAAAAAGAAATAAAATTTGCAACACCTATACAACTACAACTGACTGGTTCATACATTCAGAAACTTTTTTATTTGTTGCCACAGCGTCGCATTAATAATCTCTCCTTCTAACAGTATGTTTATCTCTTTTAAATTCATTTAACCCATTCATATGCTTTGTGACCTTTATAAATAAAATTTACTTTACAGTTTTATACTTAAGGGTGTTCTAAAATTGTTTGTTTTGTAAAATTTTATAACTCGGTAAATATTGATGTTTAAATAATGTGAATGTTTAATACAATTTCAAAAAGTTATCCTTTATATGTGTGTTCATTTATTGTCGCGGTTGTAACGACACGATGTATACATATCTAAGTGTATAGTCAATCAGTATAGGCAAGAAAAGGATTATATATATCCAATTCGCTCAACAAGAAAGCCAAGTCTTGTAATTCCTAGAGTAAAAAATGTATATAGTAAGCGGGAACGACGCTGGATTGCACCGGTCCTAATTAATGAATTACCACGTAAAACTTATTTAGAAGCAAAAAATAAAAATGAGCTGAAAAACAAATTAATAAAACATTACCTATCCCTATGTCCGTAATTACTCAACTCTTTAGTGTCACACACAAGTACACACACACATATACATACACGCACAAACATAATAACACAACACACACGGAACCAAGTAAATTGATATTTATTTTATTTTATTCTAACATACTATAAATTGATAAACTTATATATTATAGGTACTTATAATTAAAAAATTGTATTTAGATGTATATACATTTCATACATAGACATATTTATTATATATATATATATATATATATATATATATATATATATCCCACATATATATATATATATATATATATATATGTGTGTGGGACCATAAACGATGGAAAGATTTCTAAATGTTCGAAAATTTTTAAATCAAATTAGTCGCGGTAAAATCCGTACAATAGTTTCGTTATACTATGTATAAAATTCATATAAAAACAAGAAATCTAAAAGAATGACATTTTAGGATTAATATTTATTCTTAGCGCTAGTCTCTGCACTCAAAATGAAACTTTTAACTTTATTTTCGAATCCCGCAGCGCCAAAATTTTTAGTTTATTTGTCTAAAATTTCGATCAAACATACTTAAGTACTCCTTCATTTGTGGATCCAGAGTGGTGATCATGGAATCCACAGAGTTCTTAGCCTTTTCTGCCACACGTTGTAAGATGCCGCCCGTCGAAACCGCGCCCTTCATCCATGTGATAAGACCACTGCCTGGCATCACATCACCTGTAAGTATTTTCATTTCCATAATTTCTTTATCATATTTAGTGAAAAACATGAAGGTCATGAAAATACATCAACGAGTTTTAAATTTTACGAATGTCTTATATGCATAAATAACAGTACCTGGAGGACCGAGCTTTGCTCGGTTTGTTTTTTTTGGTAAATCGTGTATTTTGGAAATTACAATTAGATGCAAATTACTGAGTAATGAAATATGCATAATATTTTTCGATATTACCGACGTAATAATAATAAAATATGAACTGTTGTTTTTCACAAAAGAAAGAACTTTAAAAAAATGGAAAAAAAGAACAAAATCATCTGGATCGACAAAAAATAAAAAAAAAAGAAAGCAATGATCAGGAATCGAAAAAAAAGTTAAAAAAAAAAACATGTGTAAATGAGCGTGACACGAACCACGGCCTTCTGTTTCGGGGCTGCACGATTACCGACCGAGCTATTATAACATTTTTTTTTCCGGCGAAATTTACCGTCGTATTCGAATGATATTTTTCATTCCCTGAAAACAGCGATAAAAGGACATTTTCTAAAAATGAAACCTAGCTAGATCGATTTTTCGCCCCCGAATCTACGCACATACTAAATTTCATGAAAATCGCTGGAGCCGTTTCCGAGATTCCGATTATATATATATATATATATGTACAAGAATTGCTCGTTTAAAGGATAAGATTATGCATAATAAATGTAAATACATGTATAAGTATGTACATATGTGTTATCATAATTATTTGGAGCTAAATAAGCTCAGCACTTTTTACAATATCTGAAAGGGAAATCATTTCACTTACCTTTGTGCAAAGTATTTTTTACTAGAAAGTGTTGTTTTACATCGTGTAAAGTTTTTGTCATGAAATAAAATCAGTATGATGTCTATCAAAATTACGTTAGCTTCCTATGGATGAAACAAAGGGTGTGTTACCTACTTGCTTTATATATATGACCAAAAATGTGTATTAAAATGATGGAAGTTTTAGTAACATACCAATTCTGTCAATTTCTGGAGATGCAGGTAAAGATTCAGAAGTCTGTGATGCTTGAGAGTCCTCTGGAGGTCTTATTGGTAACATTGGTTCTCCTTTGCTGGGTGGAATTGCAGGACTGAAAATATTACATATTAGGTCTTGTGGAGTTTGTAGAATATTTTATAAAGGGTGCAGTATTTGCTTTAAATTATATTCCCATTTAGCTTGTTTATTACTAATATCTTTTTGAGAGAGTAATAACAAACTATAATTCATTGAGAGAATTTTCTAAGGGAATATTAACCAATTATTAAAAAAAAACATAAAAAGTGACTTCTAGTTACTTTGCTTAATCATAAAGTAGAGAGTTTAATAAACTTTTCTTTGTCTTGTATTAATAATAATATACCCTTGTTTAGGCAAAATATTGGTAGCTTATGATTGTAATGGGCTAACACATTTTTTTTTTTTTTTTTTCATTTAAAACATTTTAAAATGTAAAGTAAAATTTGTACATAACATGTATGATTATATATATCACAGCACATCTAGTAATGCCTGTGAACATTGATGATCAAGTGTAAAGACAGTATTATTACAAACTATTTTAATTTTTTATAAAAAGAAAAAGCTGAGAGTCATATGAAATATTTTCAAATGAATTAAAGGAAAAACCATCTTACTTCATTTTATTCTCTGGGATTTTATGATTATTTTTAATTACATTAATATTATATATATTGTAATTTTAATATATTATAATATATCATAATAATAAATACACAAACTTTATCATATAATAATTAAGTAACATATTAATTACCTGAACATTTCCTGATCTTGCAATGTGGTGCTTGTATCAGCATTGCTATTTAACACAGTAGCAGGTGCTGGTTGTGGCCCAGATTGTGGCACTACCACACTTGGTTTCTGAATATGTATATTTTTAAGAGATTATTAATAAACAGAAAATAATATTTAAATACTACTATTTCTAATTTATATTACTCATTTATTTATTAATATATAATAAAGTCGAAATATTTGTTACATAACCATTGAAACAGAATGGGACTGAGACAGTAGGAGAGCCCATTCTGTAGATTCTGTAGTGATGATGATTTTTTTTTCTTGTTTTTATGTGAAAAATTGCCAAGCGAGCAAACGGTTCACCTGATGTTAAGTGAATGCCAGCCGCCCATGGACATCTGCTGCACCCAAGGGTTCCAGATGCATTGAAAATTGGGCTACGGCTACCTCACTCACCAGACAAAACACGAAAGTATTATACTTCCACTTTACGCCGGTCATCTGTGAGGTTGTTGTACTTACCTGGACGAGCCGCCCATTCATGCAACAGCTGAGGCTGCTGCATGGCCCCACCACCGTATTGATAATATTAGATGATAACATTAAGAGTAAGACTGGGAGTGCTCAAGTTAGCAACCAAGGACTCCCTAACTCTTAGCCGCTCATCGACCGTCAACTTTGTTAGGGTTGTTGGCTTGGACGAGGCTTGCCCAAAGGGAAGACTACAATAAATGTTAGGGGTTTCACTGCTCATAGCCACTTACTACCCAACTCCTTCCACAATTCATAATCATACTAACCACTTCAATGGGAACAACAGGAGCTACAACCGGCGAAGCAGTGATGAAGTTAGGTAGTTGTGTAGGCGGCGCTACACTTGATAATAAATTACCAGGAATAGTAGCTGCTGGTAATGGCGCCGTGGGTATTGGCTTCTTTTTGTCAGCGTTACTCATCTTAAACAATTGGAAATAATCATATTGTAAAGCGTATCCTCTATTAATACGCTTAATACATTTTATGAGCGACCAAATTGAAAAATACATACTATTCATTCACTTTATATATTATAAAATACTTATAAACAATTACAATTATTTACCTTTATGCTTTCATCAAAATGCTATACTTTAGCAATATGTTTCTTTTTATTTTATTTTTAATTTTTCTATTTTCTAATTTGAGTTCATGTTTTGATTCACTGACACAACTGACAAGTAAAATAGATGACATGTCATCAACCGGTTTTATGCTCAACATTTGTTCAACGACATAATTTAAATATATATAATATGTAGAAGTATATCATTAAATTTTGTGGCTGTAACTTTTATTAATTATATTTTTTATTATTGTTAATAAATATCCGTCGCATAAATTATTAATTTTCTTAAATAACCTGTGATAAAAGCTGTCATTCTATGAAAGTGACATGCCAATTGCCATCAAATCAACGCATCAATAAAGTTAATTCTTCCCTTTTTTCAGAGGTTTGATTTAAAAACATCATTTCTGTTAAAGTAGTTGGAACACCGCTTGGTAAAAAAATTAACCATGTCCGAAGAGACGGATGCACCGCTCTTTAGCACTGTGGATATCAACAACGAAAACAGAGATGATGATCTATTCGCTTCTGCGGTTCAGGTATGTATCTTATTAGAATCATTGTTTATTAATTTCGCACGTCCCAATGACAAACAGGGTCCGTTGACGCCCCCTTTTTTTTACATCAACACAGATTTAATAATTTAAAATTAGTAGGGTAATTGCTATGTTACTAATTGTTGATTCATACGGCTTAATAATGTTTTCGGAATGATAACGGTATTAAATGCTTTCATTGTAATTGCTCACCTTGAAGTTTCAATTTAATCAGTTGGTAGAAGACCTCAACCATGAAAATGATTATATTTACTAAAATAATTTACATGTTGTATATACCACTATTTAAAATTCCTCAATATAAAACCTGAGTGATGCTGTTTATTTATATATATTTATCATAGCAATAGAAATGCTGTCATCAAAGATGTCAATTTCTTCTGTCACTTAATTATGCTTCATCACCAGTATCAGCCAAAAGATATCCACTGTTGAACAATAACCTCCCACTTTAGAAAGCCACAACAAATGACAGTTTGCCATTTGCATACACCAGTTGCTCGCAATTCTTATAATGTTACTTATTTATCATAAATTGTAATATCTTTTTAATAACTATTTGGATGCTTTAGTAATAAACTGACAAATCAAATTTCTCTTGTAGGAAGTGAGCCTAGACCCAGAGGTAAACGGAAGTAGTGAAGGACAAGAGAAGGCAACAGTTGCTGATATTGCATCCATGCCTGCCATAGTTGGTAGCCCTATTATGGAAGAGGTATAATGCAGCTGACTGCAGTTTTGTTATCAGTGCTTTTATTCATATTTTTGTTTTCATCAAAATATAATTATTATCTATGGTTTTTTTGTGAAGATTAAGTGGGAAATATTCAAGCAATAAACAGTAAGAGTTAATAAAAATATTTGAATATGAAACATTCTTAAACATCACTGGGGGTAGGACCATGCAGCAGCGTCTGCTGTTGCATGAATCATCAGGTACTTCCGGGGAAGTACTATAGCCTCACAGCCAACCGAGGCAGTGAAGTAGAGTATTATACTTTTGCGATTTCTCTGGTGGTTAAAATGAGGTTTTAATGGTTGGCCTCTGCAATCTTCAGGTGTTGTTGTCCATCAGTAGCGGTTATCCCATACATCAGATGGACTGTGTGCATGTTTGATAACTTTTCAAATAAAAATATCTATCATATACAGAGTGTCGTTACCATCGCGACAATAAATGAACACACATATATGGGATAACTTTATAAAGTTGTATTAAACATTTGAATTCTTAAAACATCAATATTTACAGAGTTATTAAAACTTTTTATTGGGGAACTAGAAAATATGCAGATGCCAAATAAAAATAAGTGATCTTATAAATCGTAAATACATTTTAGTTTTTATTTACATTAACATCAACAATAATTATAGCTAATGATAGAAACACTCTTATCAACGACTTTATAGAAACACTCTTATCGACGACTTTATAGAAACACTCTTATCGACAACTTTATAGAAACACTCTTATCAACGACTTTATAGAAACCAAAACAAAAAATTTATGCTGTTTACTCCGATTAATTCATATTTTTGCAATATTTCTAAGTATTATAACTAATTGTAACAGTATCAATTTTCTATTATCATTAGGAATTTAAGGACACAAATCTTAACAAGACATGAAATATATAATTATTTTTTATATAAAGTGCTCTGTGATGTGTGTATGTGAGTGTGTGTGTGTGTGTGTGTGTGTGTGTATGTGTGTATGAGAGTTTCTCTACAGCTTTTTCACATTCTACAGCCTAAATCCTTTTGACATATTTTGATTCACATCTGAGGTGTCATAACAGTGTCAGTGAAATAAAAAATTGAGTTTAGTTAGTATTTTTATCGGCACCTTTAAATTTCAAACTCAGAGCCCACTTATCGTGGCTGTTTTTACATTTTGATGGTGGAAATTGCTTTTAAATACTCCCTTTTTGTAAAGTCCTAACGATATGTATAAATTTACAACATCTCTTAAAGCGTGATTGGTTTCCTTTAACAGATAGCAACGGAACGCGCAAACAACATCATTATCACCGTGACTGAGCCGCAGAAGATCGGCGAAGGCATGAGCTCTTATGTCGCCTATCACGTGCTGACCAAGACGAACATGCCCATATTCAGCAGACATGAGTTTACAGTCCTTAGACGCTTTAGTGACTTTCTCGGTCTTCATGAGAAGTTAACGGAGAAATATCTACGCTCAGGCAGAATAATTCCTCCTGCTCCAGAAAAGAGCATTGTCGGTGAGTCTTTTAATTTCCAAACCTTATCAATCAATCAATTAATTGAACTTTGCAACGAATCCTCTGCTCTTTGTCACCTTATATTGGACTACTATATATAATTTAAATAAAATTATCTTTTCAGACTATTGTAAATTGGCATTCCTTTTTAAAAATTGATCCTTTTTTAGGCACTACAAAGTTAAAAATGACATCAACTCCGTCGACGGAAAGCGCCAACGGTACAAACTCTTCCGCAAGCTTGCAGTCTCAGTTTGTGGAGAGACGCCGAGCGGCCTTAGAACGTTTCCTCAATCGGGTCGCCCAACATCCGGTGCTTTGCATCGACCCAGACTTTAGAGAGTTTCTTGAGTCCGGTAAGGAATGCTAGTTAAGATATTTAGGCTTCCGTACCAATAGTTAATGTTAATAATAGCATTCATTTCAGAAGTTATCTCTGACCAAAAGATATATTGTTAGGGTAGAAGGAGACAGCACTATTAGCGTATATATATGTTGGAAGCCTGTAATGTCATATGTTATTGATTACATTTTGTAATTTTGCTTATTGTTTTCAATATTTGGACTTAAATAGATCATAAAGATAGAAAAGTGTACAGGGGAAACAATTTAAAATGTTGGATATATTGTTAAATATTTTTTGTCTTTCTATCCCAAAATTAGTGATAAAAAATTAAAATCATTGTTTAACAACATTAATACTTGCACGAAAAAGCGATTAAGCTAATGGCATGGAAACTAATAAGTGCGCCAAACATTGCTTAAAATTCAATAAAACAAAGTAGACAAATTTCACAAAGTGAGGATTTTGACTGCTGGTCTTAGGGATTAGAATTAGCGTTAGCAGGAAGGCACAGGTTTGAATGCTGGCAGTGGCGAAAGATTTTTCGCCAATTTATCTACACATTTTAATATGCTATACATAATACTGCATGACAACATTTTGAAACACCGGATCTTACGTGGTTCTAAGTGCAATATAATATAATAATTGTGTATGCGCTTGATCACGTTGATTCGCGGGCGCTGTCACAAAATATCCAACATATGACTTAGTTTCCAAGTGTTCACATACAAAACGCACATGCGGTCAAAATAGCGGGCAAACTAACGACTGGCACGCGCGCCGCGCTCGCAACATTTTCGAACGCTTCAGGCGTTTGTGCGTGTTCACGTCGAACTAGCGGCGTAGCGCGCTATTTACTCGCGACGTCAGATAAGTTCAACCGTTTTGAACTTGTCGCTAGAAATGATAGCACGTTTTTTATGCCTACTTTTGAAATGACACTCCTTATTGAATCCGGTATATAATCAAAATATCCACAAAATCTTGAAGGATGTTCTCTCAAATTGCTATGTAAAGTATGAATTTCATCATACCGTTCTCTTTCTTTATTAATTTGTTGCACACCAATTCTAATTTTTACCAGCTTTATTTTCGGTTTAGGTAGGCGTGAATTTTCAGTTAAAAATAAAAGATCGTCGTCCATGTTTCATCTGAAAATTCGTCACACTCGCGCAAACGCCGGGCGGCTAACGTGAACACGAGATCGCAACGTCTACCGCGCCCGCACTCGCCACCGCGCCCACATTATCCTACGTGAACAAGCACTATCTCTGTATATGGATAAAACCGATGAATGAATATATTAATAGATGAAGTAAATAACAATAAATATGGAATTAATTAATATGAAAAAAAAACTCAAATAGATACAGAGCTACCGAAGGCGACGAGTACTTCGGCATTGAGTGGTGCGGGCATGTTGCGTCTCTTCAATAAAGTGGGCGAAACTGTCAACAAGATCACTTACAAAATGGATGAGTCTGACCCGGTAAGTGGCTATTAATGTATTTCAAAACGTACTATGCACAGTGAAAACGCTTTCGTTTTTTATTTAAATAGGTCGAATGTTGAGTATCGAAACAATAAAAAATTGAATAGTGATCAATTAAATTAGTAAGGGCAGTGTTTAAAAAAAGAAGAAATTGCATACACTTGTATGTAAATGCCACCTATTTTATTATACAGGGAGGCTTTTCTAAGTGTATCCATTTTTTTTATTAAATCTTACTACTTATCTGACATAAATAATCTTATCCTTTAAACGAGCAATTCTTGTATATGTATATATATAATCGGAATCTCGGAAACGGCTCCAGCGATTTTCATGAAATTTAGTATGTCGATCGATTTTTCGCCCCCGAATCTATGCGATTCGGGGGCGAAAAATCGATCTAGCTAGGTTTCATTTTTAGAAAATGTCCTTTTATCCCTGTTTTCAGGGAATGAAAAATATAATTCGAATATGACGGTAAATTTCGCCGCAAGAGAAAATGTCAAAATAGCTCGGTCGGTAATCGGGCGGCCCCAAAACAGACGGCCGTGGTTCGCGTCACGATCATTTACACATTTATTTTTTTACTTTTTTTCGATTCCAGATCATTGCTTTCTTTATTTTTAATTTTTTGTCGATTTGTTATTTTGTTATTTTTTTCCCTTTTTTTTTAAAGTTCTTTCTATTGTGAAAAACATCAGTTCATATTTTCTTATTATTACGTCGGTAAGATCGAAAAATATTATGCATTTTTCATTACTCAGTAATTTGTATCTAAATGTAATTTCCAAAATACACGATTTACCAAAAAAAAAACAAACCGAGCAAAGCTCGGTCCTCCGGGTACTGTTATATAAAAAATGATAAATATTTTAAACCAGTTTTAAGTAATTAATTACATTCAATAGAACTTATCTCAAAAAGTTCGTGATTTATACGCAACTCATTTATTTTACGCGCGATCATTCATAACTAACACGCACATAAGTTCGTTTGTGTGCGTTAACAGTAAAATTTAGGTATTTATGAATGACTAAAGCGTTGTCAACAAGTTGCGTTTTTTAGGGAATAGAATGGCAATTTTTTGAAAAAAAAAAAGTTTGTTTTTATTTCAATAAATGATTATACTACCGGATCTGAACCTGTGTAAATTTGGGCACCTTTAAAAAAGCCTCCTTGCATAACTGCGAAGAAGCCAGTTGGACGGAATGGGCGTGAACAGTGGTTCGTTTTGTGCAGTGGTTCGAGGAGCGGTGCGCGCGCGTCGAGGCGCTCGAGGGGCAGCTGCGGCGGCTGTGCGGCGCTTGCGAGGCGCTGGCGGGCGAGCGGCGCGAGCTGGCGGTGCGCTCGCACGAGGCGGCGCGCGCCGCGGCCGCGCTCTCCGCCGCCGACCCCCACCCGCCGCTCTCGCGCGCGCTCTCGCATCTCTCAGACCTGCACGAGAAGGTAACACCTACTTAACACCCACAATTTAACGCCCCTTTCTCGTCCACGAGAAAGCTAACCCCCCCCCCCCCCCCCCCCCTTCGTACCTCCGACCTACACGAGAAGATACCCTTCTTCCCCTCTGGTCTCCCTTTTGTCGTGCACGACAAACCTAACACCCCACCCCCTCGTACCTCCGACCTGCACGAGAAGGTAACACCGACTTAATCTCCCCCCTACCTTCTTTTATCGCCCGGTGTTACGTTTCTTGTCCACGAGAAACGTATCCCCCGCCTCCCACACTCCCCCTCTCTCACCTCTCGACCTGCACGAAAAGTTCCACTCTCACATTCCCCCCTCTAGGTCGAAAAGGAGATAAAGAGATTCTCTTACCTTTTCGAACTAACTCCTAATTAATTTTTTTTAAATAATTATTCTGCGAATTGTTTACAGATTGAACATTTAAGAATGGAACAGTCCAACACCGACTTCTACGTCTTGGCCGAGCATATTAAGGATTACCTTGGTTTAATTGGTGCAATCAAGGATGTGTTCCATGAACGAGTAAAGGTAAAATGACATAAGACAGCTTATCAAGTAGATACCAATAATTTTTTCTTATAAAGCTTTCTTTATAAAATATAAACCCAAGTTTAAGGCTTAGTTCTTGTAGTTTTTGTATTGTATACCTGTATCATAAATTCTATGAAGACAAAACTGAGAGATATTCCTGTACTCTACCAGGTATTCCAAAACTGGCAACACGCTCAGATGCAGTTGACGAAGCGGCGCGAGAACAAGGCCAAAGCTGAGCTTGCTAATAGGCCCGAGAAGATTGAGCAAGCATCCAACGAGATAATTGAGGTATTGAAACTGATTTACTCTGACTTGATCTCTTGACTTGATTCTTACTCTGACTCGGGCGAAATGACGAAGCTATCCGCTAAGAATTGTAATAAGAAAAATTTTGTTCACTGTTGGGCATGTGATGAGTCAGCATATAAAATTGCAATGAACAACTTATTTGTTGCTGGCACCAGGTTTTAACTAAGGTTGCTCGCGTATTCGTAATAAGTATTCAGCAACAAATTGTCTTATTATATAAAATAGAAGTACCAACTACAAAATGGCAAGGGACTTTTTATTCATGTTTACTATGGTCTTGCCACATGCTCAAATGAGAGGTCCTAACAGTACCCTTATGTCCAGTGGGAGTCCAAGGTGGAGCGGGGTCAGCAGGAGTTCGACACCATCTCCCGCGTCATCAAGAAGGAGTTGGAGAGGTGGGAGGAGATCAGGGTGGGCGAGCTGCGAGCCACGGTGCTCCGCTACCTCGAGGAGCACATGAAGCACCAGGCTCAGGTGAGAATCAGGAGGAGCACATCTCTGTTATGTTATTTCTTAACAAAGATATATATGTATGTTTGTATGTATATATTTTTAGGTCTGTACCCAAAGGGTGAAACGGGGCTATACTATTACTAAGACTACAATCTGCCACCAGGCTGTAACTCATAAACCGTGATAGTTAGGCAGACAGTTGAAATTTTTACACATGATGTATTTCTTTTGCCACTGTAACAACAAATACTAAATAACGGAATAAAGTAAAAAAATATTTAAGTATATATTTATATATAAGTCCCATACAACAGAAATGATTTTCTATCGTTTTCATAGATAAAGCTACGGAACCCTTCGTGCGTGAGTCTTACTCCCACTTGGCCGGTTTCTTCTAAAGAATGAATTTAGGATAACACACTGTGTTTGTTATTGTTAATGGACGTTTGAAAAATATAAATTTCACGCGGGAGAACACCCAGATTCAAATAGTTGTCCCGTGTGGGAATCGAACCCACAACCCCCGACGCCGAAGACAATACCAAAAATTAAATGCGATAAAATAAAATATCCGTTGGTAAAAACTATTTTATTCACTAAAAATTGATTAAATTTACATATAACGAAAAGGTTGATCTTAATTGTTTTTTTTTACTAAAAAAAAACGGATCTTAAAAGGTTTTCAATTTTGAGACACTATTAACAAAATAATAAAACGAACGCGAACTGATCCCACTCACCCTGATGAAGGACCTCCACCGATAGGTCCCAAACTTGTTTGTAAATATGCAGATTGTACGTAGTACTCAGTCTTTTTTTTAGTTCTTAATGAAGGGTGTTATTTTAATTCACGCGTTTTCCTTCCAGGCCATCCGCTATTGGGACGCGTTCCTGCCCGAAGCGCGCGCCATCAAATGAATCGGTGACTAAAGGCGGCTCCGCCAAACTCGACCTTAGCTCCTGCCGCTTAAAAGTCATTATTGCCTAACACCACCCGATAGACGTCTGTAAATGGTACGGAGAGTGATCTCACGTATTCACTCGGCCTATTAAATGCCTTGCTTTAGCCCGTTATCGGGTATTTCTTTTTATTTTTTCATATTTCCTTTCGTCATTAAACTCTCAAAGTATTCGTCATCATCTGAATTCAAATTTTCGCAAAAAAAATTAGATTCAGACTTGTCAGTTATTGTGTAACACGTGGTATGGTTGGTAGAAGTTAAAAATGAAACTATTTAAAAAGTGTAAAAATGTAAACATATAAAATTCATAAGAGATTTTTTCCCTATATAATATATTTAAAGGAGATGTCTTTTGTCATTTGGTTTTTTGTGTTAGATTGATAGGTACAATGCCAATTGGCTTTATTTCCCTCTGCAGTCCCTATTAAGGTCCTTCTAATACGGTATAAATAACTATGTACCATTTACAATCGTCCATAACAAAATCTTCAACTATATTATGCAATTATACTGTGTTTATAGCTTACATCATGCAAGTAAAACTAATCAACCATAAAACCTTAAGTTTTATAATAATACCCATTTTGCTATAACTGAAACTCCATTGATTCATTTGCTAGTTTTAAAAAATCCTTAATCCATTTTTCGCCAAGATAACGTTACAATTGTAAATAAAATAGAACAAATTTATTATTTAGATGTTGCCACAGTATGGTGCACCTGCAACCATTATAGGCTGTGTCAAGATAATAGTTAAAAAAATGATTTAGATTCCTCAGTGATTGTTTTAAATTTCCTCCACAGGGTTAGTTTGATGTATGTGTTAATAAACATATTGTGTAATATATGATTTAATAAATTTATTATAAATGTTGAGACAGACATATTGCATTACGTCATCTAAGTAACATTATTTTATACCTATGAAAATTGTTTCCTCGGATCAAAAGTAATCAAGAAAAGTACCTATACTCTATTCATTTTTACTTATTATGACAATTTAATAACAGAATATTCTACAAAAAAACTGTGTGTGTACATGTGTCTGTCTCTACCATTATAGGAAAAAATATATTATTCCAGTGTTATATGTGTTACAATGTGTAATATAATTAACTATTTCGTTTCTACGATTAAGAGGCATGTAGCAAAGTGATTAAGCAAATACATTTTGCTTACACTAAGGAACTGTTTACTATTTGCTTTTTGCTTAAGTCATTTATTAAAATGTATGGTAAAGGAAGAGTTTTGTTACATTCTTCTATAGTTTAAGCTATTCGTTTTGTCGTAATGTATTTCGTATTTTAATTATAATATAATATAAAATAAAGTTATTCCAAAATGTATGAGATAAGATTAATGTTATGTTACAGTCAGAGGTATAATTATTGCTACCATCCTGCCATACGATAGTAGCAGGTATGATAAATTATTTATCAAACGATATACTCTCCCTTTAATTGTCACCATTTGTTTGCAATTTGTATAAAAAATGTTTACCTATTAGAAAGTTTTATATAAAAGTTATTTGGCATTAGAACTGAAACGATCTCATCTAATCTCTTGTTTAATGAGCCATTTAATGTTTTACTTTTTGAAGATAGCGTTTTTCATTTCAGATGTGACCGTAAAACAAAGGACAAGCAAAACGTTATCGTATTTTATTCATTGTCATATCATCAGTCGTCTGAATAAAAAATAACGTCGCATTGTCGAATATAATGATAAGGATGATAGATGTGCAAAAAGCATTCTCTTATCAAAGGACATTTTTCAACCGATTTCAAAAAAAAGAGGTTCTCAATCTGGCTGTATTTGTTTTTTATATTTTTTACCTAGGAACGCCGTCATTTATGAACCGATTTTATTTTAAAAATTATTTTTGCTTTTGGTTCTGTATAGCTTCCATGTTTTCCCATATTAATTTCGTGGGTATTAACCTTGGCTCCAGAGATACCTCCTCAAATTCATGTAGAAAATATACAGTGGGTGAGATATTTGAAGCCGACTTTCTTTTTTGTTAGTAAAAATCACGGTGCATCTTGATGCTTCCTGTTGAAATCTCGGCGTATAGTTTGTCTTTTAAAATTACCACCGTTATAATATAATGTATTCTTCAATATACTTTAACTATTTAGTCGAGCTTTGGGGAAGCGAATTTATATAATTAATCAATTTGAGACTAACGTAATAATTCTAACGATTTATAGAATAAATACCGATGACTGGGTGACGCAGTGGATAAGCCATTGGCTTTGGCTCTGGTCGTGGGTTCAATTCCATCACGGGACAAATATTTGTGTGATCCACAGATTATTCCGTATCTGAGCGTTTACTCCCAGGGATAGTTGAATTCAGGCAGGAGATTGGTCATAAAGAACCTGGTCGGGAGAATCCCAAAAATAAATTATGTTAGAAATTGATATGGCAACGTTTTCGGTAATGACTAAATATGTAATAATTTTTTCTCATCTATGTTGTCTTGTTGCTGATTTTAATTAATATTTAATGTTAAATGCATGTTAGTGAGAAAATATAACTATAACTTTTTAAAAAGTATATACATAAACATATATATTTTCACCTCTTAATTGTGGAAGTGTTGCATTCATAAGCAATATTGTATTTACAAATTTGTTGTACGTAAAAGACTTTGGAACAGTGTGTCTGAAATAAAAAAAAAATCTTTAATCCTGCTCTCTGACTGTAACATGTTTATGTTGAATATATGTATGTAAATTAGTTAAGTACGATTTAAAAATCTCGAGTTTAATGTATTCATTATTTTTTATATTGCCAAATATATTTAGCGGTAAATTGGTGTAACGGAAGAGATAATTAATTATAAATGATATATAAATAACGTTGATTTCATATACTAGAGAATGTACTTTATTCCGATTATAATAATAACTTCAATTTGTGTTCTTTTTTTTATTTTACGATACTTCCAACACTAATTTTGATTTAAAAGATTTAATTAAATCGGTGTTCGCGTACGGGTGATTGCCATTTGAGCCCAATGGGATCGGTCTACAAGCGGAATAAAGCTTTTGGATTCACAAATAATTGTTCTATAATTGCGTGGACTCGGTTTCAATCTTACCATCACCGCGAAACTATATTCGTCCCAGAGTACTAAGAAAGGACAGTAGGTATGTCAGAACATGTTTTCGACCAAAGCGCAGAATTACGGACAAACATCACAAATTACTCAATTAGCTAGGATTAAAATTAAATCAAATACACGTGGACAAATCGGGTCTCGATGATAACACCCTGCTATCGTTAACTTGCAGACGATAACTACCTATAAATTGATTACAAATAAAAGAAAAACTTTATCTGTTGTGATTTGTGGAACAATAAAGCTGCCAGGTAAGTAATTAAGGTATTTAGTTTTCAAAATCTGATTTTCATTAATTAATCCGAAATTGAGTAATCCATCCTTCGGTGTATCTTTTAGTTTGATTTCTGCAGAAAAATTAGTTTCTAGTTTCTGTATGATAATAACTGGTTACACATTTTCATTTATTTTCCGCACATTGTTAGATCTATACTAGTGATTTAACAGACCTCTGTTTCTCCAACTTTGGTAACGGAAATATAAATGGAATATTATGATTGGTTGAAACTCGTGCGCGATCTTTAAGTCTAATTTACAAAGAACACCGCAGCAGCTTGTTCGGTGTAAAAGTGGTCAAATTATCTTTCATAAAATGTAATGTACCGCTTTGCGAATATATAAATTAGACGATGCCCGGTTTTAAACCTGCGGTATCTGGTCAATGCGTCAGACGGTCTATGCAACTCGACTAAGTGGCTGATATCATTTAGTTATTTGAGAGTGTCGGCATAATTTAAGTCGCTCACGAGACTAACAACATTTCTAAAAATCCAGATAAATAGTAATAGCTATAGTAAATAGCTGACGAGATTTTCGCGCCATGAAGAATATTAACTCAATTGACAAGAGCTTTGAGCAAAAGACGCAGATTTGAAATCTGGTAGCGTAAACTTTTCTACATATCTGTTTCTGCTTCCGTTATATCGCTTCAGGTGCACCACTAAATAATCTACCCACAAATTTTATATAGGTTTTGACAGCAAAAAATCATTCGAAATTAACTACCTACTGGTCAAATTTTTCTTTCCAGATAAAATGAAAGTATTCATTGCCATTGCGCTGCTGTCGGCCGTGTCGGCTTTGCCGAGGCCTGAACTCCCGGACCTCATTGACTTTAGGCCTTTGATCGTGCCCAAAGAGATCATCGAGGCCGCTGAATCTATGAACAATGCAGTCGATGTAAACGTCGAGGATGCTGACACCGCCGTAAACTTCGTCGATAACGTAGCTGAAGACGGTGTTGCTGTAAACTTTGTAGACAACGCGGAAGATGCCGGTGATGCAGTGAACTTCGTAGATTCCCCTGTCAATGAAATCTTAGCTGACGACGCTGAAGTTGCCGTAAACTTCGTGGATGACGTAGCCGAGGATGGTGTTGCTGCTAACTTTGTAGACAACGCGGAAGATGCCGGTGATGCAGTGAACTTCGTAGATTCCCCTGTCAATGAAATCTTAGCTGACGACGCTGAAGTTGCCGTAAACTTCGTGGATGACGTAGCCGAGGATGGTGTTGCTGCTAACTTTGTAGACAACGCGGAAGATGCCGGTGATGCAGTGAACTTCGTAGATTCCCCTGTCAATGAAATCTTAGCTGACGACGCTGAAGTTGCCGTAAACTTCGTGGATGACGTAGCTGAGGACGGTGTTGCTGTTAACTTTGTAGACAACGCGGAAGATGCCGGTGAAGCCGTAAACTTCGTAGACAACGTGGAAGATGCCTCTGATGTCGTAAACTTCGTAGACAACGCGGAAGTTGCCGGTGATGCCGTAAACTTCGTAGACAACGCGGAAGATGTCGCTGATGTCGTAAATTTAGTAGACAACACCGAAGTTACCGGTGATGCCGTTAACTTCGTAGACAACGCAGAAGATGCCGTTGATGCGGTTAACTTCGTAGACAACGCGGAAGATGTCTTTGATGCCGTAAACTTCGTGGATACTGCTGACAACGTTGAATCTGCCAATTTCGCAGACGTTGCCAACGACGATGTTTCCGTCAATTTTGTAAACTCACCAACAAACGAACTGCCCGAAGATTCCGTAGACGCCGTCAACTTCGTAGATATCCCGTTGGAATCGAACGTAGCTGGTATTTTGATCATTGGCAACGTTTACGAGGCAATAATGCCTTCCGAGTTGGAGACTCTGAGGGTTGTTGATATGCCAATTGCCTTCGACCAAGAGACCGGATACCCCCCAAAGGTTTACGATAACCCTCTTCTTCGTTAAGTGAATTAGTCCGCTGTAGAATTCGTCTGAATAAATTGTTGCAAAATTAAAGTAGTGTTTCTTAATGGTTGATTGTTAATTGTTTAATTTTTAAACCTGACTTTTAATAATATTTAATTCTTAATATTAGTGGTAACGGTAGTCAATTCACTGACACGTTGACTTTCACGTCACGAGTTTAAAACTCGTGGAGTGAGCAAAAAAGATTTTCGCTTTTACAATTTCTTATAAAAAAATATTGTCTTACACTTGCGCTCATTATAGCGAAGGTCACTACGTTCAAAAGTATATAAATATCAGTGAAATTTGACATTTTGGTTTGAGCCACGGGCTTGCTATTCTTTAAATATCATTTTTTTATAAAGGAAATTACGCGAGATAAAAGACTTTAACGATTACCTTAGATTGCTCCATATTTCCTTGAATTTATAAAATACTTAGGAATGATACTTAACTTCTGTATATTAAAAATATTTAACGTAACTGTCAAGAACGTCGACATTGGAATTGAAAGATACGACGTAGAGAGCAATTTTTATAATTCCGACAATATTTCCTGTTATATTTAAAAGATTCCACACAATGAATATATTATGTGGGAAGAATAATTGTTCTCACGGATATAAAGAGAAAGATAGGTCCTTTATTAATAATATTTATAGACACCTCAATTACAAAATGTTACTTTGTTTGGTTTACTTTGAAGTTCTGATATTTCTCGTTCTTGGGCCAGCATGTTCACCTGATGGTAAGTTAAGCCCTCTACCCGCATTAACACACATCAAAGAGGTCACATGCATGTTAGTACCGAGTTATCGGCTACCTCATACACCAAATGCTTTTTTTAAAGTGAAGAAGTATTTTTGAAAGTAAAGGAAGATATTTTTTTTTTACTTTTCTTCTGTTTAGCCGTGACACTTCCCCAATTGGCCTATAGAGCAGAGGAACTGCTAACCAAGCTATTTTTTTCTTAACTACAGTTGTGTCCTGGCGCCGGCTTTTAATCCAATATCCAGCTAACCGACAAACAAGCAACCTGAGATCAAATCCCGGTGATATTGTTGTCTTAATTGTACTGATCATGTGATCAGCAGTGAAGGAAACTATCGTGATTAAACCTCCAGATTTTCAAAATAATAAATTATTACAAACATATGGGTGCGGTGGGGTCGCTTTCCTGCAGTGGGACATATACTACGTGTGCATATATGTGCATATAACTTGAGACCCGAGACCGATGACGTCACAGTGGCGTGCTTGTACAGTACAACTTATAAATTTTAAATTGTTTATAGTGCTAATCTTTGCACTTAAATATGTAGTACTTAAATATGTAGAATAGAACATTAAAATATGTAGAAAAAGTGCGAAAAGATGTCGCGAAAACCCACGTTTTCGCGCCTGACGCTCTAGCCACTGAGCTAAACGGCTGATTGACACACCGACGAAAATCTTAACGCATTCTTCCACATTGTTTTCTTAGCATTTGAAGCAATGCTTGGCGCCATCTATTGTTATATCCTTTCCAGCATACAAACAATTTACAAGTACAACTTAGTTACAAAGTACAACTTATTATAACAACCAGTCGCGCGTCGCATCTTACGTCGTCGTAATGTAATCCGAGATTATTCAGAACTAGTGACCCGCCCCGGCTTCGCACGGAGTTAATGTATTATACATATAAACCTTCCTACATATAAACGCGGCGTCCCACGAGGAGCGGGCGGGACGTTGCTCATGTTAGTGTGCATTCGTAATATGGGCTGTAACTTTACTTTTTCTACTTTACGAATATTCGTTATATTTTTAAGTACTCTCGTTTCAGATTTTGTAAAGGTTTAATATCAAAATCCATGAAAAATTTACTTGGTTATGCCGTCGTAGATAATTTCGTGTAGGCAATGACAAACAAGCATTTTGTTGTGGCAATTTATTAACAATCTTCTAAATAAATCTATACTAATCAGGCGTATCTTACATTTATTTAAGCACATAATCTTCTGGATATTCCATGACTTTCGGATATTTTTGAACCTCCTCTTCTGGTATGTGATCGAGTCTCGTTGGTACTAAACGAATTTGACGAATTTGGTTCGTGATATTTTGCTTTATATCTTCTGGTATATCCTCTCCAGGATAAATAAATAATCGCTGCATAGTATGACGTCGTTGAAGGTTACCTTTCAGAGCTCTGTACACAGCTTTTTGTATTATCTGCAATAAAGAACTTAATATCAATGTCTGTTTGGAAAGTTTAGATAACTTTACTTATAGTTCTTATTTTTACGCCAATATTATACATGTTTAAATTAAACTGTTTCACGGATTTTATCGCGTTTGAATTAAATGTTTAAATTCCCGGCGTTTAGAGCCCTTTCCAGCGTTCATGGTCACGGGTCAAAATCAAATCGCGATAAAATGTTTTCATATTAACATAACTTTAACTTAGGTTAAAATTTGAGTTTAATAGATAAATACCGAAAAATATATTTTTTATAAGGACAACTTGGCGAATTTTCTTTTTTGCGCTGGCAGTGTTGTGGTTTTTACGGATAACGGGTAACCCCCTATCATCACAAAAGCAAAAAAATCTCGATATTCTACTTTAATTTTACATTTATCAAAATGCCACGCCCCATCTAGTGAGCGACTTTACCGTATGTACTTTATTCAGAACATTCGAATCAGATCCATATTATCGAAATATCAGGTAAGAATGTCCTCAAACAATTTCGACAATTAATCTCACATTTAAATTTCGTATTGAGTGCAGAATAGCACTAAGAATAAAAAATATTAATATTGGAGTTGCTCAAACAAATATCTTATGTTGATAGACTTAACTTCTATAACGATTTGTAGATTAATAACATACATATTGAAAAGGTCGCACGGCACCACCTATAAATCACCGAATGATAATTTATTTGATATTTATATTTGTATCATACATTGTATTGAAATGAGCTAGTCTCCTGATGTTAAATGATTACCAGCGCCCATGGACATCTACAATACCCGGGGGGTTGCAGATGCGTTGCCAATCCTTACTAATATTATAAACGCGAAAGTTTGTATGTATGGATGGATGTTTGTTACTCCTTCACGCAAATACTACTGAATGGATTCTAATTAAACTTTACAATAATATAGGTTATACATCAGAATAAGACATAGGCTATAAATTATATACACATTTTATGTATATCCGTCTTTCTGTCTGAATGTTACGCCTTCAGCCTATTCCACCCAGACGTAGTCGGGGGCAGCAGCTAGTCTTTTATGAAGTAAGCCCCGGTTATCTCACTCACGAGGTGGCGCACACAGAGGATACGCGAAAGTACGATACTTCCCATTCATGGTATTTTTTGAGGCCGGTACTTTCCTGGACGAGCCTGTGCATTTTATACGAAAGCTTTTTGAAGTTATACTTCTTTTTCGTTAGGGAAAAATTATGAGCGTAAATATTTACGATGCGCGCACACACCGTCACGAAAAACCCTGGAGTTAGCTAGACATCTACATATGTTTTTGCGTGAGAACTGACAACTGTATTCACGATATTTATTTTGTGATATTTAATAAACATTATTTAAATAAATAATGCGTTATGATAAAACATTCATTGTATTAAATACTTTTTTTCTATTGCTAGTGTCGTTTTATCTACAAACATAGAATATGGCGAAAAAAAAGAACTATAACTTCTAACGCGTTTATATAAGTACACACGCACTTTTTCGTATTTCTTCTTTTTCGTCAATAGCGGGAAAAAATATGTTTTGTTAAAAATGTTAAAAGTTGTTTGAATCAATAAATTTGATGAAAAATTATGGAAACTATGGCAGTCTGACAGAAAACACGTTTAAAGTAAAAAAAGTAAAGTAACAGCCTATACATGTCCCACTGCAGGGCAAAGGCCTCCTCTATATAGAGGGTATCAGGGCATAGTCCACCACGCGGCCCCCACTGCGGATTGGTGGACTTCACATATTTTCGAAATATATTTTTTTTGTGTTATTATTTTCGAAAATATGAAGGTTTCCTCACGATGTTTTCCTTCACCGCGGAGCACGTGATAAGTCAGCACTTAAAGTTAAAAACTTCATTGGTGCCGGCACCGGGGATCGAACTCAGGTTGCTCGAGTATATTGAATTAAAGGCGAGTGCCCGGACACCGAGCTAACACGTTTGAGAAATAATAATTATAGAGACATGATGCTGGAATATTGAAGGAATAATGTTAGGCTAAAGCATCAAAACATTTTAATAAAAATAGCTTGTGTGATCTATTTTACAAGATAAAAGGGATGGAAATGTATAATGCCAAGTAATATTTAAATAACTTTCAATTGCATGCTCATAATATTTCATCATCGAATATTTAAATTGTTTTCAAAACTACAAAACTTATAGAATCATTTTTTTTTTCGAAATTTTATAATTGTAAAATATATTATTTTAAAATAATAAGTTAAATATATGCTGTAACATTGCAGAACTACTTCTCTTATGCCCAGTTTCTGAAACACTGATCATAGTAGAAGTCAACTAATCAGCTGTCAAATGGCTTTTCAAATGTTATTTGAGTTGCCAAAAGGATTAACTTTCTGAATTGATCAGAATGATCTTCTTAATGATCAGAATGGTTCAATGATAATGATCAAAACATAAACAACAAATCATTTCAACATGAGTAATACATTTGAGTGCTTATTACAGAACCAAAAATGAATTTTTACAATCATACTTACATTTTAACAAAATTGTAAAAAGAAAAAGAAATGGAATATGTTTTAATTTTTTCATTAAATGTAAGACTTTACAAAAATTTTACTGCTTGCTTTATTATAATATCTGATATGATATGTTACTCTATCATTTACAGAATTTTATCATTTCTAATCAAAGAACAGAAACTAGAAAAGAGTAGGAAATCTAGTTACCACTCTTATTCTGGTCTTACCATGGTAGGATCTTTATTATGCAACTCCCACGCTAATGTCCAACTTGCTCCTCCTGGATATCCAGTGTGATGAAAGTATGCTCGTTGCCTCCAGTCATCGCCTCGTAATGCAATTTCACGGCTGTTTATACAAACAACGACATCTCCACAGTCATTCATAGGATGATAAATAGGCTTGTGCAAGCCCATCAAATACTTCTTAATAGTTTTAGCAGATTGATAAGGATCTTGCCATTTGCAATCGAAAACATGCCAAGTACGGGCAAATGTAGCCCATTGCTGAAATAATGATGCATTAAAATATAAATATATATTATTATAAAAGTTATAACCATAATCATACTTTATATTATAACCGATTTCACCTGCACCCTTTTTACAGCTGACATTTTGTGACTTAAATGAAAAACTAAATTATTTAATTCGTGAATTGTTAAAAATTTAATATATTTTCTGTTTTCATTTAAAGGAAATCAATTAAAATATATAATCAACTGAAAAGAGGTTATAGTATTTATTTTGACGTTTACAGTCAGGTTTCAGGTAGGGAATAGAGATGTTGAAAACATATCGATATATCGATATTTTTTTAATATATCGATATTCTTGAATGATAATGATCGGTTTTGATCCAAAATATCGATATAAAAAACTGAATATCAAAATCATATCAAAAACTATATTTTTATTCAAACTGATTCAAACCCGTAAAAGATAAAAATGAACGAATAAAAAAACTGTTGTCTATATAAAGTATCGTCGTGGATGCAGTGTTGCATTTTTTACAATAATTATGGTATTTATACTACAATTTCATACTTCCTACTTTGTGCTATCCATATCTAAGGTGCAACATGGTATAGAGGTGTTACAAATCATTAATATTGAACTACGTTATGTTTTGTGTTAAGCTCATTTATGAATAGCATGCAAAATATTAATAATTTATAAATTTACTTTAGTTTAATATATAAACAAAGTGGACAAAAATTTAATTACAATCAAATTCTCAATAATTGAGTGTAAAAACATTATTGACGTCATAAAAAATTTTAAAAGCATTTAACCACATAAACAACTAAATACTAAATTGTGTTTTTTACAAAGTAACATTTTTTTTTCAGGGCTAAATAAACTGATTTATCTTACTAATTAAGTTGTTTGTTTTTTTTCCAATGAAGGCATTGATAAATAATATATCTAGAAATTTAGATTAATAAAATAAATGTGATAAAAATTAATAAATTATTACATAAATGGTACAACGTTATATTAAAATTTCTCATTCATTAAATTAATGTGAATTTGGTATAAAAATTACTTTTACTTGTTATTGAATCAGACTGAACTAAATACATTATTTTTTTAAAACCGAAAATTTGACCGAGATATCGATATTGATATTTTCTTTCGATATATCGAGGCCGATATTGATATTTTTATAAATATCGACATATTGATATATTTTTCGACTTTCGGCATCCCTAGTTTCAGAAGTTCTCGTTCTCAGTTCTCTTGTCATGGGCAAACAATATCGATATTTTTCCATACAATTATCGATATATATCGTCGATATCTTTTCGATATATGAATAATCAACTGTATTGCGAACACTGACAATGTATCGATTTTTTTCACTCGATAATTATCGATATCGATATTTTTTACTTGCCCATCCCTATCTACTATTTTAATAACATTTGCCACTTAATGACGGTGTTGCTAGATCTATTAGTGTTGACCCCTAGACGTGCTATAATACTTTTTGTTCATTACCGGTCTGAACAAAAACCGATTATTGTCAATTTTACATTTATTTAATGATCGAAAGAAGACATACAAAATGTTAAACAGAAGCATTAAACTTATATTAAAATTACTTAAAGACTATTTCGATAAAGCTCTAGATTTCATAAAATTACTTAAAGACTATTTCGATAAAGCTCTAGATTTCATATCTATTTAAAAGTTAACAGCAAATTATCAGAGTTAGTTATCCTGAAATTCCGCTAGATGTGGTTCGCAAATAATAAAATGGCGGCAGCAGGCGGTGAAGCAACACGAGTCAAGCATGTCTTCTCAAACGACCTTCAAACTAAATGGCATCCGCTGTCACGCACGGTGCTTTCGCCTGACAGAGCACATCCTGAAACACCTCAACTTAAGCACATAAGCGAAAGCCTACAACAACAAGTGGCATAATGGCTTGCTTTGCAAGCTGTAGGCACTCAGTGCCACACAAGCTTGTGCATTTCATACGAGCCTTCCACTCTTTTCGATCCCGATACATTCCGACTTCCACCAGCTCGTCCATGTTGGTGCTCCTCAAGGTTTCTGAAGCTTCTCACCCTTGCTTTTAACTCTACTCGACGACATCCCTAAAGACTCGCGTGCCGGACACTATTCTATTCGGACAAACTAGAACAGAATGACTACTCGCTTCAAAAAGCGCTGCCAGCTCGGTGAATCATTTTGCAAATGGATTATGCTGGAACTTTAAGGGTAAGAATACTGGAACCCTATTATCGAGGATGATTTTAATATTTATATTCCTGGTACGCGTTATTATATTTATTTGACTCAGATTGTTGGCCTCCATATAAGCCACTCGCCATAACAAAGACGGTAAGCATATGTAATCGGTCGACTTAATCATTTCGTCAGCCTCGTCCCCTCTTATGGATATCCAACCCTTCTTCTGTAGGTCACATTAGTCGCCTAAACCATCATTTAAAATTAAGCACATATGCTGCTTACCTCGTATAGGTAGTTGATAAGAAAATCCGCGCGCGGTAGTATGTTCGGAACAAAAAAGCTTAACATAGTAAGTAAACAAATAAACTTGTATCTTAATTTACACGGTGCCGCGTATATTAATTACTATAAAAAGATAAATAATACATTTATTTCTTTCTGTAACAATATTTTTTTAATTTATCGTGAATTATTGATAATCTAAACAAACTTGTTCCGTACATAGATTTTTTAATAGAGAATATCTATCTTGACTATTAATAACTAGCTGCTGCCCGCGACTACGTCTGCGTAGAATAGGCTGAAGGCATAAAATTTAGAAAGACAGATATACATAACAATATGTATATAAATTATAGCCTATGTCTTATTCTGATGTATAAGATAAGCTATATTATTGTAAAGTTTCATTAAAATCCAGTCGGTAGTAGTGGCATGAAAGAGTAACAAACATCCATCCATACATACAATCTTTCGCGTTTATAATAATATTATTAAGGATAAGGTGAAGAACGAAATAAACATGTCAGTTTTGAACTTTTATTGATCTAAAACTTAGTCAACAATTGACACATTTAAAACAATAAGAAGAGGTTAATCATAAACATTTACTCGGACATATCTCTAGGCAAAGGCAGAGTGTATAGTATTATTTGGTCCATTTTAGTTTCATCTAAATCCCGCCAGTCAAATTGATGATCAACGTCTATATTTTCCGTCCAATAGTTGACGAGCTCTTGATTCAAACTACCGCTCCAATGCTTCCAACATAAAAACATATAAAACTAAATGAAATATAATTATATAATTATATACTTCATTCAATTTAAATAAATTTTTTAACGAATTGTGGAAATCTTGAAAACAACATTTATTTGTATACTACAACAAAAACGAGAGGTGTCATGAGTTTCGGTTGGAATAAATGCCTATAGCTGCATGTTTTGGATTGAATATCAAGTAAAATAAATTAAAAGCATTTGAGAAAAGTAAATGAAGGAACGATGAATCTTCTTTCTCCAGCCTTTATTCCACAGTGGCGGATTTGTAGTCTTGGCCGCCCTAAGCCCCAGCCTATGTAGTAAGATCCTGCCGCCCCTTTGTCAGCGCCCATGTGAATTATGTCACGATTGGCCGCCCCTAGCATGTGACCGCCCTAGGCCCGGACCTATTGGGCCTTAGGGCAAATCCGCTACTGCATGGGACTCATGTTGCTAATGGTACTTTGCTTGGTTCTTTAGGACCGACGGTCGCCTGCTTGACGTAACCCTACTTATAGTCCCTAGTAAAAAGTAAGTAAATATATGCAAAAATGAACTTACATTCAAAACAATAGATGGTAATTTGACTAATCATTTTATTGGACTATTGGAAATAATAACCCAGAACCGGGAATTATCCGTGTAACCCACACAACTACTTTCCTTTGTGAGGATTGAACCCACAACCCTCGGCACCGAAGTCAATAGTTTAGCAACTGCGCCACCGAGTCATAACTATTATAGAAAAAAAAAACTAGCCCCTTCTTTCTCTGATCTTTTCTGGTAAGAAAGCTCGCGCGTTCAATAAGGGACAGAAAAATTGAGATGCTACGAGCCTATTTGCTGAGGGCCGAATGGAGAAGCATAACGCTTTTTCCTTACGTGGCGATTTCTTCGAACTCAATACCATCAAGCCGCGCTAAATAACGTCGTTTTAATTAATTAGATAAATAATTAAAAATTAAGTGGCAAAAGAAAATATGATATCCTTTCAACAAGTCATTATAAAATATTATGACGCTTTTTATGTATTTACCGTATAGATAATTACACGTGGAACTTACAAGGCGTGTGTGCTCTATCCAAGCAAGGAGTGTCACATTCCCGTAACGGTTACAAAGTTCTGTTGCTTTGGCTAAATTTTTGAAAGCATTTCTTTTCTTACCCTTAATGCAATTGTTATAAGCCAAGAGCAAGTAGTATCTAAAAACGATCACTTGAAGACGTTTATTGTGTTATATTTATAAGATGAAACTGTGGTAGGGCCAAAGAGTTATCGCTGTTTGGCAGGTCCGTCTGGGTCCGTACCACGACCTCACAGAAGACTGACGTGAATTCGAAGTATTTATTATATTTCTGCGTTTTTTCCGGTGAGTGGGGTAACCGAGCCTTGCTTTTTTTGAAAGGTGGCAACGCATCTGCAACCATACGGGTGACGTAAATGTCAATGGGCGGCGGTTATCACTTAACATCAGGTGAAACACCAGCAGCGTTGCCACCTTTCATATTATTAACCGGCCAAGTGCGAGTCGGACTCGCGCACTAAGGGTTCCGTACCATTATCTATAAAAACGGCTAAAGAATCATGAATGTTGTAAGGGTGCGCCACTTAATATTTTCTTATTCTGTTTATTGTTATAGCGGCAACAGAAATACATCATCTGTGAAAATTTTAACCGTCTAACTATCACGATTCATGAGATATGGCCTAGTGGCAGAAGGACAGACAGACACAGCCAGCTGAGTCTTATTAATTGAGTCCCGTTTTACCCTTTGGGTACCGAACCCAAAAAAATTATATTAGGATACATTTAAGAGAAGGAAGAGTAATTTCGCAAAACATACATGACTTATAAAACATATACGCACCTCGATCTGTACATACTAGCTTGATCGCAAGCATCGTCCAAATTTCGAAGAAGAGATTTTACAATTTTAGCGTATAATTGTATTTCTCTAACATTTCGATTGTCTATCTGAAAATTATTATGATATAATTTCTCGCATCAAACAGCAAATGGTCAATAAAAAGCAATAGCTTCTATATTTATATTAATTATGAGCTTTTATATTACCTCTTCGACCATACGTATCATAATACCTTCAAGTAACCTTACAAGGATCATTGCGTAGAACTCGTGGCTTTCAAATTTCATCGTTACCAATTGTTTAATTTTTTCTTCCCACATTGCTGACCTCTCCCATACGCCCAATCTTATAGTCCTAGCAAAGTATTCATTTGTTTCAATGGATTGTCAGTTCTTATAACATCATTAGATAATAAATAAAAAAACATCGTTGAGTCAAGCTGTGTTGACTTCAAATTCTAAAATAAATATCTATCAATTCTAATAAAATCAATATCTATAAGCTGAGGTTTACCTATTCTGTATCTATAACCTATTCTTCATCACTACATAGTACAAAACAAAATTTTCCCGCTGTCTATCTGTCCCTGTCTGTGTGTATGTATGCTTAGATCTTTAAAACCTCGCAACGGATCTTGATGTGTTTTTTTTCCTAGATAGAGTGATTCAATGGGAAGGTTTATAATTATGTATAATACATTGCACCCATGCGAAGCCGGAGCGATTCGCTAGTACGATATATATAAGGGTCCCGTAATTACACTAATAAACTTACACAAGCCACATGCAAACAAAGAAGTTCCAAGCAGCTAAGGAGGTCTTGGAGCGAAGTATTGCATCACCTTTCTTCATGTAAAACCTTTCACAAGTTTTGTAAGACTCGACGCAGTATCCCGTGTCCAGTAAAATAACCAAGGCATAATAATAATACCATGTTTCCGCTGAAGAAAATGAATTAAATATTTTATTGTTTAACACTTTTTAAAATACAAATAATAAATTTGTAATCCCTTATAATACCACAATAAGTGCAACTTACGTGAGACGCACTAAAATTACTTTTTTTATATATACACATTTTTTTTATGCGAAAAGTTGCCAAACGAGCAGACGGGTCACCTGATGTTCAGTGAATACCGCCGCCCATGTCCATGGGCGGCGGCACCTCGGGTGTAGCAGATAACCGAGGGTTACGGCTGCGTTGACAACGTTTTGAAAATTGGGCACCGCCTACCTCACTCACCAGACGAAACGCGAAAGTATTTGTCATACTTCCACTTTACGCTGGTCTTCTGTGAGGTCGTGGTACTTACCCGGACGGGCCTGCCCATTCCTGCAACAGCCGAGGCTGCTGCGTGGCCCTACCACCGTAACATATTTTTACACACGCACTTATTACTTTTTAAATATTGTTAACTGAAACTTTTAGTGTGACATGTATAACCTGTTACTGTTTTATCACGTAGGTACATACTAGGTACTTCAACCGCATATCAATCTATTGATGGCTAAAAGTAAAGAACGGGTTTTGTAAATAATCCCTAACCGATTACTCTTTTTATTTGCCGACTGTGATATTGGTTCCAGAGATTTAGTGAATTCTTATCATCACACCACGTGTGATTCAGCGTATAGGATAATGGTAACCTAAACATTACTGACTAAATAGGTATAGGAATAAGGTTTGGACTGGAATTCAGCGATTGTTAAAGATATAATATTATTACTTATTACATATGCCAATACAACTCACAGCTCAAGTCGTAATGGTCGGTCATATAGAAGAACTCTCGCATGATGGATACCATGTCGTTTAACCGCATTTCGGACAACAGCAGTTTTAGTATCCACAGAACGAGCGCCTGCCGTGTGGTGAGCTCTGCCATGCTGCTAACCATTCGCATCACCGACAAGCCCAGTTCAATGCTTTCAATCCGTTTACCGCTCTCCGCGCTGTGATAGTTCCATGATTTTTATATATTTCAAATGTTTTTAATTCGGTATTCTTACCTACGCTTCTATACTAATTTATAATAAGTATTGTTTGGTTATGTGTTTAATTTTAATAGGTTATAACTTCAATGGGTAACGCTCAGAAACTATATAACTAATCCCAAAACTTTTATTCATATATAAATAACTAAATAACACCAATGTAACATTGGCATTTTATTTTAGTAAAAGCCACTTTTTTGTCAGAAATATGTTTCTAAACTAAGTTTGAAGAAAACAAGGACGGTGGAATATATTTAGACTAATCATATGCTAAAATATTACAATTGCGAAGAATGACAGATTATATATTTTCATACCCCAAACTATGCCAACGACTATAAATGATTAATACCTAAGTTTTACGAATGTCGAAGCAATAATAGTTCAAAATAGGTTTGACGTAATTATAAATGATGTTGACATCGAACCGAGGTCGGCAACAATTAATTAAGGCAATACTGACTGAAAGAGAAATATGCTGGTGTACAAGTAACCCACGGCCTGCACTTCGGTCACGTCGACTTTTGCAAGTTTACGTTTACACACGTCCATTGAGAGCTGTTCCAATCTCTCACACATCGAGAACTGTTGAATATTCATTTTAAACTTTATTAGGATAAACAAACAGTTAATGTAATTAATAAAATAATTTCACGAAGTGTATAGTCTTAACTATATGTAATTTGATAATAAAAACAGCAATGATTCCCACCCGGAACAACTATTTGTGGGACCCACAGATAGTTGTTTCGAATCTGGGTGTTTGTCCGTGCGAAATTTATGTTTGTAAAACGTCCTTCCAACACAGGATAATATTATCCTAAAGCAAGGGCAATGTTTTTAAAAAATAAAATAAAAAAAAAAGTTTGTCTAATGTGACCCCAAATTTTACAAGAATTTAATAACATCACGTTACAAGACTAAAGCGTTTTGAGATCTTCAAGTAATAACATATAATATAGATTATCATGATATACTTATGGAGACCAATTCTCAAAAAAGTGGAAATTGTCGCAATTAGAGTTAACATGACAAGTTAGGAACAATCTTATAAGTAAACAATATCCGAATAAATCTAAAACATTATTCATGTTTTGCCGCCATATTGTGCATTCCAAAAATTTGATTTCCTGTTATTAATTTTGTGCCTCCTTCATTCGTGGCGGACAATCAAAATGAAAATCAAAATCAAAAATATATTTATTCAAATAGACGCTTGCGCGCTCTTATGAATCGTCAAATTTTACATCAAAGATTATGTGTATAGGTTCGTAAGGTACCACCGGTTCGGAAAGCGGTTTCTGTTGAGAAGAGACCGGCAAGAAACTCAACAGTTGCTCTTTTTCAAAAATATCAGGGTACAATATAATATACAGGTATAATAGTCTTATTCTAGCCTACGTGAGTATCAACAGTATTAACTCCACACATTGGCGTCGTCGAGATATTCCGAAATGGTATAACATGCTTTAATTATCAGTTGATTTTTAATTTTACATTTAAATTGGTCAAGCGGCAGACTTAATATCGACTGTGGGATTTTATTATACATGCGCACACTTTGCCCCATGAACGACTTATTTACTTTTTGTAGACGAAACAATGGCGTAGTAAGTTTGTCCTTATTTCTAGTGTTTATTTTATGTCTGTCACTATTCTTTAGGTAATAATTAAGGTTATGACGTATATACAAAACATTACAATAAATGTATTGACAAGCAACAGTGAGTATATTAACCTCTTTGAAAAGATCTCTGAGTGAATTCCGGGCTCCGATATTGTAGACTGCTCGGACAGCTCTTTTTTGAAGAATAAATATAGAATTTACATCTGATGCACTACCCCACAACAAAATGCCGTAAGACAAGATGCTGTGAAAATAACTAAAGTAAACAAGTCTGGCAGTGTCGATGTCTGTTAGCTGCCTAACCCTTCTAATCGCAAAAACCGCGGAGCTCAGCCTATTCGCAAGAGATGATATATGGGGACTCCACTGGAGCTTTGAATCTACTGTAATTCCCAGAAATATAGCAGACTCAACTGGATTAATGGGTACGTTATTTAATATTAAACTAAAACTTTTCCTTCTTATACTGGGAAGGGTAAAAAGAATACATCTGGTTTTTTTTGGCATTTAATACCATATTATTAATAGTAAACCAGTGGAGGATATGTGAAAGTGCACTATTCACGTCGTCATAATTTAATACGTTTCGGTCAACTCTAAAAATAAGCGATGTATCGTCAGCAAACAGTACAACATCACACAACCCACTGGCATAAAAGGGGAGATCATTAATATATACTAAAAATAATAATGGGCCCAAGATTGATCCTTGTGGGACTCCCTTTTTCATCTGGGACCCAGTGGAGTATATATTAATAATAGTATTCATTCAGTCATTCATATTATTGTAAAATGGAACAGTTAAGAAAACAATATGGAGAAAGCATTCGACATACATAATGATCTTGCCTGTACTGTGTCATCAAATTTCCATAACAAACACACAGTAAACGAAAGTTGGAATTCGTTCTCAACGCGTAGTCCATTGCCAATTTTGCGGCCAAAATAGCGTTTGACTTTTCGTTGCAATCCTGTAATAAAATAATTATACCATTCCTCGCCATAAGTTTCACGCATTAGTAGTAAGCTATTGTTAACCCTTACAATCTCATTTGGAACGGTAAGCAAATATTTCACGACATGTGTTTTACACAATGTTATCTAGTACATACTAAAATAAACTTTACTTCTAATATATAAAATTCTCGTGTCACGGTGTTTGTAATTGAACTACTCCGAAACGGCTCGACCGTTTTTCGTTAAATTTTGTGTGCATATTATTTTAATAAACTGGATAGCGTGAATCAATCAACTTACAGTAAACATTTTATGCAGACTGACAAGAGTCCAAGCGATGTACTCATAGAAGATCCCAGTAACTCCTCTGTCTCTAGCTACGCAAAACCGTGGACGGATGTAGAACGCCACTAATAGATTAATTGACACGCGCATGTCGCGTAAACGCTTGGTATGCCTGTAACAAGTTCTTTTTAGTGCAGAATACAATTATAAAAAAAATGTATATGGCCAACTTGGCCAGGAAAATGTGAGAAACCACTAAATCTTCTACTACTGATAATTAAATTAGGCCTGGTATAGGAAATATATATTTTACTGTGGTAGGACCATGCAACAGTTTTCACTGTTGCACGAAATTGCAGGTCCATCCGGGTAACCTCACAGAAGACCGGAGTAAAGTAGATGTGTTACACTTCTGCGTATCGTGTGGTGAGTGAGGTAGCCGGGGCCAACTTTATTAAAAGAGGGCAACGCATTTGCAAATGTCCTAGGGCGGCGGTAAAAATCTCAAAAAAACCACCCAGCTAGTTAAAAAGACTAAGCTCACACATATAATGAGTCAAAGCAATGAATAATATAAAAACTATAAATAAATCGATTAATAAAATACGATTTATAATTACTTCGAAGACGGAAATGGATCGTCGAATAGTTCCAAAGCGTGAAGCAAGAGCCTCCTGGCTTCGTTCCTATCACCCGACTCCAAGAGGCAGGCTCCACGATGGGCCAACACCCGTCCTAAACGAAAATCATTCATCCACTTCACTTCGCCGAAGCTTCTGGTGCAAAACTTCTCACTCTGCGGATACCACGTTGCCTTTACGAGATGCGTCGGATGACAGAAAAGTGAAGACATATTTATTAAGTAATATTGTCTCACATTAATCAAACTTTCCACGTCGGACAAAAGTCGAATCGCTTGTGGTGTGTTCAGGTTTATCACGCTCAAGTCGGTGTACTCTAAATATGCTTCGAACAATTTCTCATACTCTTCTGAAATGGCTTATAAGTAAGTAAATAATTATATACTTATGTATATAGGCATTATACAGGGTGGCTTTTATAAGTGTATCCATTTTTTTATTAAAAACATAAATAGACATAAATAGTGTTATATAAAAAATGATAAACATTTAAAATCACTCTTAAGTAATTAATTACATTCATTTGAACTTATCTCAAAAAGTGCGTGATTTATACGCAACTCATTTATTTTACGCGCGATCATTCATAACTAACACACACACAAGTTCGTGCACAGTAAAATTTAGGTATTTATGAATGACTACCGCACTGTCAACACGTTCTGTTTTTTAGGGAATAGAATGGCATTTTTTTTTGGAAAAAATAACTTTATTTTTTAATTCAATAAATGATTATACTACCGAGTCTGAACCTCCTGTGTAAATTTGGGCACATCTCAAAAAATCTCCCTGTATATGTGGATATTGTCACATTACTAGGACAGGTTATAACCGAGGCAAATTACGAAGAGTAAGAACCATTTGGTGAACGTTTCAGAATTCATAAATATTATAAATTCTCATTTACTTTGTGTTACTTTGGAGGGTGACACTGCATAACCAAGAAAATGTTAAAACTGTTCTTTTTTTAACGGTATTGTCGAATTTGAAGATTTCATGTTATTTAACTACATTACTAAGTCTAGGCACGCTACGGACTGACACGTTTTAATTCAATTCAATTTTACTTTTAATGTTCTTTTGCTTCAAATGTTGCTCGTATGGGCAGGCTCACTCGGGGAAGAAAAATCTGATATTTACCAGCCCCAAGAGAATGCTCCACAGCTTGTGAGTAGGCAGAATGTAGAATCGCAACACACTCGCAATCGGTAAAGTCATATGAGAAAAAGTCATTTCCACTTTTGTTAACGCTGTATACTTTATCCGATCGACGTATTCGCCTTGAAGAACCCGTTAATCCTAAACAGATTTCGCAACAATGAATATATTTTACAAGAATTAATAAAACTTTTATTCCGCAAAATGTTTGCAATATTTACCCTCAGACTCCGTTAATATCGTGGTGTTTGTGTTTCTGTGAACATTTACCTGAAAAAAAGTTCTAGCATAACATCGACCTAAACTACATTCACTCATTTGATAAGGACATTGATATAAACTTATTCAATGCGAAACTATTTTAATGTTTGTTTAAAAAATAATGGTGTTATGTTCCATTTGCAAGAAAGAAAACTAACAACTCTTGTTTTACGTCAATCCATCTGCCTATTAAGGTTCCCATAAAACTTGGAGGTAAACCTTCATTGATCATTCAAGTCTTGATCAAACGTGATCTTAAATAGGACTAAAATTAATTTACGTCAAAGTTAAAACAACAGATTATAATGAAGTACCATAAGCTCCAAAGAAATTTCGGAGGTGCACGGCGTTTGCAGGTTCTGTTCACCAGGGATCTTCGTTTCAGCGCTGAATGCGGATATTTCACGCCTGGCGGTCTTCAATTCTTCACTTTCCTGAATTAATCCCTATGACCGAAATTGTCTTTATCTTTTACGAGTCAACGAAATTATCGTATGATACTTAAGTGTACGCGATTGAAGTGTAAGACTTGATTCAAATAAGATTGATGCAAATAATGGTCGTTTACCAAAAGAACTTAAGCGATTGACATTGCATTTGCGTTATTGATGACCGCGCCTTAGTATTATTATAGTTCATGTTCTTTCCAATGGATATTGATTCATCAGTAAACCGATATCTGTATTTGAACCTTTCCTGGGATCAAGGTCGAGTCTTAAAATTTCTTATTTTGATTCGCAAGAGTTCTATATTAACTCATATAGCGACAGATATATCCCAAATGATCGTGTCAAGAAGACACTGAATACAATATAGTTGCAGTTGGGTATGCGTCTGACATTTCTTTTAAATTTTTATGACACTGGATAAGATTTGGAACGATTTCTTTGAAGAGTATTAATAATAAAACTTACATCATTGCAACCTAGTCCAAGGAATTTTATGAAGCAACCGCTGCCGCATGATAGGCAACGTCTCGTGTAACGCTCTAAATACAATAACGCCCTCGTGTGCATAGTAAGCTGAAATTTGAAATTGCTCTTCAAAAGTTGTATAAAATACTACCAAAATATATCGACCCTCTGATTTGTCTATTGTCTATAAAAAAATCTCTCTCTCTTTTTTTTCCTTCATCATCTCATCAGCTTGCTTTTTCTAACGTTGGCAACGACTCTACAACCCGTCAGGTGTTGTCGATCGGCGGTGGCATCCAATTAACATCAAGTGAACCGCCCACTCGCTTGCCAACTTTTAACATAAAAAAACTCGATACCAATTATTATAAAAACCCTGCTTTAAACATGGTCGTCTGTCTCTGTGTTAATCGGTCATATTCTAAACTATTAAATAAGTTCATATTTCCGTTGAGTCATTAAAAAATTTACCTTTTGATTCTCCGTTAGCAATTCGTATGTGGTTGTTCGGAACAGCGTGTGTTTGAATTTCATGTAACCGCAGAATGCGTAAGTCGGCAAGTCTTGACAATTGGCTACAAATACAGAAATTTAGTTAATTTTTCTCACAGATATATTAACACGTATGGCATTTATCACGTTTACTTACGCGGAGGCCTAACGCCTAGGCAGGCACAATATGGCGGCTTAGCGTCGTGAGGTATTGGCGCGGGATGCACCATTACCAAGGAGCTGTCGCGAGTGAAATCTCCCCCCTCGCACTCCAACACTCGGATGGAGAACAGTTTCGCAACAGCTGTGAATGTTCTTAAAATCTCATATACATATTAAACATCTCATTTTAGTGATCTTTTTGGGATGAGCCACTCTTGGCCTTAGGGGCCTTTACAGTTCCGACGGACTTGATTTCATTTTTTTGAGTAAGGCAACTACGTTCTACGCACATAACGGTTGGCAAGTTGCCGATGACAACGCAATTATAACCTCATGGGTGGTGTGTCCACAGCAAGTTATTACGTGTATCACCTAACATCAGATGAATCTTGTGCTCTATTGCTTCGTTCTTCTCCCACAAAAACATGCCGTACTTATAAATCGCACGAATATTTAAACGAAACTCTCGCTGAATTACTAAGTAAGATGCGAATAATAATTTGAATGGAGCTTTATTACATTATGTAGATTTTTAACTAATATACTTGTAACCTGTTAAAATTTTAATATTCTATTATAAGGTCATATATACTTGTGATTTGCAAAGAAAAGAAACATTTCTGTATAACAATTTTCTGTGTGGTAATATTACAGTAATGGATTTAAATAATCAATTGTAAAACACGGTAAAGGGCAGGTAAAAATGGAGTACCTTGTGCAACCTTTTGTTGAGAATCGCTTTGAAGCAAATGCAGAAGCATTCGTCGAGAGAAAACCACGCCCAACACTGAACTGCACTTCAAAAGCATTTTCTCAAAAGGTGTAAGCGAATCATACGTCTTCAAAATTAAAACTAAAATCAAAAAACTCTTTGTTGTTTTGTATTTTGTGCGACTGATGTTAGGCCTTCAGTCCTTAGACTATTAAAGCTTCATCGAACGCAGAACCAGTGGGCTAGCCAGAACCCCACGGGTCTTGTCTTGTAAGGTTGATGTTCTTTTTTTCAAGGCCGGATAGTGTTTAAAATAATTACAGATTTACAATTAAAACGTGTATTACCTATAGGTTAAAGAGGCCCTACTGAAGAACTTGCTGCGTTTGAAACAATGCACTCCATTAAGGACGACCACAATAATAGCAGCACGACCTAATTCATCACTAATCGATCGGTGCTGGATATATTTTGATCACTTCATGACTATGTTTTATTTTAGTGATATCAGACTCATTAAGGGAGAAATTTCAAAAGTTTAGAGAGAAAAGAAAAACAGATTATTAAAAAATTACCATCCATTTTAACCACGTCTTTAATGTCTTCAAACTTGTAAGAATCGGATAGAACTGCCATTTGAATAACATCGTTGTCATGTATAACCGTTTCTTTATTGGAAATGCTCAAATTTAGACTGTAAATGCTAGCCTAAAACGTAAAGGTAGATATCTTAAATCCTTACTAATATTATAAAGGCGAAAGTTTGTATGTATGGATGGATGTTTGTTACTCTTTCACACAAAAACTACTGAATGGATTTTAATGAAACTACAATAATATAGCTTACACATCCGAATAAGACAGACTATAATTTATAAACATATTTTATGTATATCTGTCTTTCTGTATGTTACGCCTTCAGCCTATTCTATGCAGACGTAGTCGCGGGCAGAATAAAACTGAGGAGTTTTCACCATAATTGAGCTATTTGTAGGGAAATGTTGTATTTTAAACCTTTGGGTTAAACCTTAAGTAACGGGACAGTGCCCATGAAGGAAAATTGATAAAGTAAAAACTCAAAAGAAACATATTCCGCTAGTGAAATCAAAAGGCATACTTACGCCCGTTTTCTGAAACACTGATCATCGTAGAAATTAACTACTCAGAATCAAATAGCTTTTCAAATGTCATTTGAGTTGCCAAAAGGCTGGTCAAACTATTTGAATTGATCATTCTGATCATTAAGAAGATCGTTCTGATACATTCAGAGTTTAACCATCCTTTTAGCAACTCAAATGAGATTTGAAAAGCCATTTGACAGCTGATTAGTTAATTTCTACGATGATCTGTATTTGAGAAATCGGGCTTTAGTCTTGCATAAAAGTAAAGAGGAAAATTTCTAGTGTTAATTTTGGAACCTAAATCGATTCAGAAATATAGTTAACTGTTTGAGCCGTGCTAAATTATTGCTTAGTAGCGTGATCAGACCGGACGGACCTGCCCATTTGTGCAACAGTGATGACTGTTGCGTGGTCCTACATTCGATATACGAAAAATTGAAACTTATTCCGCTGGTCTATTTTTCGTCAAACGTTAGCTTTAAAATAATGTCTGAATCATCAAATTCGATGAAGAATGATAGAAATTATGTCGAAGCGACAAATAAAGACCTTTGAGAAATAATTTCAGGGTCTAAAATATCAAGGTACTCTGTGATATCAATGATCTGCAATGAATGTATCGAATGATGTATGTGACTTAATTTTAAATAAGTAGTTTAGACTTAGAGTGAAATAAGGTTTTATTCCAGAACTTTTAAGAGGTAATTGTATTTCGGGCCCTGATTCCTGAAAGTTCTATTAGACAGACGAACAAATTTCAAAGCCGATCTTCAAACATATCTTCGTAACAGTTTTTTTTTGTTATATGCAGATTTCCTCGCGATTAAAATTAACAATTACATTGGTGCCGGCACCAGGGAACAAACTAAGGTTGCTACGAGTATATTGAGTACAAAGGCGGGCGCCCGGAAACTGAGCTATCACGACGCTTGTGGGAGTAATAAAATTTACATTTAAACAACCGGCGTTTCACTTCATCTTGAATCCCTAGATCGCGCAACTACATAGAGATTGTTACCCGTTAGCTGAAATTATGTAGCGCACAGATAAATGTGGCGTACATGACAATCACCTACCTGGCCTGCGAGCCATTCGTCGTAGAAAGACATGTCACGTTGCGAGCGCTGGAGCAAAGGCAACGATGGAATTACGGCACCGCACTCTTGGGCCTCACTGCGGGTCACGGACACTATTGTTAGCCCGCCACGCTGCACCAGCGATATCACGAAATTTTGTATCCACCCAGGCATGCCGTCGCTGGCGCTTTCAATCAGTCTGCCATATAAATTTGTATCACTTGAAAAGTGACCTCGTCCAATGGGCATCAGTTCACGCGTAAACCGTTTTATCAGACCCTAATATGACTCAACGTCAATATTATGAGTTGTCATTTTCTAAAGATAACTGAATCACATTTTTTCGTTTCTCTTAAAGCCCTGTTGATCAAACAGCTCCTGTAATAACCTGTGCTTACCGAGAAACATCCATGTAATCTTTTCACCTGTGGTTGGACCACACCGTAGCTTCAACTGTTGCACGAATGTCTCATCTGGGGAACTTCCACGGACAGAAGACTAGCTTGAACGGTAAGTATCACAGCTTTGCGTTTCGTCTGCTGAATGACGTAATTTAGTGTCACTTTTATAAGCTTGGTACCACATCTGCAATCTTTTAGGTTTTCTTGATCGCCCTGGTTGGCTGCACAAAACAAAACAGCCTCCTCGCTTCTTAATTAAAATTAAATAAACGAAATTGGAATATTACGTAATATTTACCAGATTAAATCCTGCCTGCAGAAGAACAATGTTGCAAAGGATAGTTTAAAGCTATCGTAATTGCCGATTTATCGATTTTGAACAAGAATACTTAACGATTTCCTGTTTTTACACGAATATTATACATATATATATATATATATATATATATATATATATAAATGAAACTATTTTAAGTATTTTATCGCTTTTTAATTTTGATTTTTAAACATAACTATATCCAGCGTTCATGGTCACGGAACAAACCGTGAACGTCGTATTTGTATTAAGAATTAAATCAAAATTAAAACGCTATAAAATCTGTAAAATAAGAATACTTCTCTAAATCTGCTGGTATGGCTTGCACGTCCAGCATCTGGCAAACCAGCGCCGCATGGTACCAACGGTCGATCCCACACAGCTCCAGCTTCACTATCATGTTACTCTCCAAACAAGAATTTGCCATCGCTAAACAAAATTAGACGTTTACAACGATTTATTTCTCAATAAATGGTCGCGGTAATATACAAATGGTATAATTCATTTATTCTTCGCTCAAATTTCTGTATATGTAAAAAGTACTCTTACAAGAAGGCTCCTTTCAGTACCAGAAGCGCTGGCGGATTACGAAATACGGTATTGGCACTCACTAAAAATTTAATGTTACCATGAAAAAGAGGCACATTTCGTTGTCAGTGAAAAATAGATACAAATAGTTCTTTTTTATTTTACTTTTGTATTCAGGTATAGGTCAAAATTCAACTTTCTATGCAGTGGCATATATTCTTTCACTTTATTGCTTTTTCACCACATTATATGCTACATACATCAGAACAAGTAGTCCTGCTCATAACACTATGTTATACACTGGCCATAATATAAATTACTTATTGAATCAAACTTTGTCAAACCTGATAAATTTTCAGTGTTTTTTATAGTCATGAGGAAGAAGATCTTCTTGGTGTCCAGAAGTAATAATATGACACGCCAAGATTCGTCATCAGCGTTCTGAGCCTCCATAATAGCGATCAAACGTAGGCTTGGTATGTTCTATATTAAAACTAAATTTTAACATTACAAATGAACTTATTCGATTAATTGATGTACAAATCAATCATTTATGTTATAGAGCATATTACCGACGCGGTTTTTTAACTTTTCAGTACTAAAAAGCTTGCATCCTTATTAGCGAGTTATTTGAAAATCCAAGGAGTTTGCAACATTCTAAATATTTTTTTTTATTTGTTATCGGCCTTGAAAATAATTATTATACTTTAACTTTAAAATATACTTTATGTATACCTAATAAACTTTAGAGTCTTACCTTGAGAAATACTTCCTTAATGAGACCCTTTATGTTAAATTCAACCAGAAAATCACCGGAATAAGAAAACTTCTCGGGTAAAGGGAAACGGCAGTCAAAGATCGTGTTAAGAGCATAAATCTCTATGGCCCGTAGAGATGTGACATCGATACTAAAAATCAAAAGCATATTACTTTGGAACTAGACTACATACGATTATATTGAGAGGGATATAAGATTTTTATTTTTTTCAAATCGAAAACAAACAGACCATGATTGGTGACCGAAGCCATTGCTTCATCCGTTTAATCGTGCATTACCGTAATAATAATAAATTATTTATTCCTACAAAAACGAATTTTAAACGACCTTTAGTTTTGTTATAACATTCCTAACTTCCATAATAATTTCTTGTATTTACGCGATTACGCATTACTAAAGGAAACTATGTTTACGGATTTATCGCGATAAATATATATTATATATAGTTTCATTTAGTAATTCCTAACTTCCATTCTTTTCAAGTATCGAACATTTTTAGGAACAATTACTGGAAGAATCCCGTTTTTTATCAGACATCAGACATAAAAACCTGCAGGGGCTTGCTGACCTTAGTCTAATTCGATTTTCACGGTTCTCCCTTGCTGGACGCATATGAGTCGTGAAAATTTTAGCAACGATTCTCCGCACCACCCCAAACGGCATCTATCATAGAAAAAATTAAGTAGAGATTAATTTTTTCATAGACGGAGGTGGCAAACGGCCAGGTGGTTTATCAGATGTTAAGTTATTAGTACCACCACCCATGGACATTGACAACAGCCACCCAACCTGGAAGAACGTAGTCCACGGCTACTCGCTGAAAGTGAGGAGAGACAATATGCAAATAATAAACTACAAATATAGGTACGTATATATCAATCGAAGCAGATCCAATTTATTTGAAAGTCTACATGACTCCGATAAAATACTTAATCGATAAATAACATAGTTACCTTGTCTTCAGACTTCAAATAAATTCGGTCGACCAACACGAACTTCGGTGTTATGTATAGGCACTCCTCAAGCAATCTGGTTTTGCCACTTTGCTCCGGGCCCTTTAATGGAGATTGCATTTAAATGCTAAGAAAAATGTGAACAAAAACGTAGTGAAAAACTGGGAATGAGAATATACGATATCCATGATGATATCGATTAAAACGTGAAAAACAATAACATGTAACAGCATATAAGTACAATATTTTCTATGCTGAAATGGTTATAGGGCCTAAATTACTGTGGTAGGGCCACGCGGTAGTCATCGCTTTTGTATGAATAGGCCTTTTACCTCTTCTCCCCCGCATTTCACCTCTGCTGCAGAGAGCAGGTTGAGTCGCTCCACCTCTATCATCCTCAAACTGTTCTCCACACTCGTCTTGCATACAATTAGAGTGGGCTCAATACGCCTACTCAGAGCACTTCACTAGCAATTCAATTCATTCACTAGCGAAAGTCAGTCCTAACCTGACGTGCTTCAGGTTAGGACTGACTTTCGCTAGTTTTTTATTAATTTACTACCGATCGATGTGTGATTGAGGATTCCGTGGCGCAGTTGCCAAGGTATCGGCTTCGGCGTCGGCGGTCGTGGGTTCGAATGCCACACGGGACAACTATTTGTGTGAGGCACAGATAATTGCTTCGCATCTGGGTGTTTGCCTACGTGAAATTTATTTTTGTCAATCGTCCTCACAATACAGGATAATTTTATGCTAAAGTAAGGGCAATGTTTTAAAAAAATAGGAATACACCAATGTATTTTAAATACCTCGTTCTTTTGTTGCGAAATCACTTAACAAATTTCAACGTACCAAAAATGCCATCGCGTATTTGTGGTCGCAATATCTTGTGAACTTTTGATTTTGCTGCTCCAGGGCGTTGTGAAAAGTCATTTTGTATTTGCGAAGCTCCTCGTTACGTCCCAACAGTGGGTGTTTCCAGCAGCCTAGGTAGTCCGATCGTCTGGAAGTGCAAAACGACGACTTGTTATTTGACGACCCGAATGGCGTAGTGGGTAGTGTACTTGCCACCTGCGCCAGAGAGTGCGGGCTCGATCCCCACTATTGAAAAAATATTCTGTGATGAACATAGTGTTTTTCTATTGTCTGGATGGTTAAAAAAATCTGATAAATACGTTTAAGTATGTATGCCATTTAGTACTCATAGTACAAGTCACATTCGGAATATTTTAATTTAATTTTTAATTTATTTGTATAAAAAAAAAAGAAAATTACAAACTTAATAAACTGATACAAACATAAACTCATAGGAGTTTTACCGTGTAACAGTATCATCAATCGTGTATACATAGTTTCTACCATAAAGCACAAATCACCATTTAACAAGACTAATATTAAGACGAAGATAATTTGAAAAATAGTAAAAAATTAATACAGTGGGTAGATACTAATATAAGTGGACGAACATCGGTGACCGCTCTGGCCGCTTTTGTTAGTACGAAAAAAAAACAAGGTAAGGTGAAACGTTTGTGCTTATACAGGATGTACTTATTAACGTTTTAATTTAATTTGTTTTTTTTTTCTATATTTAACTATTATATTAGTATTAGTTACTATAGTTATTTTGCATAAAATGTTGTTTTAGTTTGAATTTTATGTTTTTGTGAGTTATTTTTTCTCTTAAGGATGTAGGCAGTTGGTTAATAAGGTACGGTATAATATACTTTAATGTTCTTTTACCGTGTAAATTTCTATATTTTGGAAGCAACAACTTTGCGTTCGTGACACTACGAGTCTTAATTTCGTTACTATGTGATGTTTTCGTTTTCTTTAAATTTTTATTGAAAAATTCTTCAGTTAACAATGTTAGTTTAATCTTTTCATGAATAGGTATAACTTTACAAAATTCAAATAGTTTATGGTAATCATTTGTAAATTTCTTCTTTATGTTAATTGGTACTATTGTTTTTAATATACGTAATTGGAGAATATATATTTCATCAAGGTGAGTTTTATATGTCCTGCCGTAACTCGACAGTCCATATGATATTACCGATTCGGCTAGTGACTTATAAAGTAGTAATAGCGTTTGATATGGAATTTTATATTTTATTATAGAAAATTTGGCCAGAATACATCTTAGTTTGTCACTTACCGCATAATATGTGCTTTCCAATTGAGTCGACTATCTATGATAAGTCCTAAGTATGTTTGTCTATCAACAAGATCTATGGAATCACATTTACAAGACATGTTCTTAGATGCGCAGTTGTCATGCATACATTCATGAGAGTGAGCTATTACTTTTGGTATAAAAGAGCTTCTATTTTGACTAGAGCTGATATACATGAGTTTTGTCTTACTAAAATTTAAGATTAAGCCAGCATCGTGCGACCATTTGATCAGTAAGTCAAAGTCCTGTTGCAATATTTTTTGTGCCTCGGTGACACTTTGTCCCGCAGCTACGAGGCAGGTGTCATCAGCGAATTGGTAGATCTCACACTTTTTTATTAGGTTAGCCAGACTATTTACATAAGTGAGGTAATGTAGCGGCCCAAGGACCGAACCTTGAGCCGTGCCTTTCTTTACCCTGACTGTATCGCTGATATCATCGCTGATTTTGACAATGAACTTTCTATCGTTAAGGTAGTCTTCACACCAGTTCAGTAATTTACCTCTAATCCCGCTGTCATGAAGACATTCTAATAGCCTGTCATGTCTCAGAACATCAAAACCTTACTATAGTCTATAAACACTACTAACACATGTCTTTTTTCATTTAGATGGTTATGAATACTGTCTGTGAATGCTGACAATAGTTGGGAAATTTCAACCAAAAATTGAAATTTTTGGTTGAAAACCATATTGTTTGTCAGTAAGTATTTTATTTTTTTCATAGAATGTATATATTTCGTTACATATGTATTTTTCAATGATTTTATCTATGGTAGGCAAAATAGTAATTGGTCTATAATTGTTATAATCCAGCTTACTACCTTTTTTATGAATAGGCCTTACAAGTCCTATTTTTAGTTTAGATGGGTACTTACTATTTTGTACACATAGGTTAATTAAATTGGCAATTACCATTTTGATTTTTGTACAGAGCATTTTTATATCAATGGCTCTAATGTTATCTATTGGGAGGGCTTTATTATTGTTCAAAGACATGATGATTTTTTTAACTGAGCAAGAATTTGCGGGCTTTAGTCGCATGGTAACATTCGCGGAATATTTATATTCTGAGGTGTTTAGCAATGGAGAATGTTGTGTAAAAACATTATAACGTAATAAAAGCCTCGGAAAGAACAATAATTGGTTTTATTTAACTTTTTAATCATACCATCATTACTAATATAAATAACAATTATAATGTACAACGAACAATATAATATAAACATATTCTCCGTATGAATAATAGCCGAAGCTCATTATTATTTTTGAATGGGTGGAACATTCGAAGCAACGCATTTTGGAACAATTGACAGTAACTACTTAATAATTCAAGAGGTCACTGAACACTTTTAACTACTTTCATTATTCGAACGGGTACCATATTCTTAAAGATATTACCATTAGACGATAAAATTTCACGTGACCATTTTTATCTATTCTCATCTTTTCAAGCAGTAACAGAAAAGCTTTTCCGAGCTTTGCCTTGAAAATACCTACTCGCACTGCACACAAACACAGTCATACAAGATGTAACATACGCTAAACGCCAAACTGATGCCGTTCATCAGGCACAAACGTGCATGCTGCCGTCGCCGGATTGTAAAAAGTATTTAAATTATTAAGTACTTAATAGCTTAAGTCACGGGCCAATCTTTAAAAGTTAGGCAACACTACTGCAAACTAACGAGCTTTCTTACTAATGGTGACAACGAGTAGCGGTAGTGTTACTTGATATAAAGTGTTACCTTTACTCATATAAACATGTAAATCGAATCGTCGCTCAAACACCCTATTTGGAAATAGGTTTGTTCGTCAAAGATTTTGCAAATACAAAAATAAAAAAATAAATTAAATAAAAAATAAAAAATGTGTGTGTACTTACGTACGCACGCAAATAAGTTATACTGCGTTGGCGCAACAAAAGAAAAATAAAGAAAAATTTTGCCTCTAGTGCCAGTACTTTGTTTGTGAAAAAGACGTTTAATGCAGTTGATAACGGTTTTATCTTGGAATTGCAGGTAAATGTCCAAAAGTAGTTATTGGTTGCCACGGTTATACCGTGAAGTTAGTGGCTTTGCAACCATTTTCATCATGTCGCTTTTTGGGGATCGATGTGCGCGCACATCGTAAAAATTTAACTCTATTTGTTTTTTACAAGCGCGCCAAAAGAAGAATAATATCAAAAAACAAAAAATAATATAATAGTAAAACAGTGCTTTAAATTATATGTTCAATTTTAAAGCAACATTCAAAATTGGAATCGTGTTGTCTAAAAATTTTAAATTTCACTTTAAAAGCAAGGGATTGGAACTGAAAAATTAAATCATTTAATATGCGTTAAGCAGTTTAGAAAGTGCAAGCGGCAGGAAAACAAATTAATGGGAAACACTCGCCTCGGTGTATTGTATTCGTATATTGGACCAGGCTTCATAAAACCTTTCAGAGGTTTCTCCTCCATCAGTTTAAAATTGTCATGGTCCAGTTTGCTCTTCAGGAAAGTCTCCTTGTCGCAGGTCACTTTGTCCTGGTACGCAATCATCAATCTGGCGGCCTGTTATAGTTTTAATCAAACATAGATGAAAGAAACTTAATGACGATAAGTATGTATTTATAAATAGTATATATATATATATATATATATATATATATATATATATATATGTTCGTTACCATCGCGACAATAAATGAACACACACATAGGGGATAACTTTTTAAAGTTGTATTAAACATTTAAATTCTTTAAACATCAATATTTACAGAATTATTAAATTTTCCAAAACAAAGAATTTTAGAACACCCTTACCTATAAAAGCGTAACGTAAAGTTCATTTGTAAAGGTCACAAAGCATATGAATGGGTTGAATGAATTCAAAAGAGGCAAAACAATTGAATTTAAAAGAGGCTATGGCGCGAGTTGTATAGGATGTTACAAATTTTGTTTCTTTTTTACTTAATCAGTTTGTTTGAAAAATATTTTTTTTTAATTATGGTTTTTGTTTAACGTTATTATTTTTATATGATTATTGGCAAGTAGCGTTAGACGTGTGTTCATTTATTGTCGCGATGGTAACGACACGCTGGTACGGATGTCTGCAGGAACAGATCGCCTATGCTTTCGACTCCAGTGACTCAAGTGCAACTCCGGTTTTATTTGATATTTATTATGTAGGGACACACCACCCTTTTTTAGGGTTCCGTACCCGTAAGGTAAAACGGGGCCCTATTACTAAGACTCCGCTGTCTGTCCGTCCGCCTGTCACCAGGTTCAGTAACTCATGAACCGTGATCGGTTCGTGATAGGTAAATTTTCACAGATGATGTATTTCCGTTGCTATAGCATATACTAAAAATCAGAATAAAAAATATTTAAGTGGGGCCCATACAACAGAAATGATTATTTTGCCGTTTTTGTAGATAATGGTACGGTACGCTTCGTGCGCGAGTCTGACTTGGCACGAGATCGAGGGAGTAGCAGGGGTATGTAGGAGTCCCGGTGATAAAATGGTACCCACCAAAAAAACACATTGCACTTGACTGGGGATACGGTAACATGAAGACACAATCTTCAGTGACCCCGGCGTGACTGTGGCCTTCTTCAGTGCTACGACACCTGGTCCGGCTAAGTGGTGCTGTGCCGGTGCAACTAGAATATCACGAGCCCCGTATTGAGCAGCCATGGCCCAGCCTACAGAAAACTTCCCGAAACCATTGTCACAATCGATGGCCCAAGTCGTGCAATAGATATCCTACGCTCAGAAATTTTCATCAGCCGTCGGTTAAAATTGTGACTTATTTAAAACTGTGGACGACCGACGCTTCTGCACGACCCCCAGTATCAAAAGGGCCTATGACCGATATCGATTCAACTCACCCAGCGCGTACACTAGATACACCCACTTTTCGTGGTGATTCTCACCGCTTCCAGCGATCGATTAATAATACAGTTAACAGTCTTCGGGATCTGGACCGCATACCCTACGTCGAGCACCCGAATCCGACAACCCTAACACATAACCAGCGCATGCATAAACACCTGCACGACTCCATTAGCTTAGGGACCATCTAACTCATGGAAACTATCATTTCCATGGGTTCGTTATTAGATGAAGCTTTATATAGTTTTTGGACTGAAAGCGTAAGTTCAGTTAAAAAAAAATTAAAGCCATTCTAGACGTTTGCAGAAATCAAAATAGTTTTTAAAAGTATTAAAATAAAATAACAATTTTAGAACACGTTTAACGTGTCTTAGCGAATACTGTGTCAAGAATCGTCCATAAGGCGTTCACGCGTAGGTAAAGTGATTCCGTTTAATGGAGGACATTCACCTACATTGTCATGTGTCACAACGACAGCCTATTACGGTCAATCGGACAAAATGAAACTGCAGTATCTTATTTAAAATTGATACCGTCTAAATCTTTTTAAGCAAAGTCCCCTTAATCATATTCGATGAAGACTTAACAGTGATAATGAAAAAACCATTAAAAATATAAAAATCTTTCTATTATCAATAGTAGTAGGTTTCAAATGTGGCTTTCCTGGTTGAATATAGAATAAATGTCACAAATGTTAAAAAAAAATTACGTAATATAGGTACAATGTTGAAAACTTTTTCATGGTAAATTTTTTGTACTAACACCAAATTCACAAAGAACAATGCCCATTTTTGACCTGATTGTGTATAGAAGTGAAATAAATATTAAAATTTAGCTAATTTCATTTTATAGTAATTACACTAATCACAATGTTAAAAGAAGGTCGGGAAAAAAATATTTTTTGATATTTCTTTACGCTTATTTTACTTCAAAGGTACTTTAACTTATTACCATGTTTTGAACGCACCTTAACAATCCTTTGCATAGGACGTTCCATTTTTCACACTACCTACTTGACTGTATTCAACTTTTTCTGAGTTTGTGAGTATTTATGTTCATTATTTTTAATCTAAAAATGTCAATCATGTCCTAATCAAACTAACAAAGCTCCTATAAATTATACCTGTGACATAACACAAACAACTGTTCAAAAGATCTATATATCAAAAATATGTATTAAAAACTCAATATGTTTTTTTATTTCAGGTTACTGAGGAAGATTACATTTGTAAATCTTGTAATGAACTCTTTATGAGAAGAATAACCACGAATTAACAAGCTGTGATGTTGCTCAAGCTTCAGGATTATCTCAACCAAGTCGAAGAACACAGTTTTTGATAATCCTTCAGAAAAGCAAAGACAGATAAATGTTATTATACAAACAAGTTCACAACATCACATATTCATGTTTCTACATTGTTAATCATTTGCCAGTATAAAACTTGATACTATTACTCTAGATTATTTCTCTTTTGTATTTTAGATGTAAATTATTATATCTGTTATTAATTGACGGATGCTGTAATAATTTTAACCACAAATAAATACATAATTAATTTTTTTTTTAAATATATTTTTAAGATGAATAATAATTATTGCTTTTTTAACTTCTTTTGTCGATAGTTTTCTTTTGTAGATATCATCTGATAGAATATGCCATTCATGCTGTATGAGTTATAAGAGTGCTGCCACACATATTAGGCATGTTGCTGAAGTTTGTGGTGTTTCTACTACTGGAGATAATTTTTTTTTATGTTTCTGAGATTAAGTTATTAGTGAACTTATACTATTTGCATTAGGTACCAAATAAGGCAAGCCAAATCCTATTATGATGAACATATTCACTTTCATGGATCATATAGAATAGAAATATGTAGGGACACAGGAGTTTTCTAGGAATAATGTGAGAGGAAGTGGTGACATAACACTAATAAGAGGAAAAATTAAGTCCGGCACATTTAAAGAAAACAATATTATGTCTACATTTTAATAGAAAATAATGTGTCTGGCAGAGCTAGTATAGTCGAATACTGTTGTAATTGTTCAGTTGGCGAAGAAGTTGGATGTTGCACTCATGTTATGACTAGTGTGGTACTTCGGATGATCTATCAAGAAAATGTCTCTGTTATAGTCGAATTTCTGGATAACATAGTTATAAGACATATAAGTGAAGATGATGATAATTAATAAAGCATTCCACTGTAACATAGTGTTTTATTTTTTCCCCCGTTTTATTCATCAGGTATTATAATTATCAATTATTATGTATTGTAGTGCAGGCCAATGAAATGTGTAGGGCAGATAAATGATCACTTTTAACTAACGTTTTTTTAGTAAGTACTTATGTGAGCTGTTGAAACAGCAGATAATGCTCTTCACTCAATTTATAGTGACAATAATCGAGTCTAAGCAGTGACGTAAGGGCAGTCGGTTTCTAGGAATTCACAAGTAAAAAACACGTTTTAGACCTTAGTTCTAGCACATTTATTTCGTTATATTAGGTAACTGCAAATCCTAACCTAAAAAGTAACATTTTTTAATAATTTTTGGACTTCGTAGACCAGCAATCGTAAAAATGACTATATGATATTAATTTACTAACTTAAAGGTAGTCTTTCTGCTATACCTTGTAACTATACATACACTTTCATTATCAGGTTTTTAAATGTATGGGAAGTGGGCATTGTTCTTTAAATAAACGTAATTTTATTTCAATGTTTCGACCTTGCAAAAACCGATACTTAATTTTTTTTGAGAAAATAATGTCCATTCAGTCAAAACAAGTAAGAATCTATTACAGTTTTGTTTCATTTAGTAAGAACCGTAATTATTATCGTTCTGTTTAAGCGGCTAATAATTAGTTGCGAAAATGATCTCATTTACCTTGTTAACCGCTGACCCAATAACTGTGTATTCACGGCGCAAAAAGTGGCCGACGACCCCACAGTAGGTTGACCCTGTTCACACCACACGCTTTACTTTTATTTGAATGTAATGTATATTTGAATATTGAGATATTTTCAAACGTGAAAAGGGGTCGAAGATTAAAGAAATGGAAGTTTTTAAAAAAAAAGGACACCCTGTGATCTCTTTGGTTTTTTAACCGACTTCAAAAGGAAGAGGTTCTCAATTCGACTGTATATTTTTTATGTTTGTTACCTCTGAACTTTCGACTGAGTGGACCGATTTTGATGATTCTTTTTTTATTTGAAAGCTGGTGCTTCCCATGTGGTTCCATGTTAATTTAGTTGGTATTGGATCTTGGACTCCAATATTTGAAATCGGTTTTGTTTTTCGTTCATAAAAATAGACTTGTTTATTGTCGTTAATTCGAATCAAAGACACTTTATTATCGTACTCAATTCATAACTCTCAATAATAACCTTAGCCTCGTATTTTTGTTAGTTTTACCTCACACGCATAAATAATATAAATGGGCTGTTGATATAATCAATTTTATCAATCTCTGTGGAAAGATACACCTGTGTGAAGGAAACCTGTATGGTAAATTATATAAAAACAACGAACCGCAGTTTTGTAAATGGAATGCTAATAAAAAACGAACTACGTGAAGAATATGGAAGAGTAAAACTAACCGGAAGTAACGCCAATGCTGACGCTAATTATATTCGAGTCTGTGAGGGTTTCCTTTAGAGTTAGAGCGCACTGGAGCGCCTTTCTGGCCTCATCCTCGTGCTTTAGACCACGCAAACCGAACACAACCAAAAACATCATATCCTTATCAAACATAGACACCTTATTCACTAGACCGCCAGCCTTCGTTGTTACGCTGAAAAAAGTTCGTGGAGTTCAAAACTTTCATTTTCTAATTTTAACAATTGTTTTTGCACAGCGGATTATTTTTGGAGTTAGTGATTAATTTTAAAAATAAAATTTCTTGCAAGACTCATTGCAAATTTATTAATATCTTCAATTAAAAGATTATTGAATTCTTCAAGACAACGTGATAACAAATATGTCTAGTCTTTACAAAAAAAATTAATATAATAAAGTGTAATAATTAGCTTTTCTTGTTTCTTATATTAACTGATATTTTTGCTAGTTTTGCTTCATCTGACGCAGAACCCGGTGGGCTGGCCAGAACCCACGGCTTTGGCTAGCCCACCGATGGCCCTTAGATGACATCATCTAAGGGCCATCGAGGTTGCGGTTCGGACCGGGACCCGGGGAAAATGTGCAAATGTGGCTAATGTTCAAATAAGAACTACATTACCTGCAGACTCGCTTGTAAGCGGCGTCGACGACGCTTATGAGGACGTCTCCTCTGACTGGCCTCGTAATGATGTTGATGAAGACCACCAGGACCCGGCGCACCTCGGCGAGGAAGTCCATCGGTTCGTCGTTGTCCACCGCGCGGAGGACCGGCGTCACCATAAATCGGCGGAGGGGGAGCGCCCAAGAGCCGCGAATGGCTGCTATCACCGACGGGCGTACTGTCGCACAATTGGAAAAAATGCAAGTCTTGATGTCCCATCCTTAAAAACTTCAAGGATTTTAGTTTATGGCGTGAAGACTAAACAACCAAGTAAAAGAACATTACAGTTATAATAGCTAACGGGAATTGTTTACATATACTTTTTATAACCATTTAGAAGATAATGTAATATTTATTGTGTCGGAATTAGTCTTGATTGGAACGCCGCCAGTGCCATCTATTACATCGATAGTGCACGAATGCTCACTTCATTTTACCTGCCGTCGAACAAGGTGGACGTCTAGGAACTGTTACACCCTACATACCATACCCATTAGCAAGATTTATGGTTGTTAATCGTATGTTACTTTGCTATGTCAGATACACTAATCAGAATCATTTTAACCGTAATTTTACCTTCTGGATCAATATTACCCGAAATGCCAGGGTGAGAATGAAAGTTATTAGAAACAGCCAGTTAGAAACATTGCCAGGGTAAACTTCTTTGAAATTTTGAATATAGAACTCTGTGGTAACCTATTATAATTAATGTAAATTGGTGGCAATTTCAAAGGTCTTGTTACACCTCAAAATTAATTTAATGCGAGAAAATTTTCAGTCCATGTGTTATTACAATTTTAGGTGTCAAAGCTATCATAAATTTCGATTGGCATTTAATAATGAAGCCCCATTCCGTGCCACTGTTTACAATTGGCTTAATGAGTTTAAGCGTGGACTTAGCAATTTCAGTGAATCTGTGTGAGGGACGTCCTTCAACAGAGACATCTGGATAACATCAATGCTGTGTGACGTATGATAGAGGAAGATAAGAGAGTGACCTACCAGCACAGTCAGGCAAGTTTAGGCATTCATAACATTAATGCATGGCATGTCAGTGAGTACAAAAAATATTACACATCATTTAGGCGGCAGAAAGCTTTGTACCTGATGAATTTCCCATACTTTGATTGAAGACCAGAAACGCCTTCGTATGGATTGGTTATTCAAAACGTTAAAAATTCAACAGAGATGACTTTATTGTTGTAAGTATTTGACACCGTCCCAAGTTATGGAAACTGGAAATCTTACGACGAACCCAACCCGATTTTCAGATACCGAGAATACTTCCAACTCTCCTCGTACAACAGTAATTGAGTTACATATATGTTGTCAATCTTTCAGATATTGGGCACCAGTGCTCTCACCTACCAAATAATACATTCTATATCATGCCGATATTTTGTTTGCTATAAGTACTATTCGTATTTTACCACTCACTTGAATACTCGCGTAAATTAATGCAAACATTGTCGTCGTCATATCGCTTTCTGCTTACGGAAGAATTCAGCATATCTTCTGAAATGAAAATGATTATTTAATAATGAATATTAAATTGCCTTAGTGCTGCCGTTTCTATCGAAATTTTTCGATAATTTATCTATTAAACTCAAATTTAAATTTTATCCTGGATGAAAATTAGCACTAAGTTGGAACTCAGAATTAACATTAGAAATCAGAATTATTAAATCACTAGCACTGGAAATCAGAATTAATTCTAAGTTAATTCGTTAGAATTGAAATCAAATGGTTCTGTTAAACTAATGGTTGTTTTCGAGAAAAGGATCTAAATGATAATTCATAAAATTCCCGCATTAGACGCACCATTCGATAATCCAACAACTGAATGCAACTTCTCCACTCTCTTCCACGTTGCTCCAATACCAAGTACCTATGATATATTGTGTTTATGAATAAATACATTTTAATGCCAGGATTCATTCTGAGAAGTAGTAGATTATTTTTTTTCTGTTGTTATAATAAATTTAGTAGTTTCTACGAAAATTCAATGTTTTTTTTTAATATATTTTAACCATAGACAGAGCGAACGCACCATAAGTTTTTTTTAATAATAGGAAGCAAGCAGCAATCGAGTAGTTTAGCTGATGTTAAGTGCCGCCGCCCTTGGAGATGTACAATAACTGTCAGGTTGCATCTGCAACTGCATCCGCAGCTGTTGTAGATTTAACAATGCGGGCTCAGATAACCTAACTCACCAGACAAACACCAAAGTAAAACACTTCCAACTCACGCTTCTCTGGCTGAGGCTATAGTACTTCCTCGGACGAACCTGTTCGTTGATGCAACACCAGAAGTATTTGCTTTGACTTAACTGCTCGCTATCAATTTCCATTACGTATACATATAGATGCATGTTCCTCGATTAAATTTCTGAAACCATCTTCTTTCCCTAAGTCGCGCTACAAAAATGGCCGTCGACGAATTCCACAAAGCGATAAAAAACGTGAACAGGCAAGATAGTGGCTAATCGTCAAAGTAACATCGATGGGACTTATATTTTTTTTTGATGTTGTTTTCTCTAGCAAAACTTTGAAAGCTTCATCGGAAGAGAATTCAACTAATAAGGAGGGCAAGACACGAACCCAGGGCCCCACAAATAGAGTTTTTGAACCACAGCTTATCCGGAGAAAGTAATCAGGTCAAAATATTGATTTAACCATAAGACTATTTATCTACTATTGATCGCTTACGAAGCTTAAATTATATTAAACGGGATACTGAATTTTGCCGCATTCGTACAGTGTCGAGATATTTGTTCGAGTCTCCCGTACCTTCGTATGTTTGCCGTCGCCAAACGGCTGGGTGTAATACTCCGTCTCGTTGACGTACATCCAGGCGCTGGCTGCCGTGAGGACGTCGCCGGCGCTGCTCATGTACTCGGCAGTCTTCACGTCCCACACCGGCTGTCCCACGATTACGTAGTGGGCCAGCGAGGCTTCCCCACCACCGATTATGGAGAAGTGGGACACGCCCGCCGCGATAGCCACCTTCACTAAATTATATCACAGTTCTTTTACACCATATTAATTGAATGTTACAATAACATGACTAAATTCGACTGCGTCAACGTGTTCTTATAAAACAATCTTTGCCACTCATAAGCTCTATCACTTACACCGAATTAAAGGAACGTCAAATCGCATGAGTAATTTCGACAACATCAACGTTTTCGTATAAAAAAAGTTATTTATTTTGCCATTTATTAGGTTACAAGTTAATATATTACTAGTTCTGTATGACATATCAGTGTGATTATACATTGATTTATTTAATAGACACTATTTGCATGCATACAAGATACATTCGGTGCAAAATCCAGATTAATTCGGTAATGTTTAGTAGAGACAGACAATTATAGCTTTGCTTGTCACTATATTTCCTAATCATGCAGTTCAGTAATCTGCAGGATGTTTATAATATTTCTCAAAGATGCCATCATACGCATCACAACATACCAGTTCAAGGACATGAAAGTATTGTGCCATAACGACTTATAATACATAACTTCAATAAACGACATATTTTCTCTGATTTTTTTTGCAACCACGTCACCAAATTATTGATAGATAGAGCTCATATTTATAGTAGTAGATTACAAAATAAACTGTAATTAAAATAAACTGTACGAATATAAATACCCTATTTAGTTGTTTTTTGCGATGCGTTTAAGAAAAATAGTAGAAAGGGATCAAAAATAAGTTCTGAACACAACCTTTAAGCGGCACACCAACATCCGTCATGTATCTTCCATAGTTCTTTTGGATGAGGAGGCCGCAATCGATGGCATTGTGGACCACGTCCTGCATGTTGCCACTGGGCGTCTTCTTCCACATGGAGAGGAAAGCGTCCCCGGAGAATTTCAGTATGTCGCCGTTGTGAGTTAGGATCTCTTGGACCATAGCACCAATGTAAGTATTAAGGACCTGAGTCAATCTTGAGGGACCGCCGCGTCCTGCTTTTGTGTAAGCCTCGCAAATATCGGTAAACCCTAAAGATTTAATGGTGGTGTCAAATATGAAAAAAAGTTTATTCAACGCGATAAAAACTTTTAAAAATACATTGAAATCGAAACCGTGATATTAAAATGATTTAGACAATTATATTTATGAAATCATAAAAATATTGTAACCTATAAGAAAATATTTAAAACCGTAGTGGTTAAACTTCTATGCAAAAATTGCCTACATTTACATCTTGGTCAATAGGTCTTGCAGTTGAAAAAACATAGGAAGTAGAACGTATAACCATTAAAGGCTTTTTATTGTTTTTGTTTTTGTTGTTTCTTTAGAAATTAATGGTCAAATGAAAAAACAAAGTAGTAAAGTACTTACGTTAATTGATTTGACTGATGATCGCAAACAAAAGTACTTCATTAAAGAAATAAATTTACCTGAAACATCGATGAACATAAGGGCTGTTTCGTAAGTCCTGACTGAGAAATCCGAATGTTTATAGATGATCTCGTCGGGCAAAAGAGACGCCATCGTGCTTATACGATTTGCCCATTGCATATCATTCAAATTATCTGCCGTATTGTTTATACTAAAAATATAAAAAAAATATTTCATACTAAATAAAAAACTTTTTTTACTCCCACCTCAATGAAATAAATGCACCGCGTCATTTGTCGCGAGCTGATTTAGTCAAAGGAATTATTTAATATTATTATTATCATAGCACTTTTTTGTAGACCTTCGAAATGTTGTATGTTTAACTCATTCATACCATAGCACAATCTTGTACGTCATGTTTAGAAAGTAACCGAAAATAATTACGCACCACATGGGTACTCGGAGCAGTTATTTTTTTTTAAATTAAATTACTTGGCTCGGGCCTTGTGATAACAAGGGCTTTTGAACAGAAATATATACTATCTGTTTTAGCTGCACTCATGCCGTTTACAAGTGTAGCAACAAACATAATTTTATAAGTAACACAATAGATAACTTCTTTAGTCACCGTTTAAAACGACATATTTTATTTGAAGATTTAGTTATCAATCAATAAATAAAAAATATGCAAATGGTTGTCGTTTCTTGTCGTCGTTCTAAGGAGGAGGCCAATGTACATCAGTCTTGCGGCTGATGATGATGATGACAGTGATAAAATAAATTAAATATATAAATTTGATCCGGCCACGCAACAGTCTTCACTATTGCACGAATGGTCAGGTCCCTCCGAATAAGTACCACGACCTCAGAGGACCGGCTTGAAGTGGAAGTGACATACTTCCTCGTTTTGTTTGGTGAGTGAGGTAGCCGTGACCCATTTTATTGGAAGGTGGTAATCTGCAACCCTATGGGTGTTGCCGGTTCGCTTGCCACCTACTCGCTTAAAAAAAATCAGCAGCTATGATTTAGGATATATGTATTGAGGACCAACAAATTCCTTTATAACACAGATCGACCTATTTGATTCGAATTTAGAGCTAGCCTAAAACATGGTTCACAATCATGGTTTTATGGACACCGCTTGCTGACGCTGCGTAATAAAACCTATACCTACTTTCATACTTTGTTTAAGGCAGCCCAAATTATGCGAATGCCAATGATTATAAGTTTCATCTTAATAAATTTTGTAAAAGGGATTTAATGTAAACCAATATGCAATACGGCAACACGATAAATATACATAGTATGTCGTCTTGCGTTGCTATTCCTTCGCCGCTCACGTGGTGTTATGTCCTCCTGTGCTAGGTTACGAGACTGCCGTTGCACTCTTTTCATTGCCATCAAATACTTAAAGTATTTTTCCTCCATTTTTCTTTGGTTAAATGCAATACCGGAACCTTTCAACAGTTACTTTAGTAAGTTATAAATTCAAATAATATGTTTAAAACCTATGGTATCATAAATATTTTTGAGAAATTATTATAAATCCCAAAACAATTTTATTATTACACCTATAAGTTGACAAGTGATTACCTATGTTCCAAAGAGAATGTAATCACTACGTTGCTATGTTCTTTATTATTCTTAAAAAGAACGGAAGTTTCTATTATTGACACGCCTTTGATATTAGTATCTTTTTTATCATTTTGAAAATACCTAAATACCAAAAATGTAAATCTTATTAATTTTAAAACATACTAATTATTTTCTCTTATTTCATTGATTTGTAAATTTCAATAGAAATGTTTATTAAATATAAGCATGCTGCAAATTAGACAAAGGTTCGAACACGGTTGTGACTGTTGTGAGTTTTTTGATGTAGAAACAATGTGTTAACCTTATGAACCTAGGCACCAGATTCATTTGTTTAAGTGGTCAAGAGAGTTACGATAAACGCAATGTGGAACATAATTTATAAGTGTAAAAGGGTCATTAAAACACTCCGAATATTTATTTGAATTTTCGGAATACAATCGAAATACAATATGATGCGATCTTCATAAGCGAGACTCAAGTATTTAGTATCCTACAAAGGCTCTCGTGCTTTTTATCATTATTATTAGTCTTTAAAAACTATTTAACCACTTTGATAGATATTCTACTTATAATACATACCTACAATTCTGTTGATTGGTACTCTCAGATTATACATACTCTTTTGATATCAACTCTGACCTATTTGATTTATGTATTATGTTTGAATTACTTTAAATTTGGAATGTTAGTTTTATTTGTTCAGACTGAATTTTGTCATATTTATACAGATTCCGTAAAACTCGTTTGAAGATGTAACATGTATAGCTATCTGACATGACTCCTGTATTTTATATAAATTCAATAATGATTACGTTAGGTCCAAAAATAAGTTCAATATGTTTAAATTGAAATAAACAGTTTTCCTATCAGTCCTTAAGTGTCTTTTTGGTTTGAGAGCGATCCCATGAGCCACATCCTTCATTCAAGAGGTTATGGGCCCAGAAATATCTATATTTTTTGGAGATTTTCCAGTTTTTGAGCAAAAGTGACGAAGAAATTTTCAAAGTTGGACAAGCCCATCAAATCATTGTTAGAAAAAGATACTACCATTCAAGACTGGAAACAAAAGATTACTTTGAAAATAACTTCTGGGGATTTTGAAAATATTTTGAAAAATAATGAGCAGATTGCGACCACGAGTAAGGAATTATTATCCATAAATAAAATGGAGACATGGGTGATGAAGAAGAAATAATTCAAAAAAGGAAGAATTCAAAAGGGAACAATTGAAAAAAACTAACAGCGTTGAAGATGTGAGGAGTGTAAATTTTGTTCATAATCAGGATGCAGAAGTTGTAGAGAATAAACGAGATTTTGATGGTTTTTTGGATGCGAGTGGAGATAGGAGGAGGTTGTTGCGGAGGGTGTGAGTCCAAGGAGGGATCCACCGAGAAATAGGTTTTTATGAAGAGGAGACGGAGGTTGTTGCGGAGGGTGTGAGTCCAGGGAGGGATCCACCGAGAATTAGGTCTTTATGAAGAGGAGAAGGTTTTTGCGGGGGGTGTGAGTCCAGGAAGGGATCCACCGAGAAATAGGTCTTTATAGAAGGGAAGACGGAGGTTGTTGCGGAGTTTGTGGGTCCAGGGAGGAATCCACCGATAAATAGGTGTTAACCTAAGAAGTATAAGGACATGTTGTGGATTTTTTTTGTTGAGTTTTCGCTTTTAGCGTTTGAGGAAGCAGTTGACTCCAGTGAGGAGGAGAGGTGGTTGAGGTCTGTAGAAGAAGAGAAGTTTTCTTTGGAGAGGAGTGGCACATGGGAGTTGGTTGATGAAAAAGAGGCTGAAGGGAGAAGGCTTTTGGCAGACAAGTGGGTCTTCGCTGGGAGGTCGGATGGAAGATGTAGGGCTGGATTGGTAGTCGGAGGTTTTCAACAGAAATGTAAGGTGGACTATGGGGAGGCCTGTTATCCTGTGGTGAACGGACTTTCCAGGAACGGACTTACCAGACAAGTACAGGAAACCCAAAATATTCAGAAATTATCAACAAACAAACCACGAATCATAAAACAACAATAACACACTAACAAAAACCAAAACTCTTAGTATTAACTAGAACCACAAAAATACAAGAAAAAAACTTAATACACTATAAAGAGATATGAAGAATTAGAGAAAAATTCCGTTTTGAATTCCGATCCTTTCCCTTACAACAAACTCACACACATGCTTCCACTGCGCAAATCTCTATTATTAACACCCCCTTACACTGCCTACATTCAAAGGTTTAGAATTATAATACCTAAAATCTTAATAACGTCTATCACAAGACAATAACACCAATGTTCCCCATCAAATGAGCTTGTTTTAGACCGTAAAGACTTCTTCAACCCACAAATGTTCCCCTTCTTCACAACATAACATTAAGGAATTTGCATAAAATCTCCACTCCCTCTTGACTCCCAAGCAAAAACGCCGTCCCGATATCGAACCAATCTCAAACTCCTATGAGTCGCTATCGACAAAACAATTCCAAGCGAAGCACCATTCACCACAGGATCACAGGCCTCCCCATAGTCCACCTTACATTTCTGTTGAAAACCTCCGACTACCAATCCAGCCCTACATCTTCCATCCGACCTCCCAGCGAAGACCCACTTGTCTGCCAAAAGCCTTCTCCCTTCAGCCTCTTTTTCATCAACCAACTCCCATGTGCCACTCCTCTCCAAAGAAAACTTCTCTTCCTCTACAGACCTCAACCACCTCTCTTCCTCACTGGAGTCAACTGCTTCCTCAAACGCTAAAAGCGAAAACTCAACCAAAAAAAATCCACAACATGTCCTTATACCTCTTAGGTAAACACCTATTTATCGGTGGATCCCTCCCTGGACCCACAAACTCCGCAATAACCTCCGTCTTCCCTTCCGTAAAGACCTATTTCTCGGTGGATCCCTCCCTGGACTCACACCCTCCGCAACAACCTCCGTCTCCTCTTCTCAAAGACCTATTTCTCGGTGGATCCCTCCCTGTGAGTCCAGGGAGGGACCCTCCGCAACAACCTTCTCTATTATATCTCCACTCGCATCCAAAAAAAACCATCAAAATCTCCTTTATTCTCTATATCTCCTTCATTCTATATAACTCCTTTACTATCAAATTATCAACAAAATCCAACTTCCTCATCTTCAATTGTTTCTTCACAAACTACTTCATTTGTTTCTGTACTCTCTTCATTTTCAACACCGTCAATTGTTACTTCTTGAATTGTTCCTTTTTCAGTTGTTTCTTCTCCATCACCCATGCCTCCATTTTATTCATGGTCGCAGTCTGCTCATTATTTTTCAAAATATTTTCAAAATCCGCAGCAGTTATTTTCAAAGTAATCTTTTGTTTCCAGTCTTGAATGGTAGTATGTTTTCTAACAATGGTTTGATGGGCTTGTCCATCTTTGAAAATTTCTTTGCAGCTGTCACTTTTACTCAAAAACTGGAAAATCTCCAAAAAATATAGATTTTTCTGGGCCCATAACCTCTTGAATGGTAGATGTGGCTAATGGGATCACTTTCAAGCCAAAAAGACACTTAAGGACTGATAAGAAAACTATTTATTTGAATTTAACATTTTGATCTTATTTTTGGACCAAACGTAATCAATAGTGAATTTATATAAAATACAAGAGTTATGTCAGATAGCTAGACATGTTACTTCTCCAAGTGATTTTTACGGAATCAATCAAATATGACACAATTCAGTCTGAACAAATAAAACTAACATTCCAAATTTAATTTAAAGTAATTCAAACATAATACACAAACCAAGAAGATCAGAGTTGATATCAAAAGAGTATGTATAATCTGAGATTACCAATCAACATTATGATTATTAGGTAGTTTGTTGATAATTTCTAAATTTTTTTGGTTTTCTGTACTTGTCTGGTGTTATGATGTATATCTGAGATTAAGGGGGTGTGTTGATTGGTAATCTCAGATTATACATACTCTTTTGATATCAACTCTGACCTATTTGATTAATGTATTATGTTTGAATTACTTTAAATTTGGAATGTTAGTTTTATGTGTATATAAATTCAATAATGATTACGTTTGGTCCAAAAATAAGTTCAAAATGTTTAAGTCGAAATAAATAGTTTTCCTATCAGTCCTCAAGTGTCTTTTTGGTTTGAGAGCGATCCCATGAGCCACATCCACCATTCAAGAAATTCAAGGCATTAAACTCAAAAAAATTACATTCATCCTCGTTTTAGCAGAAAAAATAAGGTAATAAAAAATAAAAGTAAGGATTTATATTTGAGAATTTTTTGGATTTCCTTTTTTGGACTTGATCCGATTCTTCTCCCTCGAGAAGATGATCATGGTCGTTGGAGATTGGTTCGGGTGTATCTCCCTCGTGAACGTGAGTTTGCTCTGGAGCTGCAAATACTTCGGGTGGTGTTTCTGGTAATACGTGTTTTACTTCCAGTCGATATAAGCCACCTTGTTTTTGTCTCTTCCCTATTAAGCACACTTTCCCGTTGACAATGACGTTGCATTCAGTTGTCCTGGATGAAAAGGTGCTATTCGGGACTCGGTCGTGAAGTGCGAGTACGGAGAAGAGGTTCTTGCTTATGGCCGGAACGTACCAGACGTCTTGCAGGCTGATGTCGATTTGTTTCCCGTTAACATATCCTCTGAGCTGTACTGTTCCTTTGCCTTTGGCACGGACTTTATTACCAGCGGCCGTTGTAACAGTGTAGTTCTGATTGAAATGTTCGTAGGTTTGGAAAATGTCAGGTCTGTTGGTGACGTGGCTTGTTGCGCCATTATCAATGTACCAGCTCTCATTGTCCCGTGAAACTGTGAAGATTTCGTTGTCTTCTAAAGACATGAGTAACAAGTTAGCAGTTTTTGAAGTAGAAGGCGTTGCTGTCTGGGTCGGATTTTGGCTCTTAGGAAGTCTACCGTCACGGATCCATTTTTGACAGTTGCGTACTCTATGGCCAATACCTAGGCAGTAGTTGCATTTAAGCTTCTTGTCCTTCTTCTCCGTATTCGAAACCAGGGCTTCCGATTGATGCGAAGGTGCGTTGTTACCTTGCAGGGCCCTTTCAAATGCGCAGAGATGACTGGTTAGGCTTTCTACGGTACGGTTGGATTTGGGCAGGAGGAGCCAACTACTTCTGAAGCTGAAGTATGAATCGTCAAGCGTGTCCAGTATTTTACAAACAAGTAGCAGTTCGGGTAGCTCTTGGTTACTGTCCTTCTTGAGTTCTTGATTCAGTTCAGTCCAGATGTTCTTTAATTTTGACATGTGGGTGGCAATGTCGTCTGCTTGATCCTTCTTAAAGCTGAAGAAACTCATACACAGGCTGTAGGTTTTATCCTCATTTGTTCCGTCGAACAGCCTGTGGAGCTCTAACCAGACATCACGTACTCTAGTGAACCGCATAACTTTTCGAAGTGTGTCTTCTTGCATATTGGTGGTATCAAGATAGCTCTGGCATCAGCTTTATCAAACTTATCTTTCTGTTGTTGATAAGCCGCCAATTCAGCATCGCCGCATCCGGTAGGTGGACGAGTGGGTTCCTGGAACGATCCTTCAACTACTTCTAGGGCCGACGGTACAGTGCGTAGTAAGCATAAGGCTTTGTAATTCCAGGTGTCCCAGTTTTTTCCATCTAGGAGGCCGATCTGAAGCTTTCCTGTTATACCTTCCATTTTCGTAGCCTGGGCCCGTAACCTGATATGATTTAAAGATCTTACCAGAGTCTTTCTCGGTCTTACAGAGATCTTTAAATTGCAGAGCGCAGGCAGTTACGAAATAATATACTAACACACTTTTATAATGTAGAATTTATTACGCGGATGTTTTATAATTTTTATCGAAATCACAGTTTTTGCTATTTTGTTTTACTTTACGAACTGTCCGATTTTTTTTTCATAAGTCAAGACACTTATTGTCACTATGTCTATATTTACTTTTTTTGTTAATGAGTTTCTATATGTATTAACTCCAATAGTTTAATAGGAAGGACTCAATTTGAACAATAAATATCTTTGAAGTTAAAATTATCCAAATATTTATTTTTTCTGTGGTGAAAAGTTATAGCATGGACGAAGTTGAGGGTATAAATGAAAGAGATTTTTCGTTTACACAAAATATAAACACCAAGTAACATATCATTAGCTTGTTTATTTCAATACAAAACAGGTTCATCAACAAATATTTAACAAATATGTAAATCCACAAAAAATTTTATGTTTAAGTAATGGAACCCAAATGAATTGTAGGAACTTAGCTAATGCACATAGATTATCTTTCTTATTAATTTAATAGAGAATCTTTCAGAATGTTATCATATTGTTAAAAGCAGTTTAAAAAATCTCTTGTGATATATAAAATATAAAAATAATGGTGCAACTAATTCAATACATTAGCAGAATATAATTATATTATTAACCAGATAGCTTAGCTGTGCGCTGGATAAATTAATGAGAGAAGAATATCTTGTAATCCCACTTTTAAAAACAGACATTTATGCTTATGGGTAGTGTGTTATAGTCATAGGAATTATTATTCTTTTATTTAATTCATATTCAAAACTTTTTGTAAATATAAAAATGCGCTGAATTAAATTGCAGCAATATCCTTAGAATTTCTCAATTTTACAATGCCAATACAAATTACACTTTTAATTACTGAAAAAAATAAGTCATAATTTAAAAGAGTTTCACATCAACAGTCTTATTGTCATCACACGACAACCCTTTTTTCTCTATATTCTATGACATTAAAAAGTCTTTTAAGCACTTGGGCAATGGCAATGCCTTCACTGAACCATTGTTTACATATTGGAGTATTGCATCACGGCACACATTTTGTAGTGTTTTAACTGAAAAATAAAAGAGTATATATGAGATTATTAAGAATATGCATGGTTAATTGGATACAGATGTAGAATGTTTACCAAAAAATTGGAGTTTTTAGCATATGAAAATACTAGTTGCCGCCCATAATTATGTCTGAGTAGAATAAGTTGAAGGCGTAACATTCAGGCAGAAAGACAGATAGATATACATGAAATATGTATATAAATTATAGCCTATATCTTATTCTGATGTATAAGCTATATTATTGTAAAGTGTCATTAAAATCCATTCAATAGTATTTGCATGAAATAGTAAAAAACATTCATCCATACATGCAAACTTTCTCCTTTATAATATTAGTAAGGATTTAGATAAATTTAAATTTATTTCTATGCAAGTTATGCAAGTTACAAAAATTATCTAAATCTGGAAAATCTTTCTTATAAATATATCTGTAATATCCTTCTTTTGATAAAGACCATAATTTGTTATAAAGCAACACCACATAATTTGAAGGATAGTTCAAACCCGGTATCAAAAAGTACCTTTATATTATGTTTTTAATTTGGTTTTATATGTGTAATTATGTAGTCTTATTTTTCTAATATGTTTGAAAATTTCCAGAATAGACCCAGGACATGGTGACAATAAATTCTTAGTGAAATATGAATAGTAGTCCTATCTAGCCAGGCAGAACGAGATAGCCAAGTGCACTAGCTATGTCTGTCTGTCCTATCCAGTTTAAAACTTGTGATTTGTATTATGACATGATAAAAACAACCTCACCTCCATACAGCTGCACAATTTTCACTTGTTTTGTTGTGCCATACACATCAACAACCGCATGTAATGGTCCACTGGTATAAGGTATGGCTTTAGTGCAAGGACCTTGATCCTCACCATTTATTATAAAATGCATTTCAGCTAAATCTGGATCATCCCTACTAGTTTTTGGGCATGGAACAAACATAACTCCAATACGGCTACCAGCATCCATGGGAAGTATACCTTGCGGTTTCCCATTTTGAGATAGTATTTGTGGTCTTAACAACATTTTAGAAATATGGCCACGGGGTGTCCGCACACTATGCCCATCTCCTAAAACAGATACTCTAGACTCGTTTTCACGTCTACCACTTGCTCCTTGGTTAACTAATTCTATCAAGACATTGTTTTGAGACTTTGAAATTGGAAATATCCATGACATTCCAGTATTCGCCAAATCTGGTAAGGCATATTGGGGAAGTCCTTTATCACCAAGGGCTGCTGTCTGCGGGTCTAACAATGTAAGACCTAATCGCATATGACCACTCCATCCTCTTTCTGTTTTTTCGATCTCGACTAAAAATATTTCACCGGGTAATAATGGCTTCTCGCTAAAAGTCAAACCATGAGCAAAGCTTGCTTTTCTATATGCAACAGTATTGTCTTCGAACAAAATAATATTTGAGCCATGATAGTGATGAAACCTGGACAGCATGTTTTCACGCACTATACAAACATTTGTGTCACTGCTCACTATGCCACAATTAGTTATTTAAATTGCTGCTTAATTGGAATATCAAAAACCTTGATTTTTATAAGTCATTGAAAGGACTTGTTAGTACACCATTTTTGAGAAACAAAATAAAAATATTGACAACGAGTTCTCCGATTCTTTGCTTAAAAAATGCCCTGCAAAGTACATTTTTCTTCATACGGTTTATTTATTCGACTATATGTCAAATTTGACAACTATCAGCTTATTATCAAACTTGACCTAAATCTTATGCATTTGATAAATTTATTTTTAATTTCGGCGACAAACTCTTTAGAGAAGCTTGTTATTATAATAGAACAGTGTTTAATTGATATTTATTTAATATGAGGTCGTGATATATTGTTTATAGTATATATAGTAATAACGTAAAATTTAAATACTCATTTTATAATATTATTACTGGATAGATTAATTTATTATAAAGTACCATATATAACAAAAGAAAGAACTGGTTGAAGAAGATTTATTTGTTATCTGTTAAATTTGTTTAAAAATGCCTGTCATCTGCACGAAAGCAATCAAGCGGCATTTTCGCTTGATTTTGCGAAGTCCTGCTCCGGTAATATATGAATGCAAGAGGACCTGTTTTACAACATTGAGGAAACCATATAATAGTTTTCAATTACGCAGATCTAATTCAAGAAACGACTCAAATTCTGTAATTAATAAATACTTCGTTCAGAGCAAGTAAGTGTATCGTACGTCATCCGTTATCACTATTTGCAAAAAATTGCAAAATTCAAACAATAGTAACAATCATTAGTATATTCTAAAGGATTTTAATGTAATTATCACATACAGGAATGTTACAATATCGGTTTATTATGATTGGCCTTAATTTTATTTATTTTCCTTGAGTTGTCTAGTAATATTACAACTGTATGAAATGAAGGCGGTTTCTTCTACTTATTTAACAAAAAAAACTATATATAACGTATTTTATATATAAAGGCGTACTTTACGTTGGGTTATTTCATTACTATATATTTTATTTGGCATATTCTAGATACATAGGTTTGCGAAATTACCAAACGCCTTTCTATTCAATCTTTAGAATGTTCATTCCACAGTAGTGTTTGATTGATGAAGTACATATCAATTGATATGATGTTAACATATTATTCAATTTTGATAGGGGCTTATTTAATTAATCCTATTTCATGTTTTAGTCAAGAGAAAGCTATGGGAGCATTGAGCCCCTTAGATCCCTCTTCCTTCTCAAGACCAGGTAATTTTTTTTTTCAATAATTATATTACACCAACTGTTTTTAAAGAATAAATAAAGATAATAAATGAATGTTAGTTAATAGTTTGCTTTAGATATATATATATATATTAAATGAACAAAACTCAATAATTCATAGTAATCAATTTAACTCTATGAAATAAAATCTCTTACAGAAATTGCAATAATCAGACACATATCTCTAATACTGGATGTGGATTTTGAGAATAAAGTGCTGAGTGGTATTGCTGATCTCAACTTTGATGTACTCCAGAATACTGAAGAAATAGTATGGATGTTTTAAATATTTGAACTTTCTAAGCTAAATAATAAGGAATAGCTTTCACAACTTTGCAACCTAGGCTTTCTCTATTTCTTATATTTATTCATAAGTAGAACCTCCTTACGAATAAATATGAGAAACCTAGTATACTTTCACTTTGAATTCTGCTTGATTACAAAACATTAGTATTGGTTACTTATTGTAGTTTATGTTATTTGTTTTTGTGATTCACAGTCATCAGGACAGTAATTGCATGAAATAATTAGACATTATAAGATAATTTATAGATACATACAAAAAAGTGAAAAAATAAACATCCTATTGTGCAATAGTAGGGTTTGGTTGGACTTTAATTTTCATAATTCTCAAATTTGCTTGTTGTTGTTATTGTTGTTCTATTCTTAACATAAATAATTCATGATAGAAATAATGTCCCAAATAATAATTATGTCACAGATTAGATCATTAATGGATCATCATTAATTTTTATTATGGTCCCTTAGCTCACTTTTCCCAAATTTGAATAAAGAAACAATTTAATATGTCTGAATTAACAACTATTATATTGGCTTGTTATGATGATACACACTCTAGGTAGTATATTCATATCGCAGTGGTTGACTAGTCTTTTCCATTTATCAAATATTTTGACAAATTTCATTACTGTTTCGTATTTGTGTTTGCCGGTATGCCGCCCATCAATCAGAGCTAAGAGGAGTGGTCTCTCTACTATACAATGTTATTGTATAAGGGATAAAGCATTTCAATATGGTATTGGAACCTTCAAAAGTCACCAACTTATTTTGGGCACATCTCTAACATTAATATAATATTTAATTTGGTACAAAAATACTTTTTAACCCTGGTTTAACTTTATTTTCCTGATACAGTATAATTTTTCTAATGCCGTTTGACATTTGCAAGTATAAAAGAATGTCAATCATATGTTTTTCTTATCACTTGACCTGCCTTTCTACTACTTTTATTATCTTAAGCTAGATATAGCTTGAGCAGATCTCAAATATATCATGTAGTACAATAAAATCTATTCATTCTAAATCAATAGTTAAAAATTTCCAGTCAAAATATTATTCCTTATAAACGCATTGAAGAGTAAAATATTATACAATTGAAATTTTCAATGATAAAATCTCACAAGAGTCTTACTCAATATGATAATGTCATTTAAAACTTCCAATAATAGAAGTGCTATGATTTTAAATATTGTGATTTCCAAAATCTAAATACATCATTGGGTTATGATTACAAGCCATAATTTTATCTATTTGCTCTAGTCTGCACTCGCGCGCGTAATGGCTTATTATTTCGCCATAGGGCTTAGAATAATGGTCTACAATCACTAAATAGGTCTATTATACAGGAACCATGTATTTTTTTTGGAATAAAAAATATTCGTGTGTCGCTTTTCGGACCATACACCATGTCCAAAAGTTATGTTGCTTTTTTTATGTGAAAAGTAGCAAGCGAGCGGCTGTTAAGTGATAAACCTACGGGTGTTGCAAATGCCACTTTTTAATAAAGTTGACTAATTTTAGTGAGACTATTTGTATGAAGACCAGTTAGAACGCTAATAAGTCCATACAAGTTATTGTTAATAAATAGCACCACAACTCTCACAGACAGTTATCAAGCGCCGTCAAACTAAAATAACCTTATTTATTAGATAAACTAAGTCTACATCCCTAAAACAGCCTCGCGGTACGGTTTATAACCCTCGCGCCATCACGGTATAGTTTTTCGTTCTTGTCATTTTGGAGCGACATTAATGCTTCCATGTTTATTTTCGTTCACTAATCAAAACTCTTAATATAATAAACATAATTTAATTTTTAGTTTTAAGTTATAATCTTTGCACTTAAGACTTCTGGTCAAAAATTTTGCGACTGTTTTATTTACACATTTTTAACATCTTAGGTGCTGAGATTATCAGTGAAAATTAAAAAGTAAATCTCAACCTCCAATTTTTAAATATTTATTGTAAAAGTGTAATTTTATAAAGTGTAATTGCCATAAAGTAATCGCATTATATAACGCCATGATTCGCTGTTACGATGTTATGTATTCCTTGAACAGCTAGACAGAATACTTGCAATCTAGTTCTTACTGATACCTATATATTAATGCGTGAAGCAAACACTTTGTACCCCTTTTTACGAAAATTGTTTGGACGGAGGAATATGAAATTTCCCACACTTCTAGTTTATAGAGGGAAGAAGCGCAGAATGCTAATTATTTTTTTTTGAATTATACATATAAGAAAAATTAAAAAATCGACAATTTTTTTTTTAATTTCGACCATTTTGCGACCGCTAGTTAATAAAAAGCTAGTAATAAAAAACAAAATTGTGACAGGTCAACATCGCCCTGTCGCTGAACAACAACCAAAGCAAACTTGAGCTTTAGGAAATTTTCTTAAATACGATGCTTTCAATACACGCAATTAGGTTCGTTTTTCACCATGGGATATAATTTTTATTTTACGGGGTAAAAATTGCGCACTACGATTGGCCACATAGATATAGCTCTTAAAGGTACAGTTGGTATTGTAAATTTACAACGGGGGCTACGCTAGCTAATGCAGGGGGTACGATCAAAATTAATGCTTGACCGTTTGTAAAAATGTTTCTTATTATATATTATAAAATTATTAGTTTAAAATTATTTTAAACAATAGTAAAAGATATTTTTTTATTGCGACGTACCTATTAAATTATATCCCATAGAGGTCGCCAGTCGTCAGATTTAGGCTCAAATGGCGATCCACTAGGACGTTGAATGTAATAATATTGCATTAACAAATATGCTTTCACTCGGCCATTGCAGATTTTGGATGTCAATAATGTGACAATACAATCCATCGAGTTCAGAGATGGCACACAGCTTCAATACAACATAGGCAGTCACGTCCCCAACTTTGGCTCCAAACTGTCCGTTTCATTGCCACATCCATTCGTCGCCAGACAAAAGTAAGTCAAGCTAAATCACTGCGACACTTGTCCCCACACATTATGTTTCCGTGCTATGTATATAATTACATTTTCACAATCGAAATGGTGGAATCAAGCATGAAACCTTTTAAAGCGCAGTAAATGACGTCGAAGAATCATGTTCATCAGACGAAAGCTTACAAAATATCGCACTGGTTTACTCTAAGGGCATGTATAAGCCGAGCTCGAGACAACAGTTCGAAGAAACCGAAGACCTGATAGGGGAATGCGGGAAAAAAGGAAAATGCACATGCTGCACCCGCAAAGAGCCGAAGATCGATAGTAATGAAAATGGGTTAGACGTTGACGTTTATAAGACGTAGACAAGCAATCTAGATAGATCGAATAGATAAATAGAAGTAATTATCTTATTACTAAGGGACGAGCAGTCTAGATTCTAGATAGACCGACTAAATAGATAGATAGAAGTAATTATCTTATTATTTAGAGAGCTGGTTCTTTTCACGCTCAAAGGTTAGGCGTAACTATTTAGCGAGGAAATGCAGCTAGCGTACTTGACTCCATGTCGCGAGGACTAGGTTTATTAGATAACACTATAGGACCTGACAGATTTTATATATTTATTTATATATGTACAAACGACTTAAATCCGACAACTTATGAATAAAAAAAATTGTATTGGACCGAAATGTGAACCTAGACCATTCTCGAATCGACCTGAAGACACACAAAAAGTTTCATTGAAATCGGTCCAGCTGTTTAGAATAATATAATTATAAATAACTGCATTATATATAATAATTAAAATATCGATAAATAAAATAACTAAATTATACATTAGTTTAGTTAGATTTAATTCTGTAAATATTGGATGTAATAATAAATTGTTAAATATCTGTTAGGACATTTTTATCATTATGGGCTTGATTATATCAATTTGAATACGTAATTTTAACCATATGTGGTATATAGTTTTTTATCTTAATATTTTGCATGAGGCGATCTAATGTTGTTATTTTTTCAGATTAGTCTTAAGGATCAAGTATAAGACTTCGCCCTCTGCGTCGGCGTTGCAATGGTTGGAACCAAATCAGACGTCTGGAAAGCAGCATCCCTATCTTTTTAGCCAGTGTCAGGTGAGCTGTTAGTTTGTTGATGATTAACTTTTTTAAGAGGAATTTTGTGGAAAAAAAAGACAAAATATAGGATACCTGCGGAATTACTTTCACCTGTTACTTCTCCGTCAGAGGAACCTTATTACGAAACGCTGGTAGATTTAAAACAAATAGAATATAATTTAAAAAAAAACCGATTGCGTTTCTGTATATTTTTTTTATTTTGATATACACAGTGTCACTCTCATAGTAAATACGACTCTAACGACAGCTCTCTAGCTAAAATCTATCAGTGTTAAGGCTGCAGATCGCGCCAAACAATTATAAATACATACTCTCATCTCATAGAAGAAATATATATGTATACTCTCTCTATAAATATATATATATACTCTCGAAGAAAATAACCGGACCCACCGTCGAGGGTCCCGCCGGATAACACTACACCTACACTCGCCCTCGTCTCCGAGCACGGCGAGACCAACACAACGCGTACACAAAGTACACCCGCGTTCCGGGGCGGTTCTCACCGCTCCCAGCCACCGATTAGCTATAAACACAGTCGACGGCCATCGGGATCTCGGTCCGAACCGCGACCTCGGTGGCCTTTAGATGACATGTCGTAGTTAAACGCACGCATGAGCACATGCCCTACCCACAGCGGAGGGCTTAAACCCGTGGGTTCTGGCTAGCTCACCGGCTCACTGGTTCGGGTAAAAACGAGTATCGATAAATGAAATGTATGTATCTTATTTCGATGAATGAACGATCCCATCCTCCTACTTCTTCGTGAGTTCAGCAATTGGTCGATGCAAGTTGAGACACACGTTGTATTCTGTCAAGGACTGAGCTATTTTGCTAATGACTTCAAACCGTACCCCCCCCCCCCCCCCCCCCCCCCTCCGTGCAGCCGATCCACGCGCGCTCGATCCTGCCGTGCCAGGACACGCCCTCTGTGAAGTTCACGTACGACGCGGAGGTGACCGCGCCCGAGCAGTTCGTGGTGCTGATGAGCGCGGTGCGCGGCGAGAACCGCGACAAGCGCACCATGTTCCAGCAGTCGGTGCCGATACCGTCGTACCTGCTGGCGATCGCCGTCGCCGCGCTCGAACACCGCCGCCTGGGGCCGAGGTGGGTGGGCTTTTTTTTTTCTTTATTAGTGCCAAATATTAAAATTAACGGAATAACAAAAGAAGAAAAAAACATTCGCAGATATTTAAAGCGTGGTGGACTATGCTCTAATTCCCTCCGTACAGTGAACGCCTTTGCCCAGTAGTGGAACTTCTATAGGCTGTTACTTTAATTGTTTACTTTTGTATGTTAGAAAAAAATGTTTCCTTTAAAAAAATATACATTTCGATGTAACTCGAAATTTTTAATTAGTATTGTATATGTATAAAATAAAAGATATTATTTTTTTATTACATAACAGCTATTGACACACAGAAGTAATAGATGCTAAACTCTTGGGGATGTTTTGCTTATACCATTAATTGTGCCCGATGTTTAATAGTGCTGTATTCGACTATTAGATTTATGAACAGATACAAGGTTATCGATTCGTTATCTGTCGTTTGGTATTACGTCATGACACAATGTAATACGACGTTATCGTTCACAGTTAAATTATTAGATAAGAGGTTACCGCTTTTGTGAGATGACATATTTTATTTGTATATCTCACTTATATCATTGGTTTTGATGATAGAAACGGGAGCAAAATACCTGTCGTTCATGTTTTGAATAACGGGCACAATAAAATCTTATCCTTTAAACGAGCAGTTCGTGTATATATATATATATATATATATATACAGCGTGTCGTTACCATCGCGACAATAAATGAACACACGTCTAACGTTAAGTGACAATAATCATAAAAAAAATATTAACGTTAAACAAAATCCATAATTAAAAAAAAATATTTTTCAAACAAACTAATTAATTAAAAAAGAAACAAAATTTGTAACAACCTATACAACTCGCGCCACAGCGTCGTATAACAAGCCTCTCCTTCTAACTGTATGTTTTGTCTCTTTTAAATTCATTCAACCCATTCATATGCTTTGTGACCTTTACAAATGAACTTTACTTTACGCTTTTTTAGGTGAGGGTGTTCTAAAATTCTTTGTTTTGGAAAATTTAATAACTCTGTAAATATTTATGTTTAAAGAATTTAAATATTTAATACAACTTTAAAAAATTATCGCCTATATGTGTGTTCATTTATTGTCGCGATGGTAACGACTCGCTGTATATATATATATAATCGGAATCTCGGAAATGGCTCCAGCGATTTTCATGAAATTTAGTATGTGCGTAGATGCGGGGGCGAAAAATCGATCTAGCTAGGTTTCATTTTTAGAAAATGTCCTTTTATCCCTGTTTTAAGGGAATGAAAAATATCATTCGAATATGACGGTAAATTTCGCCGCAAAAAAATGTCATAATAGCTCGGTCGATAATCGCGCAGCCCTAAAACAGACGGCCGTGGTTCGTGTCACGATCATTTACACACTCTTTTTTTCCTTTTTTTTTTCGATTCCAGATCATTGCTTTCTTTATTTTTTATTTTTTGTTGATATGATTTTGTTATTTTTTTCCCTTTTTTTTAAAGTTGTTTCATTTGTGAAAAACACCACTTCATATTTTCTTATTATTAGGTCGGTAACATCGAAAAATATTATGCACATTTCATTACTCAGTAATTTGTATCTAAATTTAATTTCCAAAATACACGATTTACAAAAATAATATATATATATAACAAACCGAGCAAAGCTCGGTCCTCCAGGTACTATATTAACAGCGTCGAAGCGTAACTAAATTAAAATAGAACAATAGTAATGCCAAGGAATGATCATAAAATTGCAATTAATTATTATTATTTAAAAATATATACAAAGAAAGGAAAAGTCACGCAGAAAGTCGTAAACGTATACCTTCGTAAAACGTCATAATTTCATGTCTTACGCTGTATTTGACCGTGACCACAATCCTACAATCATATCTACAGTGTATGGAAAATACCATAGGCAGATAAGTAATCATCAAAAGTATTCTGCGATCACCAGAACTGCAAACAAAGATAGGGTGTGATTTTTTTACTTAATAAAAGAGAATTGAGATTATGATAATGTACGACGTGCAGCAATAAAAACTTTGAATAGAATCTTGGCGTAAAATAAATCAAAGTAGATTGTTTGTACGCTTTCATCTTTTAAACTACGCAACGGACTATAATATACTTTTCAGCAATAGGTAGAGTAATTCAAGGAAAATGTTTATATGTACTATACCTGCATAATATTATAGTAGAGACAAGCCAGTAAATTCAAAGATTTGTAAAATGATGTAGTAAGAAAAATATTTTTTGTGCTTAAATTGCAAACGTCTAAACTTTACAAGATAGATCAAACGAATGAATGAATCATCTTTATTTCACACACCGTGGTAAAAATACACATTAAAATTACCACCCGTGCAAAGCCGGGGCGGGTAGTAATATATAAAATATAAACTCTTGTGGCAGCAGTTGATGGAAGCACGCCACAATTTATGTTGTTGCACGAATAGACGTCATGCTCAGGGGAAGTATAGGTAAGTATAGGGCTCAGGGGGGAATAAGTATGTATAAGTCCGGGGAAGTACTACGACCTCACAGAAGACCCAGTAGAAGCATTTACACTTTGCGTTTCGTCTAGTGGGGGCGGTAACTTAAGCCTGCTGTGTTTCCATGGGCGGCGGTAACCGTCTCGCTTGCCCAATTTTAAAACGTAAAAAATAGCTACAAGTTATTTAGTTTGTTTTAAAGATGTATATCACGCAAATACGACAAAAAGATCAACTGTGGAAAATCTACCACGGCCTTACGAGGGAACCGTCTGATTTAGAAGTTATTCCACTTCGGCGTTTCTGCCAGTGTGTTAAGCAGACAAATCTGCAATTTATATGATGATTATCTCTGGTCGATCGTTTCTACTTTTCTTTCATAGTCAAAGTAATATCTTCATTCAATGTAGGCTTAACTTAAGCTCTTCTTGAACGTCAACAATAAAACTACCATCTTCATCATCATCGTTTCAGTATAGACTTAGTCTACTGCAGAACAAAGTCCTTCCTCACACACTTCCAAGAAGAACGATCTCGAGCGTTCATCGACTACCCGCACACTTGCACAGGTCGTTACCTCATCTAGTAGGAGGGGGGGATGTCTTCCTACACTAAGTCTAGACGGAGCGATGTCCTACCCTTTCTTTTTGCAAACATTAAATTTACGTATACCCCCCATCAGATCCCTGGTGTGGTCGGAGCGCGAAGAGATCGAACGCAGCGCTTGGGAGTTCGCCGACACCGAGAGGTACCTGGCGGCGGCCGAGGACCTCTGCGGGCCCTACCAGTGGGGCCAGTACGACCTGCTGGTGCTGCCCCCCACCTTCCCCTACGGCGGAATGGAGAACCCGTGCCTCACCTTCGTCACTCCGACTTTGCTGGTGAGCGCAACTGTGCACTGATCTCCTGTATTTACGCGATTACACGTTACCAAATGAAACCATGTTTTACGGATTCATCGCGTTTTGTTTTTAATACCCGACGTCTCGAACCCTATACAGCGTTCATGGTCACGGGACGTCTGAATGTCATTGTTAATCCGGACTACCGCCAGTTTTTTTTTTTTTTTTAGTTATTAATTTTCTAACGTATGCATTTTTTGACGAAACGTCGGGTATTAAAACCAAAATAAACGCGATAAATCCGTAAACATAGTTTCATTTAGTAGAGGACAACTATGGTTCAACACGGCGGCCAACACACCAACTTAGGTCTTTTAGCTTAGCCCCAAACTTAGGGCGGAAATTGCATATTTCGGGTGTTTTACGGTCCATTTTGATTGAACAAGCTGAGTAAAAAAAAAAGCTAAATGTCTTTTAACGCATGTGATTAATGAAATGTTATTTAACATTGTTTTGTTAATTGTTTCAATTATCTGTAATGCAAATTAATTAAAACTAAGTTATATATTATTAACCTTAAAACGTAAAGAAAGTCTTGAATACAGAAAATGTACGAAAGATGTACTTTGAATACTTTGCTTTTGAGATAGTAGTATAGTAAAATATTTCACACAGTAAATTGTATCATGGTGAATATCTTATGCGTTTTCTTCTCAGGTGCAACAGACGCGTCTCTGATATCTTGCCTTTCTAACTCAATATCTAAAATTATGTCCGTATACACAGGGAGGCTTTTTTAAGTGTATATATTTTTTTTTATTAAATTCTATAAATAAATGATGTTATATAAAAATGATAAATATTTAAAATCACTCGTTATTAATTAATTACATTCATTTGACCTTATCTCAAAAAGTGCGTGATTTATGGGCAACTCATTTATTATACGCGCGACCATTCATAACTAACACGCACACAAGTTCGTTTCAAAAGTATACAACGCATTTATGAATGAATACCGCATTGTCCACAAGTTCTGTATTTTAGGGATTGGAATGGCAATTTTTTTTTAAAAAAAAAGTTTGTTTTTATTTCGATAAACTATTATACTACTGAGTTTGAACCTCTTGTGTGAATTTGGGCACCTTTAGAAAAGCCATCCTGTATACAGTTGTGAAGTATTTTAGAAGTATGTTACATGCAACCTTACCACCTCAGTGCTAACGTGCCGGAAGCACCATTTATTCATAATATTACTACAGGACTCAGTGAAAATTTTTGCACACCTTTGGAAAGAGACAATCGTCGAATTTTGGTTTGGTTTTTTTTCTGCGAAAAGCTGCCAAGCGAGCACGTGGTTCACCTGATGTTAAGTGAATACCATTGCCCATGGACATCTGCTACACCCGAGGGTTTGCAGATGCGTTGAGAACCTTTTGAAAATGTTGTAGACGAAACGCGAAGTATTATACTTTCGCTTTCGCAGAGCGTTGTCTCTGTTGCACAATTTTATAACGAATAACTATGCCTCGATGACTCGATGTGCAATATTTATCGCAGTGTACTCTTCTATTAAATATTTTTCTAACTATTATTACCCTCCAGACTCATAAGAAAGGATAAGATTTTCTTGACACAGCTCAATCCACCCCTTTTCGACAGACGGCCGTGATTATTAATGATCTATCCCTCTTTCTAAATTAAATTGTATTTAAGAGAAGCCATTTATTAAAGAAAGAAGAAGAAATTAAATTGTACATGAATGCATATCGTTTTTATAAACCAAAACAATAAACCAAGTAAACAGACGTTTAATAAAGATAGCGTTTGATTGACATTTCTAGTAACGCATTATTAGATAAGATTAAGAAGCTTGTCGTATACCGTTATCTTACAAAGGAGCACGTACAGTGGTTCAAATAAGATAGTTTCAATCGATTTAATGATCTATTAAATATATGATTTTTATACTGAATAGTAATCTGTACATACTACATACATACGATCTATGGGGAGAGAGAGACAACTTAAAAAGTTTCTCGACGAATTTTTTTTTTTTTTCACCTTAAGTACATACACAAGCACTTAAATTAAAAATTAAATGCCGCATAGTGTATAACTTCACTCTGCTATGTGAGTATGAGTGAAGTACATAGGCAAAGGTTTTTAGTAGTAGTTGTTTCGAGTTCAAGTCCATTTATTGTAAACAAAAGCGATTTATACAAGAATAATTAATTGATTGTAATAAGTTATAAAAAAAACGATCATAACATTTTATAACATTTTATCGCCATCTCGCTTTTGAGGAAAAAAAAAGCACCTAATTTTATCGTAAAAAAAAAAAAAAACAAAATGTAAACCGAGCCGAGCGGCCAATTCAATGTCATGGACACACCTTAATTCTTTTTTTAAACTTATCGACACCAGGCCGGCGACAGGAGCCAGGCGGACGTGATAGTGCACGAGATCATGCACAGCTGGACGGGCAACCTGGTGACCAACCGCAACTTCGAGCACTTCTGGCTGAACGAGGGCTTCACCGTGTTCCTGGAGAGGAAGGTCGGCGCCTCCCTCATAGCGGACGCCGCCGAGGCGAGGCGCAGCAGGGACTTCCACAGCATCCTCGGCCTGCAGGAACTCAGCGAGACGGTAACCGAACATTTTGGAACCATCTCACGCTGTCTAGCGGTATACCCGTTGTGTGGCCACGCAACAGGAGGGATGTGGAAAAAATATAGATATATTTACTTTTGTTGATTCTGAAAAATTATTGATATATCGATAGTTTTGATTATATATATCGATATTTTCAGTCGATACCTATATTTGGATCCGATATATCGATACAAAATATAAAGTCGTTTCAAAAACGATAACGTCCTTAAGTGTCAAACATTTAATAATTGACAAACCTTTTTTTTACTAATGGTTTCTAGGACCGATATCCGATGTATCGATATTTTCTCAGATATATTGAGGCCGATATTGATATTTTTACAAATATCGATATATTTCTTCACATTCGACATCCCCACGCAACAGTCTTCGCTGTTGCACGAATGGGCAGGTCCGTCCTGAGAAGTACCACGACCTCACAGAAGACCAGCGTAAAGTGGAAGTATTACAAATACTTTCGCGTTTCGTCTGGTGAGTGAGGTAGCCGGAGCCCAATTTTCAAAAGGTTGTCAACGCTAGAGCTAATCTCTGCACTTAAGATGAAACATTTAAATTCATAGAAAAAACTTTTTTCGTCGCTGTGAGAATCGAACCCACGTCTTCCGGATTTGCGACCAACTATAAGCTAAACGACTCATTGTCACTTCGGCGAAAATTTCAGTGTTTCGCATTATAAGCAATGCTTGACTAATCGTCTTATGCTTATTATTGGTATACCCTTTCAAAACCATCTTAAGCTGTCTAGTCGTAGCCTAGCCTTTACAATCATCTATTATTGGTAAAGTCTTTCAGTTAGCATTAATAAAATTATATACATATACCGAAGTAGATATGACACTAACGAAACGATGGCACTCAATTTACGCCAATTGGTGTGATTAGATTGCAATTCTATAGACTGCTATTTCTTTCCGTATGAAATTTATGTCGTACTCGCCCCCGTATCATCGTAAGGGATCGTCCATTAACCACGTGATGCGGTTGTGTCTGCCAAGTAACGATAATTATAGAAAAAAATAATTTAAGAAATTTTGTACTTAACAAAACACGTGATTTTGTGTAGGGTAGTGGAGCGGGGTTTAGTTTTTAACCTTCACCGTTTGTCACGAGAAAGGACGGAGGGCGGTTAAAAAAATTTTTACTAAACACGCGATTTAACGGACGACCCCTAATAAAGTGACACGGGCGGTGTTTACATTGAATTACGTGTCCGTTTGTAGATCAACGACCATTTCGGAGCTGCGAGCCCATTAACAAAGCTGGTTCCCGACCTAAAGGGTGTTCATCCGGACGATGCGTTCTCCAGGGTCCCTTACGAGAAGGGCTCCCTGTTCCTACGTTACTTGGAGGACCTGGTGGGGGGGCCCGGTAAGCTCAGGCGGCGGTTCGCTTTGTTTTAGGTGCACGGCGAGTTGGGTGCCTCGAGCGTTCTCACCCGCCTGGTGGTGGACCTTAAGGGGGTCCATCCCGACGACGCGTTCTCGACCGTTCCGTACGAGAAGGGGTCCTTGTTCCTCCGCCACTTAGAGGACCTGGTGGGCGGACCCGGTGAGGTCCCTGCGGCGTTTGCAATCCTCGCAATTACCAATGCGCTGGCGAATGGAGGCCTAGCGGTTGGGAAGTCGGCTCGCGGTTTAGCTTTGAGCCGACTGCTCGTTTGCCCCTTTTCTCCATAGAATAAAAAAGATGAGAGGCCTCGCATTTGAGTGAACGACGTGGACGAGTAACGGAATTCGGAATTCGTTCAGTCTCAAACTCGTGACGAACAGACTGCAACCAACCTTACGAGTTTTGGGTATGGCAATCGACATTGGGACCAAAAGTGTGATCATATTATATTATGTAGTTGGCGCTAATATTTACAGCTACCAAATAAAGAGTTAGCGACCGTCGTAAAAATATATGTTTTGTTACATATAACTAAAATACGAGCTTATATTGTATTCTATCAGGGAGAATGTTTGAAACGAATATTGCATATTTGGATAGAGAATTATTCTATAGCGTCCATATTAAAAATTTCGAGTTACATCGAAATGTATATTTTTTTAAAGGAAACATTTTTTTCTAACATACAAAAGTAAACAATTAAAGTAACAGCCTATACAAGTTCCACTACTGGGCAAAGGCGTTCACTGTACGGAGGGAATTAGAGCATAGTCCACCACGCTTTAAATATCTGCGAATGTTTTTTTCTTCTTTTGTTATTCCGTTAATTTTAATATTTGCCACTAATAATTTGAAATCACTTCGTTTCGCAGAAGTGTTTGACGAGTTCCTCCGCTCGTATCTGGGGCACTTCCAGAAGCAGTCATTGGACACCGACGAGTTCAGGGATTACCTGCTAAGCTATTTCAGCGGCGACCACAACTTGGCCAACGTCGACTGGAACGCCTGGTTCTACGGCAGCGGAATGCCCCCCATCATTCCGAAGTGAGTGAAACATATCAGCTATTTTAGTCGCTTCCGCGAATACGCAAAACGGACAAATTGAGGTTAAAGAAATTTATTCCCAAAACGAAAAAACAATACAGTGGTGGCACTGTATTGTCTTTTTGTTGTTGCGTAAGTTGTTATATGAGAACGTTATGCAATTATAATATAAATAAACATTGCTTTACGAAGCTAGAAAAGTAACATTGGACTGGTAGAGTGACGCAACAGTCTTTGCACGAATGGTCAGGTCCGTCCGGGTAAGTACCACGACCTCACAAAAGGCAGACGTGGAGTGGAAATAGCCAGGGCCTACTTTATTGAAAGGTGGACATCTGCAACCCTATAGGTGTTGCAAATGTCAATGGGTAGCTTTTATCACTTAACGTCAGAAGAACCGCGAGATCGTTTGCCACCTTCTCACATAAAAAAACATTAATTTTTTTAGTTATATACGAAGTTTATCTCCCCCGCGGGAATCGAACCCGTGTACATCGGACATAACATAACACCAGACTCCACTGCGGACTTCACATATCTTCGAAATGTTTTATTTTATATTCCTTTGTCGGAAATATGCAGGTTCCTCGGGATGTTTTCCTTCATAAGTCAGCACTTAATACTGCATCTAGATATATTCTATATCTAGACAATTCGAATTAGAAGGGAGCGCCCGGACACAGCTTTCACAGCTATGAAGCTTCGCAAAATTTAAATATCAATTTTCAAAACAAAATGTTTAATTTTAGTTCTAATCTCTGCATTAATGAAACTACTATCGCGCGGTGAGGTTATCAACCGCTTAGTGGCGAGTGATCCGGAAGGCGCAGGTTCGAATCCTGGTAGCGACAAAAAATATCGAAAAAAAAAACTTTGTTCTCAACTGTCAGCGAGTATGTATACAATAGAGGCGTAAAGGCTTGTTAGGAAACAAGCGATCCATTCGCACTGTTGGGTGACGAAATTAACAGCACAAAAGTACAGTCAAAAGTATTCATTACGCAATAATTTAAATCAGTATCGAGTGTAAAAATATTTTTTAATGTTTGGACATATGATTTTTTTTTTTTCTAAGAAAATTAAGTTATAGCAATTATTGCATATTTCGTGTAATCTCGGTAACGGCTCTAGCGATTTAAATCAAATGTTATATAAACTATTTAGATCAGGTTTTGCTTTTTTTTTTTATATATGTGCGCCTTTCGTGAAGAAATGCGCAAATATTTAAATTTTTTTAACAATGTCATTTAGCGCCATCCGGAAAAGTACTAATTCACTAATATCGGCCAAAAATACTACTCACATTCTAAAACTTATTAAATCGTTTGAATTTTGATTTCGGCCAAAAGTATCTAAAAAGTTGAAACGTTCATTTTAACCAGGACTAACTATTAACTTTGGTTACGTAAATTTTATATTAGTACAGAATTTTGTTACGTACAGATGAATAGTGACTCCCATCAGATTTAGAACTTTTTCTGTATTTTCTCCAAATGAGTGATAATCATTACAAACTCAACCAACCTTAAAAAAGCGGATCCTGGTTACCTCAATCTGGAGGCTAAACGTGAAGGTATTAAATCTTTCCGCTTCTCGCTGGGCTTCTGTGAGGCCGTGGTTTTGTGCGGACGAGCCACAGCGTTCGTGCAACAGCAAATGCTGTCCCATCAACATTAATATAATAATTGCGATGATGAAATCTCCGCTTGACCTAACAAAAAACGTACGCACTAATTTCAGTTACGACACGTCTATGACGAAGGCCGTCACCGCCCTAGTCACGAAGATCACCGAAGAAGACAAGTTTTCCTACGACGACGTTAAATCGTTCACGCCGCACCAGATGATAAACTTACTCCAGGAGCTTATCGATAAAGAGGCACTGCCAATAGAGAAGTTGCGTAGCGTAGGCGACGTGTACAAAGTCAACGCCAGCAAGAATTCGGAGATCATCTATAGATGGCTGAGATTGTGCATCCGGAGCAGGGATCAGGAAAAATTGAATGATGTGTTCAATTTCGTGAACCAGCAGGGGCGTATGAAATACGTACGACCGATTTACAGGGACCTCTACGCGTGGGAGGAAGTACGCCAACAGGCCATAGACAACTTCCTACAACAGGAGCCGTACATGATGCACGTTTCCGCTTACACTCTGCGTAAAGACTTGCATCTCAGTGATTAAACTCGGTTAGTTTAAGATTATATTTATATGTATGCATACTGTGTGTTGAACACACTTGAACTACAATCTGACATGTTAAATGCATATGTTATTCGGTTTCTATGTCTCTTTATCTATTTAATATATTTACCAAGTGTATGATATTGGTAAATCCATCACTGATGACAAGTAATTGATGTATTTAAATAAAGATATGAATCAAAGACTTCTTTTATTTGAGTTATTCATAGGTGATAACTGTGTTTTTCACAATCCAATATGTATTAGTATAATGCTTATATATTAAATAAAGATATTTGAATTTTGTGAATTTCCGGTCAGCTAATGCTCCAAAGTCAATATAATAATGTAATGAGTATTACAGCTAGTTTGTTCATCTAAAAATCAACGTTTAGTAAATTAATTTAATTTTGGATTATCATCGACACTAGCGTCTTTAGGCTTAATTTTTTTTTATAACCCTTAAAAAAAACTATAACGAAACTTCCTACAATTTTTACTGGTATTTATTAAATGAAAAAGACAAAATAGCATTAAAATTTTATTTTTCACCCTGTCAACACGCTTACTTGAATATCACAGCACATCCAAAACAATTTTAAATAGATCTTACACCACTTTTTCCACGTGTTATTTGTGAAGAATATTCATTTGATTGATTCAATGAAAACTATTCACAAACAGAAATCGTCTTGTAATTTTCGCTTTTATTATATTGTACTATAAAACAATGGCATTTTAAAAGTTACGCCTGTAGGACCTTGTGTCAATATATGAACAATATAGAGAAAATTATGAGTCTAGACAGATTTCTTCAGGCCTTTACTTTTGAAAGTCAGCAATTTCCACTAAAAAAGTAAATATCAAACTTCATAGTCAAATTAGACGTTTCGTCTGAGAAAACCCACTTTATTAATAGGGGCTAACGCATCTGAAACCCCACTGGTGTTGCATAAGTTCATGGGCGGCGGTTATCACTTAAGATCGAGTGAACCCGCTAGCTCGCTTGCCACCTTCTCGAGATCAGAGAAATAATTGTTATTGAGTACTTACAACAACTTGAATATATTTATCACTTAATATGGTTACCATACCTGCAGGAGTTAATTAATATTCAAATTATTTTAAATCTGAAATATGTTTCATTGATCATTTTATAAATAAAGTTAAATTGTAACTATCAATATTACAGTCTTTCTTCGATTCGTCGGAGATGTATACATAGTTCAAGGTTTTAAAAATATTAATATGTTTAATAACACATAAACAAAATATGCAATATATAATTGAAACAGTAACAATGATTTTTTATGTAATTGCTATATAGTTACAGAAAATATTTAAAACATAATATTAATTTACATCACAAATGAATCAGACATGCTTTAGTCAATTAATTTTTCCAATGTACTTACTATTTTAGTATAAATAGATTTGTCTTTGCTGGTTACTAAAATATGTATCTCACCATGGAATTTAATGGATATTCACTGTGTAATTTACATGAAATCTCTCCGATACAAACCTTTAGCTTTACTATACTTACTCTGTCTTATATCTGAAGCTCCAGTACCTGTAACTTGATGTTGTGGGTATTTATGGATCTAAGATTATTATTTTTTGAGATCTGGTAAAGACTACTTAAATGAGTTACTCAAATTTTATAGTGAATCTAAAAAATAAAAGTAAATCAAAAAAAAGAGCATAAAAAAATCAAATATTGGCAGACTATTATTACTGATACTTTTAATTTATTCAGGTTTTCTTATTCCAGTTTCAAAATAAAATGAATTTAATATTCTAAACTTAGTTAAAAGTTCTTTAAGGTAAATATTTTTCAATCTCATTTGTATATTGTTCTTTTATAGTAAAATTATTGAAACTATAAGTTAAATGTTGCATTAAATCAGCTTGAATTTTATTAATGAGTATTATTTTATCCTGTCTAATAAACTTTGGTCCTATGCTCTATACAATGTTAATTGAAACGTAAAATTAACTTTTGCATTGTACCATTTATTATACATGGCTCAATATGTCTTGATGCTCATGATATTATACTGCAACTATAAAAAATATTCTGCAACTGGTTTTATTAATTTAAGTTTACTTTAACTTTGATATTTAAATAAGCTACCTGAAAAAACAGTAAACTTATTATATTTTATATTATTACTGATTTTAAAAATAATTAAGTAGGAAAGGAGTTATGGCTTTGCTCAGGTTTGGAAAATGTTTATAGATGTTATTACTACTTACAGAAACTGTCATCCTATTTTAACACAATATGCACAAGTAATTAAATTGCTTTGTTCTGTTATTGTCTTTTACTTTAAATTGACCACAGCAAGCACATCACTAACTATCACAGTATTCCACATTAATTGTGCTCCATTTGGAAAACAAATCACTAATTATTAACTTAAATTTTTTGATTTAAATTAATGGTCTTTAGTTATTCAGATCATTGATCATTTTCATTTTCACCTGTTTTCCACAAACCATACACTTTTATTCAGAAACAGCACTTTGAAGATTGGCACTCACAAGGTGTAAAAAAACTACAACATTAGATTTAATATTCTATTTGCGTGTGCACACACACTACACAATCACCTAACTTACACTGAATAAGTATACACTAAAACTTGGCTTCCTTTACTATAATAAATACACAAAAAATCAGCATTTGTCGAGAGTTAATCTATTTATAAATATAATTATATGCTTATGCAATAACAATTATTGCTTTGCCACTATAACTGTGAGTGTAACAGCACTTGCACAAGTATAAAAGGACTCAAAATTTCACAAAACTATCATAGAATCACCTCACAACTGCACTACACATCACATAAAAGACATAATATTTTATTGTTATACTAAAAACAACTAATGAACTTAAAAAAAGAACTTATGCTAAATATATAAACTCAAAAAATATATATCATTATTGTTTAGTCAGGCAGAGCCCCCTCTGACAACAACAATGACAAGGTGATCTTCCTTCAAACTTTCTTCAGTCAAATTGTGGCAAGTCCTTTTCAAAAGCTCAGTTGAAAACTCGCATGGTGGGAATGAATACAAAACACCTGTTGCCTCCGTTTCTTTATTCAGCAAAGATATAACACCAGCAGCCTCTTTTTGTTTAAGATAAGAGACCAAATTTCTCATTGGTCTTGTCTGAATGCTAGAGTCCTCATTGGAAATTGATGCTGTTGAACCAGCTACTCCTAAGAATATGGCATGTGAACTAGATGTCGCTATTCTCTTCTGAACATCATCCAATTTGGGTTGATCCAATCTCAATCTCTGAGTAATTCTCAACTGATTTTTACCTTCTTCATCTTTCATAAGACTGTCAATAATCTCAGAATCCCCATCGGTAAGGTGGAATTTTGTAGGGAATAAAGAGTTCTTTAAAATTAATGCTCCATTCCAAATTGTAGTAGCTTTTCTCACTACTTCAGGAAGAGTCCTTGCTGAAGCAAGCATTCCACTGCTTCTTCTTGGAGAGCCATCAGAGTCACTATCTGGTGAACGACGACGTGGTGACCGGGATCTTGAACGATCAACACCTGGCTCTCGTGACCCAGAACGACGAATGCGCCCCTCATATTCACCATCAACTGGTGCCCTTCTCCATTCTTCATCTCTATAGTCTGCAGTGCCATGATATGAGCCTCGGTACATGCCCCGTCCACGACCACGGTGACCGCCACGGCCTCTGTATCCTGCCCCATAGCCATACCCCTCTTCCCAGGTACCATCATACCCCTCATATCCTTCTACAGGCCGGCCATCTTCACCAACAGGTGGTGCATATGGCTTTGGTCTATATGGTCCTCCTGTGCCTACATCAGCAAGTCAATACGTAAACGTCTTTCAGGGCCTCCTAAAGGAAACCCTCTCATTTCTTTTACAGCAGCTTGAGCTGCATCTATAGAGTCATATAATATATATGCATGTGCCTCACCCTTAGCATATTCAATCTTTTTAATAGCCCCAAACCTATCAAACTCTCTTTCTAATTGAGCTACTGAAGTCCAAGGCCCTAAACCACCTACCCAAACTCGAGTGGTTGGTGTTGCCTTTCCATATCCTATTTTACATTGAAACTTTCCAATGTACTGCCCAGATAACTCCACCTTAGCTCTATGAGCCATATCTAATGTTTGATATCGGACAAATGCAAACGCATTTCCAGTACCAGGTGGTGGTCTCTTAATGTCAATATCTTCTACAATACCATAGCGTCCAAAGATACGTCTAAGTTCTTCATCTGATATATTTATTTCTAAATTGCCTGCAAAAAGAGTTCTAGTTGCTAATGGATCATCTTCGGGCTGTACATGATGTAAATAATTTGGAAACTTGTCTTTTTTGTTTTCCATTTTCTCAAAGGGTGGATGATGTGGTCTAGGCATGTATGGCCGCGGCATGTAATGAGGATGAGGAGGGTGATGCATTGGTGGTCTGTGGTGCATTGGTGGCCCGTGAGGCCCCGCCATCGGATATTCATGCATTGGGGGACGAAAATCTCTGTGGTGTGGAGGAACAGAAGGGGGAATACCATATGCCCTATCATCCGGTGGTGGCCTACGCCGCTCAGGCACCGGAGACCACGCGTACGAATAAGGACGATCATAATCTGGTGGCGTAATACTTCTTGGCCTGCTTCTGTATTCCGACCTCACAGGCTCGTAAACCGGATCTACAATAGCCACTTTGTCATATAAAATTATTCTTGGTTTTGCATGCTTAGCATCCCTCGCATCTTCTGCACTACGAAAGCATACATAGGCAACCCGCTCATCTAACTCATGAGAAATTTTTATGCTAAAGTCTCCAAATTTTTTATATTCCCTGTACAATGTATCTTTCACAATTTCATCGGAAGCTTTAGGGTGTAAAGCGCTCACACAGAGCACTTTATAATAAGGCCGCACCGACTCTTCGCGGACTTCCCTAGAACGTACATAGTCATCTCGGTGAGGTGACACATACCGACCGCGAGGGCTTGGAGAACGTACGCGACGACGAACGCGTTCCGGTGTCACGCGCTCATCAGAGCTGTCGTCATAACGGCCTATACTACTGCGCGTTCTCTTCGATCGCGGCATACTGTCCCTGGATGAGCTTCGTTTCATGTTACGAATTTTCACCGTTATACGATCTCTATCTCTATCGCTACGCGGTAATCCAATCATGAAAGCTCAGTTTGCTGAACCACTATCTGAAATGCACAACATTACACGTCACTTCAAAATGTCGTCTCGTCCCAGTTGAAATTGTGTAACACTTCACCTTAAGAGTTATAAGTCTTACCACAAACTATATAGCGACCAATACTCGCTCGGACCACAACATGAATAACTAAACTTTTACAAACACGAAAACAAATATTCTATTAACGATTCACTGCTTAATACTAACTGAACCGCACAATGGAAGACAGTTTTTAGACACAAAATGGATGCCGGGTCGGGCTGTGCTGTGGCGTGTTTTGCCGAAGCGAGCAAAGTAAGCCAAACAGTGTGGCCAACTACTTAAAAAAAATGTCCCTAAAATCAAGATGAAATAGCCGTTAAAAACACTTAAAGAAATATTCAAACCGCCTAAAAGCCCTGTATTGATTTCATACATATTGTTTAAGTGAGTTTTAAGTTTTATTAAAGTTAATATAAATAATATAACATAGTTTTAATTACCTTACATTAGAAATAGTTGAAATAAATAACCATATTAACAAACATTTCATAAATTACATTCATTAATAGACATTTTGCTTTTATTTTATTCATGTTGGTCAGTGAAAATAGTGATTAAAAAAATATTATTACATATCGATGTTTTCTTTTTAGGCCCTGTTATCCAAAAACAAAAAAAAACGTTCGGCAAGTATTTAATATTTGAATGTACGGACTCAGTCCGGATTCGAATTTAAAAAAATATCGTTTGTAACATGATTTCGATAGTGAATATTTTATATCGATATATTTAATAATAAATATCGATATATCTAAATTAATTTCATCCCTATCATATCCCTAGATCAATCATCAATTAGGGATGCCGAAAATCCAAAAAAATATCCATATATCGATATTTATAAAAATATCAATATCGGCCTCGATATATCGAAAAAAAAAAAGATATATCGGCCTAATTTTAAGTTTTAAAAAAATAATGTATTTAGTTCAGTCTGATTCAATAATAAGAAATAATAATTTTTATACTAAATTCACGTTATTTAAATGAATGAGACATTTTAATAAAACATTAATTATTTATTAATTTTAATCAAATTTCTTTGATTAATCTAAGTAATTTATTTATCAAGAACTTCAACGGAAAAAAAAACAAACAGCTTATTTAGTAAGATAAATCAGTTTCTTTAGCCCTGAATCGAATAAAAAAATAACTAATTAAAAAACATGTAAATTTGTAAAAAAAAATATAAACAATTTTTTAAACGAAGTTAATAATGGGTCAAAAAGAAACCCGCAGAGACTTGTCCTAAAAGACAACCTACCCTAAAAGGCCTAGATTCTAGATCAACAGGATTCAATAAATAGTTGTTTGCTGGACATGAAAATGCTGAATGACAATTTAAAGAATTTACCCATGTACTTCAATGATAATAATTTTTATGACATCAAATAATTTTTTTATGAAAGCTCGATATTACATTGTGACATTTAAATAATGAGAATTTGTTTAAATAGTGAGAATTAGTATTAAATGCCATAATTATAGTACAAAATGCAACTCTGCATCCGCGACAATACTAGTAATAGATCACACATTTTTTTCGTTCATTTTTATCTTTTACGGCTTTGAATCAGTTTGAATAAAAATATCGTTTTTGATACAATTTCTATATTCAATTTTTTATATCGGATCAAAATATACCGGCCAAAAATATAGATATATTTAAAAAAAATATCGATGTCGATATTTTTTCGGCATCCCTATTATCAATGACCAAACTTTCAAAACAACAAAGTGACAATCAAAGAGTACTTTTATCTAACTAAATTATATTATGGTGATAATAAAGAAACGACTGTATGACTGTTTCATTATTTAAGTTTAAGGTTTTTTTAATGTTACTTCTTATTTGCACACGACTGTCTCATTATACACAAAATATATCTAATATCTATTGATATCAAAAATAAAATATTTGTAAAGTATGGCGAAGTTTATGAAGATGCAAATATTGAAAACAGTTTTGATATGTTAGAATAAAATGTGCGATTCATGTATGTAATCTTCGTTTATATGGGTATAAATACACTAACTTTTTTGTAATTATTACAACAAAATACCGGAATTAATATTATGCTCATTATAATAACGTATACGTAAGAAACATTAAGTGCGTTTCAATATTATTTACAGTTTGATTAATTTTTGTTAATCATTTGTTTATAGCCTGAATTAAAAAATAAACAGTTGCAGACAAATGAAAGATGGACATAATAATAAAGGTTAATAATCAATCGGTAGGAAGAGACAAATTAGCCAGGTAAGTTTCGAGATGTTTACTATGAGCTTTTACATCACTTTATTTTCATATGATTTCTCCTGTAAGCTTAAAGAAAATAATTGTTTTTGTGTTTATCAAGTACTATACATACCTTCTTATAGTATCTGATGAAAACTAATGAATAGGGATATATCAAGGGAAAATCCTATGCCATAAACTTGAAATAAGTTCAAGTAAATAAGACATTAAAATACATTAAGAATTCATTAAATTTAATCATGGTGAAATAGTTTTAGTTACCTAGCAATGCTGCATTATATTTGAGTTAAAAGACGCTGTCATAAGAATGTTTACCTAATTTGGAATATTTTGTAGGTTAGTGCAATACACTAGCCGTTTAGTCTGGCACCAACTTGAATCAAGAAATGCAAATAAATACTCTGTGGATAGAATTAAAAGTTTAGAAAATACCTTAAGTACTTTTAGGAAAGGTAAGTTTGTAACATTAATTTATTTTTAAATTAATTTATTGGTCAATTACATTTTTATTATATTATCGTTATTAATTTGTTAATAGATTAAGAACTGATATAAAAAGTTAAACAATGACAAAATGTTGTTCTGTATGCAATCAATAACTGATGGACAGTTATAATTACATTTACACATACAAAAATTAATAATAGATTTATAAAGCTACTAGCTGCCCGGACAACCTACATTCTTATTTTTTTAAATTATATTAAAACCTTCCGTGAACCTTAAGGAACATATGAAAAAATAAATTAGTCAAATTGGTCCAGCCATTCTTGAGTTATGCGCTTACCAACAATCATTTTTATTTATTAAGATTGTATCTAATTCTTTTTTTTCACAGTTCTCAGGTTGGGAAGATGTGTGGACATTTTCTATACAGCTCTTAACAGCATTCATATTGAAGATCCTTTCCTGCGATTTACCCTGACTACTAGCAAATTAGCCCATGCTCTGTATCTTTACGCAGACCACATAGTATGGTTATCAAAGAGTGGTTTTTTGAAATCTGACTCGGATGCCTGGAGTCAAACTGCCAATAGATTTTGGCTATTATCAATCATTGCCAATTTAGCTAGGGACTTTTATGAAATTTTGCATGTTCTGGATTTAAAAAATTCTATGTTTCTAAAAACATCAGATTTACTGAAAGGATCTGTGAGACAGTTTGACTTTAATGCAAGCTTGAAACATCTTCATGCACTACTTAGGTGCCATAAAGACATTTTTATAGATACAGTGAAGAATTCTTGTGATTTGTTTATTCCTCTGACTTCTTTAGGCTATACTAAATTTAGTCCTAGTACAGTAGGAGCCTTAGGAGCAATATCGTCATTAGCTGCCTTGGTCACTCTGATAAAACCTATAACAAAACTAACACCGGCTTAAAATATTTCACTTTTATTTTAGGTATTGATGTACTGAAACTCGTTTGAACTTTTATATATATACAATAATAAGATATATTTAACAAACAAGAGAATATGCATATATTTTTTTATTTTATACTTAGTTAAGACTATGCATTGGTAAGTCAATTGATAACTTACAATAAATGGTGTAATGGTTTAACTTTGAAGTTTTCTTGATTTACATTGTTTAATAACATTACATACATAGAGATTGCATTTCAACCTTGTTACCGGTTTGAGCTTTTCTTCTTCTTCTTCTTCTTCTTAATAATGGCTTGCTTTGTGAGCTTTTCTTCATAAAGGCATTGCACCTAGTGACTTTTTAAACCGGATTTTTTAAAGTCAACGATCCGCGAGAAGCATGCAAAGAGTATCTAGTAACATAGTATAGAGTTGCGTTAAAAAATATATCGAAATTGACACGCATTCGATACTCTAAAATAAATAGGTACTGATATAGTTAAATACAGCGTGTCTTTACAATCGCGACAATAAATGAACACACATATAGAGGATAAATTTTTAAAATTGTATTAAACATTTACATTCTTGAAACATCAATATTTACCGAGTTATTAAATTTTCCAAAACAAATAATTTTAGAACACACTTACGTATAAACCTGTAACGTAAAGTTCCTATAAAAAGATCACAAAGCATATGAATGGGTTGAATGAATTTAAAAGAGACAAAACATACTGTTAGAAGGAGAGGCTTGTAATGCGACGCTGTGGCAACGAATGAAAAGTCTCGGAATGTATGAATCAGTTGTAGTTTTAGAGGTGTAACAAATTTTGTTTCTTTTTTATTTAATTTGCTGGTTTAAAAATATTTTTTTTTTAAATTTTGGATTTACGTTTATATTCTTTTATGATTATTGGCATGTAGCCATAGACATAAGACATATATACTGAAATGACTGCATGTAGCGTTAGACGTGTGTTCAATTATTGTCGCGGTTGTTACGACACAGTCACACTGTATATTGACAAGTAAAGGTATTTGAATTGAAATAATTTTTTTTGTGAAGGTACACCCCTCGCACGCCCACTTAACCCCCCCGATAAAAGCGGTAATTTAGTACACTACAGTGCTACACTAGGCACGTTGCTCGTCCATTCAAATTTAGAAACTTGCTGTAGTGCAAACTCCAGTCAGATAATAGTTACCGATCGAGCCGAGGTCCGGCCCTCTCGGGCACAATCGAATCAGAATGCTAAACGCGTGCTGAGTGACAGCCCAAGCCGAGGTCCTCTCTCAGGGACCCTTGAGCCTGATCACTCCATGGAGCGCCCGCCAAAGCGCCCTAAGGGCTTGGCGGCCTCCCAAACCAGTGGAAATAATAGCGTGACGGCCCGAGCCGAGGCTCCCTTGGGAGCCCTCGAGCTTAGTCACCATAACGCGTAATAATAATTCGCCGAGGTTTAGCCCGGCCACCTCAAGTCCGTCGGATCTGTAAAGGCCCCTAAGGCCAACAGTGGCTCATCCAGCCGACACATGTCCGGTGCCTATCACTTGCCACAGTACTTTTACTCGCCTTGTCCATGCCCAATGTGTATTTACAAATAGTTTTCAAAATTTCAGTTAAATTTTTTGTCACTTTTGCTGTAAGCATACCCTGCGCATGTACAAATTAATTTGAAAGATTTTCCTTGTGATAAGAATGGGAACATATGTGAATCAATATTGTAACGAATGGGATAAATGTACGTCGCCCACATCCAAAGTTAAGCTTGCGCCTTTATTTGCACAGAAGCTATCGCTGATGACTTTGACGGCGAAAATAATGTTGGTGTCTTATTATTACTGGCAGACGAAGCAGAATCTAAATATTTTTTCTTAATTTTATGTAAGGTAAACGCCACCAAATAAGCTTTTATGGTTTTTATAGTAAATAAAATAAATAAAAATAAAATAAGCCTTTATTACTGTTAGTCTTTACAATCTTATTCTTACGTGTTATACTAATCACTATTTAAATTAATACTAGGTACACCTAATTGTGGTCTTTAAGTATATCGGTAGTGGGTTTAATAATCTGTAGCAGCTTGTCTCTCGACAAAGGTTTTTCTATTAGGTGAAAATGAATGTTAATTTAAATTACGCTTTATAATGTATATTATGATGACATTTTGGTGCTGCAGCTACTATAAGCTACAGATTAAGCTAAAATTCGGCTACATTAGGGCACCTAGGCTTAAAATGGCGACATCAGGAGGGCCTACAACGCCATTGTTGTTGGCAACACTGATGACTAATACTCCGACGCATTGTTGCACAACCATCGATAGTTTGTTAATCGATAATTGGCCTCCAAAAATATTCTGGACATCGATTGTATTACCGATAATATCGTCAATACTGTTGATACCATCGATGGTATCGATAGCTGTTTACCATCTATAATATTGATAAGTGTAATACCATCGATCCTGTCGATAATAATGGATTCGATAATATCGATAGTATTGCAAAAACCATTAGTCTATACCAAAAACTCTCGATACTGTTGGTGATATCGATGATTTTGTACTATCAAATAGAATAGCCTTTTACTGGCTATCGATAGTACAAATCTATCGATAGGTTTTTTCAAAAACTAATGCAAATTGCAATACTATCGCATGCATTACTATCGATAGTATTGCTGTTATCAATAGTATTGCACTTGGAGAGCTATCAATGCTATCGGTAGAATCAGCAGTATTGACAATACTTAGTTTACGGTTGTAGGGCCACGCAGCAGCCTCGGCTGTTGCACGAATGGGCAGGCCCGTCCGGGCGTCTGGTGAGTGAGGTAGCCGGAGCCCAATTTTCAAAAGGTTGTCAACGCATCTGTAACCTTCGGGTGTGGCAGATGTCCATGGGCAGCGGTATTCACTTACCATCAGGTGAATCGTCTGCTCGTTTGGCAACTTTTCACATAAAACAATAAAAAACTATCGATATGCAACACCGTATATCGATATTCAGTATATATGTCTTATCTATGTGCAACACTACCGACGTCCGTATTTGATAATTTTTTGTTTATAATATTTCCTTTTTTGGTATGTATGATTACGCCTTGAATTGACTTAAAATAATAAATTAAAAATGGCTCGCAACATAGCAGAGAATGTAAGAAAGTTATTATTGCTTGGTCATTGCGTACCCACAGTAAAACAAAATGCTGCAAAAATAAGAGTAAAGAGGTTAGAACTAGACGAAAATTTGTTAATGGTGAGCAATTGTTATTGATAAAATAATTTACGAGACGTAAATATACTGTACTTTGGATGATCATTTTAATATTTTATTTTAATATATTATTTGAAGTATTTCAGTAAAGATGAATTTTACTATTGCTATGATCCTGAAAAGAAGTGCAAAACAGGAGACATTGTGCTTATTCAAGCTCTACCGCGAAAGCTTACAAAACTCATAACTCATGAAGTAAAAGAAGTTGTTTATCCATTCGGTGATGTGACTGATCCTATAACTGGCAAAAAGGTAGCAAAAGAAAGTTATAGAGAGGATATTGACAAACGAGCAGAAATTTACGGTAAATTAGAGACAGCATTTGATTACGAAAAAGCACCACCAAGAGGATGGCAGGACGGTAAGAAAGATTTTACATCTAAGCCAACATACACCAAATTTCATGTGTTTGATGAAAATGATCCTTATGCAATATAAATGTTTGTATAAAAGTTCTTTCAGCATGTCACACCTATGGAAGTAAAGTTGGTAGTTTGTAAATAATAATTAAAGTATGTAGTTAAAATATAAAGATTTGTTTTATTATTGTCAATAAAATTCTATTTTTTTTTCAATGAAGTCTTATTTTAACAAAGTTATGTAAGTGGTAATGTTATAGACTTATTACAAAAGTTATGTTCTATTACACTTTCACTTGTTACAATTGAGAAATAAAATTTGACAAAAAATATCAGGTATATAATAATTTGGAATGAAGTTTCTTAATACAGCTTGTGGGACATGTGCCTTAGTAATAAATATAAGAAAAAGCATTATGCCCCCAATTCCACTACCAGGATTTCAATCTCTGTCTGATGTGTACTAATGAATAGCAATAACGATATAGGTAGGTGGAAGAAAAGTAGCGGTTCCTAAATATGACCATTCCTTCATTAATTTTTTTATCAACTTACACTCAAATACTGAAAAATTATTTCATTATTGTTCTTTTTCTTAATTATAAAGTATTTATTACATATCAGCGGTAAAGTTCATCGGAGGAAACCATTTTTCAAAATAATAATAAAATTTTTTTTTCGAAGATATTTGAAGTCTGCCAATTCGCAGTGGGGCCGCATGATGCCCTGATACCCTCTGTACAGAGGAGGCCTTTGCCTGTATAGGTACAGTGGGGCATGTATAAGCTTTAATACTTTTTGAAGTTACACTTGTTTTGGCGCGTTAGGGAAAAATGAGAGTAAATTTTTACGATGTTCCTGAAGTTAGCTACTAGACATCTACGTATGTTGCGTGAGAACTGACAACTGATTCACGAAATTTATTTGGTGATATTTAAATAAACTTTATTTAACTAGATAATGCGTTATAATAAAACTTTTAATGTATTAAATATTTTTTCTATTCTTAGTGTCGTTTTTTCTACAGGCGAAAGATAAAATTTTTGAAACTTCTAACGCCTGTACATAAGTACACACACACACACACACACACTTTTTTATAAAGTGTTATTTCGTTTACTTAATAAAATAAGCTTATGTTTATGATTATATTTTCAAAAACCTCGCGCAACTTAGAAATACCTAGGTATTTTGCAGGTAATATCTTACCAACCACCTCTGTCCAATGAAATAAGTAAATGTTATCCACTTTACAAACATTGCATGTTGAAAATAAATCAATGTCAGTCTAAAAAAGTAAATGACTAAAACTTAAAAGCGTGCGCTAGCGTTAGTTCAATTCCCGTTGCAGGGTTATAAATAAAAAGGGAAGTTTTTAATTGTAATTTTAAGTGCCGACTTATCACATGTTCAGCAATTATGATAAATATCAGGTCAATTTTGTTCCTTTACTGATTATGTTTATAAGAATAACGGGATGAAATTATGAAATACCCTCCATATTTTGCTTGGTGAGAGACCCAGGCTCCCGTCTTTATAAAAAGATCAATGCATCAGCAACCACTTTGGTTATAGATAATCATAGGTGGCGGTATCGGTGTTTTTTAACGTCAGGTTAACCACGAGGTTACCCTTGTTTATCAACATTTGACATAGAAAAAAAAAAACCTTTTTATAATTTTAAAAAGAAAAATAATAAACCAAAAACAATTTATTAACCCATAGGTATCTTATAACATACTCTTAAGTAAATTGCAAACGTCGTTAGCATCAATCTTGTGCTAAAAATTCTCTTTCAAGAGCAGCGCCCATTAGATTCCAGGAACTATCATCATCATCCGGAGGTTCATCATCATCTGATTGTGGTGACGACCTTCTTGGTCTTTTGTTAGGTCTTGGAGGGTCATCTGTAAAAATTATTAAGCCCAGGTTTATTGCATGAAATATTTCTAAAAGGCCACATTTTTCCATATTTAAGTGAGACATGTGGTACTGAAAGCTGATAATAAATATAATTCTTTTGAAAGTTGCTTTATAATTATTTATTCACCAATAACCTATGAAAAGACCTAACAAGTTCTATTTTTGCTATATGTAATATGAAAGTAATCACCCCTACTGTAGGATAACTTTATCTTGTGTTGTAGTGTTTTTTTTCAACTCATATGAAATAAGAACAAACATTGATCCAAAACATTAAAAATAGTTGTATTGGGAGGGATTTCATTCCAACCACACCCATTGAGGTCTTATTGCTTATTGTGCCAAACATGTCATCAACACTTTGAAAGCATGGGATCTATTTACCTCCATCTGTATCACTCCCATCTGGATCTCGTAACCTTTCTTGAGAGCTCTCTTCTGTTTCCAGAGTAAGTAATCGATCTTCTGGTGGATTCACTTCATCATCTAGGTCATCCTGCTGTTTCGACTCATCATCAGATGAGCTTTCATCAGATTCATTAAAAATGTCTTCTACCTAGTAAAATATTGTTTTTATTCTTTACATTTATTTCTTGGTCATTTTAAAGCATTTTGAAGTTTTTATGACAAAGCTTAAATTGTGAAAATAACTGTGACTGTCATCACTCATTATAATAACAATGATTGGAATTCTAAAATAAAAGTATATTTGAAATTTGGAATTCAGTACAGTAGAATCCGAATGTAATGTCTTCATTTATGCAGAAAGCGACGAAACTTTAGCGACGAAAATGCAAACTCAGATTAAGTTTCATACAGACATACTATGAAAACATGTTGGTATAGTAGAACTCCGGTTTAAGGGACCAACTGCTTATAGTGACTTATTTAACAGTTAATTGTCCATTAAGAATGATGACCAGTGTCTTGTTTACAATACCTAAGCCAAACGTCACCAACCAAAATGTCTGAAGGCTACAGGAACACCCAATGTGCTAATTCAAACTAACTTTGACAATTATGTTATGCATAATATGATGTCTGCTGTACAAAGTTCTTACTATCAAAAAAAAACTTCCACAAATAAATATTACAGACTTTCTAAATCAGTGAATACATACATTCATAAAACATAAATTTTGATAATGTTAATACTTGTTTAATTAAATAGAAATAAATCTGTCTTAGTACATATATTATGGTAAAAAAATTCAAAATGTTTAAATTATCCGTTCATTTAGTGCATAGTAATATCGTCGGCCACTAGACTGGGTTTATGGTAATTTCAAATCTCTAATATCTCTAAATCTTTTACAGTCGCATATTAATGATGAATTTAAATGACAGTTAATAAATGTAGCTGTAGTATTGACAATGTAGAAAAGTAGCACATAATATATTAATGATACCTCTCGATCCATATCCGCAATATCATCACTTGAGAAAGATAGAAGTGGGTTGATAGTATCCATAAAGCGGCCTGAAGGAGTTCTCTTACGTAAAGCTGCCACGGGTGGTGCTGGGGGTGGGCTGCTGCAGTGAGCTGGAGGTCGCCGTGAACTGCTCTGTGGACAACCCAGTCCATAAATAATGTTAGTTATCCGGCAACTTAAACATTTAATTCTTTTGTTATTGTATTGTTATTACATTGGAAACTTTACTTTTTTATATTGTTACAAGGAATTATATGCTTCAACAAAAATGTGAATTAAAGGTGAAGTGATAAATGTAATTATCATAATGAGGAAATAGTTTAGATATTAGTAAGAATGTTTTTTTTGGATTAAGCATAAGAGTCTATAAGTCAGTCTAAAATATATCAAGTATCAAGCATATGTCTGTATCAAGTTAAATGAGATCTATTCTGTGTGGCATCTAATCTGTTTACAAGTTTATGTAAAATCAGTGTAAATATAAACAATCAATGACATGTTTACCTGTCCCCCCCTAGTTAGTGGGTATAGTCTTTCATCAACTCGTTCCCACCTCTCAGCACAAGTCCATAGCCAATCAGGTGTTACAACAAATAATTTGTTCATTTTGCCTTCCCCGATTCTCCTTGTTGCATTTACTTTTGCAGTGCCTGAGTAATAAAAGTAACATAATAAACATGGTGTTCCAGTTAACTTGATCCAATTATCACTTTATATTGTTAAATACCTGCGCGCACAGCTACTAAGTGAGTTGTATTTTCTGTAAAATCTTGAGTAACTTCAGCTCCTAAACTTCTAGCAACTAAGTAGGCTCTTGAGGTCTCTAATCTTTGATGTGTTGGTACTAAACCACTAAAAACTAGACTGACACCAGCCAGCACCTTACTCTTCACATCTGGTATAACTGCTTTCAAATCTGGGATCTGCTTGCGACCCATATTCTCATACAAATCATAAAAATGCCTAAAATTTAGAAAATACGTAATCATTATTAAAATTACTATTCCACTGTAGTTCAAATGAAAAAAATCATTTTTATATCTCTATCCAAAAATGAATTTTGTCTCCATCAAGAATAACTTTATCTTTAACATAATTAAATGTGCCTTAAAGTTTGAACATTCGTGGTTTTGTGGATAAGCAAGAGAAAAATTAACTCTTATTAACAGATTATTAGTTATCTAGATTATTTTTATAAAATAATATCGAAATTTTTATAATTTTAGAACACTGATTCTTTCATTTTATCACTTACTTATGAATCCTTTTAAGAATATCTTCTAAGTATATAAGATAGTCATCAGGGTCTTCTACTTCTATCTGCCCATCTGTTGTTTCCACCCATTGTGGTTCTTGACCTTCAGAGGGGACTCTTTCTTCATTATTTTTTCCACTTTCAATTTTATCTAATGAAACTTCATTCTCATTTTTGTTTTCTGTTATTTCCTTTGAAATAATCTTTCCATTATTGCCTTCAATTATTTTGTCACTATCAGCTTTAGTAATTTTTCTTAAATCTTCAGTTACGATTTTTTCAGGTTCAGCATCTAGAGTAGGCATTTCTTGATTTACTGGTGTCTGTGCCCCATTTTTCCCACTTGTTAATTTTGGTTTTTCATCACCTGCATACAATGCAAACGGTTTTATTTTCAATGTTAACAGGATATTCATAAAATACCATAGACTACTTAGCTTATCTGTAGTCCTCGTATCTGTCTTTCTCGAAAAGCTTGAATATGAGAAAGTCTTCAGAAGGACTGGTGTTTTTGTAGGATTGTTTATGAAGTCATAAAAATAATTATTTACAACCTGTATCTCAATCCATTGATAAAAATATAGTATAGCCATAAGGCATAGTCATAAGTAAATTGTTTACAGGTATGTATATATATATATATATATATATATATATATATATATACATACATACATAATTATACAGCATGTCGTTACCATCGTGACAATAAATGAAACTACGTCTAACGCTACTTGCTAATAAACATAAAAAAATATTAATGTTAAACAAAATCCATAATTTTAAAAAAATACTTTTCAAACAAACTAATTAAGTAAAAAAGAAACAAAATTTGTAACATCCTATACAACTGACTGATTCATACATTCAGAGACTTTTCATTTGTTTCCACAGTGTCGCATTACAAATCTCTCATTCTATCAGTATGCTGTCTCTTTTAAATTCATTCAACCCATTCATATGCTTTGTGACCTTTACAAAAGAACTTTATGTTACAGTTTTATATGTAAGGTTGTTCTAAAATTCTTTGTTTTGGCAAATTTAATAACTCTGTAAATATTGATGTTTAAAGATTGTAAATGTTTAAAACAATTTTCAAAAGTTATCCGTGATATGTATGTTTATTTACTGTCGCGAATGTAAAGACACACTGTATATATTTGGCCCTTGTCTAGCAAAGGCTTCTTCTAATAAAGGCTTTGAAACATATTTTTGTAATTATAGTAAGTATAAAGTATGTTGAATTTCTTTAAATTAAAATTATTTTGAATGCAATTATCTTGTTAATTACCTTTTTTACTTGACTTTAAATTAAAAAAAACTTTTTTAATTTAAAAAATTTTTTAAAATTCATAGCAAAAGATGTGGTTATAATAAAAGTAAATTTTTTTACCTAATGGAGGTGGTGCATTGATATCACCAGTAGATTGGAAGAAAGAGTATGGCCTGACATGGATAAGGTTTGATGCATGCCGCCAAACATCTTCACGATCATCTATAATGCACACCATGTTGTCACCACAAGGAAACAACGCCCTAAAAGATTAATTACTCAAAATTAAATATAAAAAATAAAGTGAAACATAATTGCACATAAACAAGAAAATATTTCTAAGAAAATATTTCTATAATATATATATATAAATATACCACGATGCAACACTTGTAAATTATATTAGTAATTCATCTCCTTAATTACAAAAGCATCTGTGTTAATTCTATACTATATCTTATTTTAGTAACTGTAAAAAGGAAATTTGACTCCATATTTTGAATTATTTGATAATCTTAATGTTAACAGATCAGATATGACAAGTAGGATTAAGTAGAAAAAAAATTCTAAAAAATTACTTTAAGTTGGCAGCTTTAGTTCTGGCATCAAAACATTCATCTCTTGATAGTATTCTATGGGAGAAATATTTCTTTTCTGGATCCAGTAACTCTGCCACAGCATGCGCATACTGCCTAGCTCCAAATGTACAAACATGTAGCTCATAGTTTTTGGATGCAGATTCTAAGAACAGTTTGGTTCTTGGCCTTAATCTTGTGTGACACCAACGTCCAGTATTAGCAGGTCCTCGAAGAAAAAAGTGTAAGACATCCTAGTAATAAGAAGTACAAATAATATTAAGAGTTATTATAAATTGCCTGTAAAATAAATGTCGAAATATTAAGCAATATTCAAAACAAAAATTTCATTTGTAATGCATTGCTATTTACTAGCTTTCAAGAGATTATTTTAATCATTACACCAAATGCCTCCATTATTTACCTTTAAGTTGGGTGGTACATTGTCATTTGTTGTATGAACTAATGTCTGATCAAGATCGACAAGTAGAACTAGTTTCTTATGTTTTAGCAGACGTTCAGCATCTTCACGGCCTAATTTTTGGGCCAGCTCCTCAGAGACCTGAAAAGTTTAACTTTGACTTTAGTCTATTATAGCCTCACCAAGCAGAACTTATGGAATAGCCAGTTCCCATGAAGTTTGTGCCATATTAAGTATCATTCAGGAAGTTCAAAATAAAATTTAAAAAGTTTGTAAACAAGACCTTCATACAAATGTTAATTATTAATATTTTAATTTATTATGAAAATCTATTTTAATCCATTAAAAATTTCTAGTACCTTCAACTCTGGTACGGAGTGAACCATGGGTATTATAGCAACATCTTGCTTAACCCCTTCTTTTGCACGGAGGTCTGCACCGCACTCGGCGCACATTTCTTTCATTACAGTGGGGTGTCGGCATTCTTCTAGATCTGCTACACATCCCCTGAAACATGTAAGAAAAATATGGCATCATCTAAAACACTTACACAGTAGTGTATATTTGTACACTAAGTACTTATAAACAGTAATAATGGTTAAGTGTAATCTATTATGAATCATACTTTTTACAAATACAAGGTATAAAAATAAAAAAAATAAATTCTAATTAAAACTATTGAAGGTATGTAACAAATAATTTTAGAAAATGTCAATTTTGTCGCTTGTGTTTGCGTTTTGCCGCGCAAATTTTTGTGTACAATTTTTCTTGTTTCCATTTTTCCAACATGAATAACTTTAAATAACTATGTAGCAGCATTTAAAGTTTTGAACTATATATTTAAATAGGAAACCTTTTTAAGAAAAATAAAAAAAAATATATTGTATTGCATGAGTAAAGAATGTTGTGACGTCACTTACCCAGGTTCTGCGATTTCCCCTTCTTTCACCTTGATCGATGAGATAGTACCAGCGCGAAGCGCTTTGAATTTCTTGAATTCATTACCGTTACCAGAAGAATCGCTGTATAAAAATAATATTTGACCATGTAACACAAAATCACCTTGTTTTACTTTCCATTTTGTCACTTTTACGGGTTTTTCTAATGGAACAGAAATAGGCATAGTTTTGTCGGCCATCTTGAACGGAAATAGCGCGTTAAAGTTACGATGAAGTCTGTTCATTGGTTGATATTTCAGAAATTTGGCGGTTACTCAATTTCTACCAATGAAATTTACCGACGGATACATCGATTCATTATCATAGATCTAATGTTTTTTATCCTCCTATCACATGAGGTTCAAAAGCAAAGTTATAGTGTTGCTAGCTAACTCTTACTGCTTGTTTATGGTTCTATCCAAATTAAAAGAAAGAAACTACATTTATTTACCAAAAAAAAAAAGAACGTACACAACAAAAGATAAAAAAACTAAATTTAAAAATACATAAAAAACATTTAAAAAATACTTATGAATAATGAAGTAAAACAAAACAACATAAAAACATAATTAAAATATGAAACAAATGTAAAATAAGTTAAGCAAATAAAAAATATTGTACGGCGTACTTCGGCCCTACTTCAGTAAATTAGCTCAGCATTATGCTGTGTCGGAAGACAAGACCCCACACAGCGCTGAGTTTCAGTGTTGATTTTCACGCAATACTTCGATGCCTTACTGACCCATACACAACGAAGTAATACTAATAACAATTATAGTGTAACTTATTAAAATTAATTATATAACTAAAGAAAGTCTTCACAATATTAAAAATAATTGACTATCCCAACGATTAAGAGGCCCATTAACAATATGGCGGTATGATAGTCTCTCCTTCATGCACTATAATAAGAAAAAACAATAGAAATTAGTAAAAAAACGTTATGAACTAATACTAAGATAAACGCCCGGTTTCTGTAACATTGATCATCGTAGAAATTAACTAATCAGCTGTCAAATGTCATTTGAGGTGCCAAAAGGTGATCACTCAGTGTTTTAGAAACCTACCCTAGAAAACAAATATTTTGGTCTTTTCGACATTATTATCTATTAATTCCTAAATTCCTAATAAATTTCAACGTTATGCTGATTAAAAATTAAACTTTTTATTAGTTGAATTTCTTATCGCGGAGATGCTTTTAAAATCCAAAATTAATTCGTCTCGCAACCCGGTGCTGCCGGCGACCTATTATAAACAAGCGTTGATAAAATCAATTGGTATCATCCCGTTACTCCTTGAACTGTGCATCCGCGATGACACCTACCTATGAATGCAGCAGAAGAATGGGTCGAAAGGATACAATGGTGCGGACGGCGGTGGCGTCGTACACACAAAATAAAGAAAACAGAGAAACTTGTTTTCTCTATTTCGTGTTCTTACAAGGGCTATGTTGTTTCAACTCAGTCCGCACGTGTTGAATATACCGAATAATCTGTCAAAGCCGGGCCAGCACGGTACTGCACTTTACAAAACAAAATACATTTCCTACTATATCGTTTTATTATTATGATCATATCATTCAGCTCATTCTATCCACTGCTGAACACAGGCCCAAAGATTGCCACCTAATACGATCTAGAGCCACCCGCATCCATCGGGTTCCCGCTCATTTAGACAGTTAAGATCTCATTTGATAAATTATTTATTATTTTAAAACCACATAAATTTAATTGGCATATTCTCACCACTTTCGAAAGTTTCATTTCATAAATGCTGACTATTTTTATTTGATAAGATATCTGTATTACATCCACTCTCCAGATTAAATCATTAGGATTGAAATGACGTTTCTTCGATAGCGGTTGGTTTATGTTTTTGTGTGATATCTGTCACAGTCACAGCAACAGCAACAATATACATACCAAGATTGTGTACTATTGAGTTATATTTGTTTTGTTATAAATTTGATTTTTATATAATATATAAAATGGTTGATGAAAATATAACAGTGAGTGATAATTCAGATATAGACGAAGGCGGTACCGCAGAACTTCGTGGTTACCTTAGTAAATGGACGAATTACATTCATGGTTGGCAAGATAGGTTTATCGTTTTAAAGGATTCAACATTATCATATTATAAAAGTGAATTAGAGAGTAATCTCGGGTGTAGAGGAGCGTTATGCTTGAAAAAAGCCAAAGTAAAGGTAAAAAAACTCTTATCTTTAATTTACGTAAAAAAAAATCTTGTCCTTGTAGTTATTAAGTATCTTCCTTACAGTAATAAAGTGTAATAGAAGAATACTTGCGTTTTGCTACCTAAACTGAACCTCATTTTTTATGATTTCAAGCACGTGATATGACTGTGCTTAATTATTTCCTTTTGTGTTGTGTAAATAAAACTAAACCTCAAGAAACTGGTGTAATGATTTCATATACAAATTCTGCCTTAGAAATTTAAATAAGACAATTTGTTTGTATGCAATTTTATGTAATTATTATGTTACAAGAAGTCAAGAATGTTATCATTATATTTAATTAAACTATTTTTTCAGCCACATGAATTTGATGACTGCAGATTTGACGTATCAGTAAATGATTGTGTTTGGTACTTACGAGCATCAAATCCTGAAGAAAAACAACAATGGATTGATATCCTGGAATCTTTTAAAGTAAGAAAAATAATTAATAAAAAAATCATTTATATAGTTGAATAATGTTCTTATGTAACTGATAATTTTTTAGACATAATTATCCTTATCATTTACTTTTATCTATATCTTTAAAAAGTTAATGATTCATTGGTAATGATAACAATTTCAAACATTTAAATGTTTATAATAATTTGCAATGCATGGACAGTTTAATTTTATTTACTGTTCATTGTTTTTCATGTTTATTACTATTATTATTGATGTGAGTCAGGATATTAGCTAAGGATTAAATTCTACATTCCATTATAAAATTAATAAAATGGAAATAATATTCATAGATAGCATAGCTTATTAAATAGACTGGAACATTTTATGAATATTTTCATAGAATGTTATATAAAAAAGAATAATAACAAGTCATCTGGTGAAAACTAGATATTTCATTCAAATTGTTGACTACAATCAAGTCTTGGAACAATAATAAATCATAAATATTGTTGTATTGTACATATAAAAGAAATTGTTTTATGCTATAATTTTATATCTTTAGTGTTTTGTGTGGTTAGGGCCACGTAACAGTTTCGGCTGTTGCATGGATGGACAGGTCCATCCAAGTAAGTACCACAAACTCACAGAAGACCGGCGTGAAGTGGAAGTGTTATACTTCTGGGTTTTGTCTGGTGAGTTAGGTAGCCGGGGTCCACTTTATTAAAAGGTGGCAACACATTTGCAACCCTATCGGTTATCACTTAACATCAGATGAACCATCAGCTTGCTTGCCACCTTCTCACATAAAAAAAATCTAGATATTTAGATTGAAATGTTTGAACATAATTAAATAATTAATTGCACTGGTTTCATATAAATTGCCCTGTATTAGATGTTTAATTTTCTTTTTTTAATTGTATATGGAAATACTTTATGAAATTAAACAACAATTACAGGTAGAGTCAGGGTATGGAACAAGTTCAGATAGTAGTTCCAACGGAGGTGGTCTGAGACGGCATGGCTCTGTAACCTCTCTTCAATCAACTGGTTCCAATGGTAATTTGCAATTGTTTTAATTAGTGGTAATATAAAATGTAAAAGTATGATGCTGAGGAAAATTTTTGGTGAGGAAGTGGCCCATTAACATATTTTAATAATTCCATTTATTGTTTGGTATAACTATTAAATTATTTTGGTGTCATAAATAGAGATTAACTATCATTTAAATAGAGATACCTAATACTCCAAGTGTGATGTAACGACATGAATGCTATACCTACAGTATTAATAATATTTTCTTATCTATATTTCCTTTGATGTAAATATATTTGAACTTAAATTTTTGTATCAATGCTTATGTTAAATATTTTAAATTTGTGTACCAGAACCATTAATTAAGGACCCCACAATAAGATAATTTTATTTTTTTATTATCAACTATATTCAAAATTATTTTACTTATGAATTACTACAGTACATTAATTAAAATGCACAAAATTTTAATGTCAAAATGCTTTTTTTTTCAACATAGATTACTGCCTATGATAGTTTTGTTTTTAAATCCATCGAACCCTCTGTAAAAAAGCAAAAAAATTTTTATGTGATTGACTACTGCTGATTGTATTGATGCAACTAATACCACCCTTAATTTTTAATTTTCACCACACTCTGTGCTAAACATCTTCCATCATTATATTTGGTACTTTTAGTGGGACATGATACATACATAAACTTCTGCAAGTGATGTGCTATCTACCTGGATCGAGTTAATGTCAAGTTTCTAAAACGTTACAGGTCGAACCTCACGTCGCCTTACGGAGAAGATCGCCGAACTGGATACATACAGGGAGTTGCTCTCAAAGCAAGCCACGCAATTGCAGCAGTACTTCGACACCTGTCTCGCCTCGTGCCCTCAGATCAACGATGAAACTATGGAGGCCATCGATGCGGTTAAACTGGCTGATGGTAATGCACGGCCTATGTTTAGCTAGCTTATATTTTGAATATGAACATTATTTTTGTATTTAGTGGACTTGGTCGTTTCTACGTAATATATCAGTAATGTGAAATTATCTAAGAAAAAAATATAAAAGAGTTATTCAGATTTATGACGATTGCGATGTTCTAATATATAAAATAATTTCGTAACTATGATTAATACATACACATTTGAAATTAATGACTTGTTCATTACCCATTTGACTAATTAACAAGATTGTTCATTTAGCACATGATAGTTTATTGTTTATAGGCTGTGGCTACTATTATTAGTTAATTATCAAATTCTTTTTACGTGAAGATGTGCGGAAGATAATGTAATATGGGCTCCATGGACCTACATATTTTCGAAATAATTACAAAAAGTTAAATCGAAAGCCTAACCAAAGAGAGTATATACACTTTATGTGAGCGGGTGGTAAGCAAGCTGGCGGTTCACCTGATGTGAAATGATAACCGCTGCTCATGGACCGTAGGGTTTCTCATGCATTGGAGCATCAAAAAGATGCTTGCTACCTTATAATAAAGTGGGCCCCGGTTACCTCACTCACCGGACGAAACGCAGAAGAAGTGTAACACTTCCATTTCACGCCGGTCTTCTGTGAGGTCGTGGTACTTACCCGGACGAACAGCGAAGACTGATTGACCCGGATGAACAGCTTGGTCATACACAGTTATATCTGGACTATGGAGGACTATGACTGAGGAGGCCTTTGCCCAGCAGTGGGACGTGTTTAGGCTGTCACTTAGTTTCACCCGCAGGCGTGGACTTGCGGGGGTGTGCGGGCGGGGTGCGGGCGACGGGCGCCTCGTTCAGGGCCACGTGCGGTGCCACCATCGCCACTCTCCAGCACTGCGTCGAGCTGCTCAGGCGCCGCGAGAAGCAGGCCCGCCAGGCGGAGGAGCTATACATGTACGTACTACTGGGTGTGGGGGTACGTGATTTGTGGGAGTGGGGGGTTTTTTTTAATGGGAGAAAGTGGTAAACGAGCTGGCGGTTCACCCGATGTTAATTGCTAACCGCCGCCCATGGACATTTGCAACGCCCGCAGGGTTGCAAATGCGTTGCGTTATCTTTAAGAAAAGTAGGCCCCCGGCTACCTCACTCTTACCGCCCTCCAAGATGGGTAAGGCCGCGCATGAGGCGCGGAAGACACCCTACAAACTCGTGGGGTAAGGGTAGCCCACAGGTCTGTGTTCGATGAAGCTTTAGACGATGATAGTCTACGGACGAAAAGCGAAAACATCAGTTAATAGAAGAAGAAGCTTTAATAGTATACGGACAGAAAGGCAAAACATCACTTAACATAAGAAGAATAATAGGATAGCCTTTTTGGCATACGAGAGGGCAATACTATGCCCCGCACGTGCTCCAGGAAGCATTTCAAATATTTTCGATGTTTTATTGGCCTTAACAATTCCTTTTTGTAGTGGTACAAAAGTAGCCTTTGACCGTGTTTTGTTATGCGAAATATGACTTACATCGGCTATTCTTGCACATTTGTAATATATAACAGTGCGTTTTTATTAAAAAAAGGTGTTGTATAATATTTATTTTCGAAATTTATTAATTTTCGTACTTGGCCTTTAAGTTAAGTTTGATTTTATTAATGGAAAAGTGATTTTTTTAAAGGAGCAAGCAATTACGTGCGGGTAATTGATCCGCTATGACTCCATGGAGTAAGTAACTCGTTTATGAGGCGGCGTACGCTTCTTCAACAAAATCCTAGTAAATGCGCCAAGCAAAGCTATTAACAGATTTAAGAAATTTATTATAGAAAAACTTTATAAAAAGGGTTACCATAAATACATTACTGACAATAAATAACGACGAAGAGTTTCCTTTCTTTGCAAACACGCGCAATCCATTGTTTTTTTATGGTTAATTCGGACTAAATTTATTTTATTTATTTATTTTATTTAAACTTTTACACAAAAAATATAAATTGTGTATAGGCGTATATATTACTTAATCAATATGGGCGACGCAGAGACAAAAGAGAAATTTAGTTTGTTAGATTCAAGTCTGACTTAATTCGAAAGGTCGACAGACAAGGTAATCCCCATATTAAGGGCCGTACGTCTGAGATAAATTTGCCCGGCAGATGTGTATATAGCATTCACCGCCATCCGGATAGCTTATATATTGTAGTAGCTTTGTGGGATACCAGCGTCGAGTTATTTGGCGTCAGAGTATGCACCGTCAACAACAACCTAGATGCTTCAATGCATGAGAAATTGGTGGTTCAATTGTACAATTTCTAAGGAAGTCCCTAAGTGATCTTGGGAAGAAGTGCTTCGTGCAAAATCCGATGGAAGGCTTTCGCAACGTCTTGAAGATCACAGGCTGAGGAACACCGACGGAAACCATGAAGGCGATCGTTAATCAGCTGATATTTGTCGAGGCATCTGAGGAGTTGACAGTTCATTATAGATTTTTATGTATTCGTCGGCCCTGTGATACAATCGCAGCTATTATATAATATTCAATTTGCTACTGTGTTGATTTTGCACGCGTTCGACTGCCTCGGACCATCAAACATCGTGATTAAACTGACATGTCAGCGAAATTAACATTACCATAAAAGATTACTACATCCAGTAACTTAGTGGGTATGCATTTAAGAACGAAAACAACACAGATAACGTAAAGGGTCTTTAAAGAGCAAGTTGCTCTTTTCAGCAAAAGACATGTTGGTAAGTGTTCACTGCCGATCGAAATGTGGAACAATATATTGAGGACTGGGATGTCTGGAAGTGATTTCTGGTCAGCACTCGATCTCCCGTGGCTGCTGCTGACATTACGCCAATATGTTTTCTTAAGACAAGTCTATTGAGAATTTATTTGAATTACTTTTCGTCCAGTGGTCGAAAATCGATCACATTCTTTTTTGACAATTCGATGATTGAAATGAAAATGATGATTCGATATTTGTATATTGTTATGATGTTTTGACTGTACTTGGTGTTCTTATCTTTAAGTTATTGTTACGCTTATACATCTACCTATTGTTTATTTTTTATTCTAAGATATAGTATAAACAATTGTTGATATGCCTTTTAAAAATAAATAAAAATGAAACGTATAAAATTTATAATTTTTCCAACAATTATTTATTTTTCGTTTAATTCAATAATTATATGTTCACTTACATTAGAGAACAACTTCAGCACCATATGTACTGAAAAAATGTTAGTGTTTCAATGTTTGTGTGTGGTAGGGCCACGCAGCAGTTTGGCTGTTGCACGGATGGGCAGGCTCGTCTGGGGAAGTACAACGACCTCACGGAGCAGCGGCGTGAATCAGAAATATATACTTTTGCGTTTCGTCTCGCAAGTGAGGTAATGTCTGCACCCGTCAGGTGTCGTCGATGTTCATGGGTGGCAGTAATCACTTAACATGAGGTGAACCGCCCGCGTGCCAACTTTTACAAAAAAAAAGTAATAATGCATGGACCTTCAATAAAGTAGGTACCGTTTTCACTTTACCCATTTATATAATTACGGAGGACTAGCTTTTCGCCCGCGGCTTCGCTCGCGTTGAAGCCCTTAAATAAATATGTTTCAACCCTTCACAACAATTTTTTCCTTTAAATCTTTCATTTATAATTTCATTTAAATCGGTTCAGTAGTTTTGGAGAGAGAGCGAGATAGACAGACAGACAGAGTTACTTTTGCATTTATAATATTAGTATGGTTAACATCTAAGAGCGTCAGTATCTTGTCTTGTTGATCCAAATTGGGGAGCTAGTGGCGGTTTTTGACGATAACTATATAAAGTTTGTACATCGATTTCGCCAAATTAAAAAGGCAATAATTTTTGAAGATAAACGAAGTACGTATTAATATAAACCGGACGTAATTAACGCCAAAGGATTAGGTAGTAGGAGCGAAGAAGTATAATTTAATTTTTAGTCATAGTAGTTTACTGATTTATGTTGTACTTACTTAAAATCAATGCAAGCTGAATCCGATTGAAATTGGATTAAACTCGTTCAGTTGAATTTAGATTTGTCTTGTTTTGGTTTTAAATCAGTTCAAAAGTAACTTGAAAGAAATCTTTACAGTTGTTATTTTTTAACAGTTGCTTTGTTTCAGGGCGCTGAAGAATCAATTGACGGAAGCAAGATTGGCTTCCAAGCCCGGACCGGATCACGAGGTGAGTTATAAAAAATTTACGATATATAAAATACTAGCGTTTCGCCCGCGGCTTCGCACGCGTTGACGCCCTTAAATATTTTTCTTTAACCTTTCAACCCTTTTTTTCTAATTAAAAAGTAGCCTATGTCCTTTTCAGCTCTATCTAAACTATCTACCAAATTTCATTGAAATCGGTTCAGTAGTTTTGGAGTGAAAGCGAGACAGACAGACAGTTACTTTCGCATTTACAATATTAGTATGGATAGGCATAATGACAGGAAATATGACTTTCAAAATGTAGATTATAATCCTAGGGACGTTTACAAGTTAGTTTTCTGGATTGTTTTCTTTGAACTGTCAACAATAAGGTTTGTGACCTGGTTAACTCGGGCTATTCTCTTTTTTAGAGACACAAAAGTATCTATTTACATATTTAAAAACAAAGTCGAGACTTTTTGTTGGTTTTAAATATCTTTATAAGTAAGGTATCTTTATAATTTACGATATACTGAGTTTTTTTACTGGTTATAACGCTACACGCACACGTCTAACGCTACTTGTCAATAATCATAAAAAAATATTAACTTTTAAAAAAATACATAATTAAAAAAAATATTTTTCAAACAAAGAAACAAAATTTGTAACATCCTATACAACTACAACTGACTGATTCATACATTCCGAGACTTTTTCATTCGTTGACACAGCGTCGCATTAGAAGCCTCTCCTTCTAACAGTATGTTTTGTCTCTTTTAAATTCATTCAACACATTCATATGCTTTGTGACTTTTATAATGAACTTTACGTAAGGGTTTTCTAAAATAATTGGTTTGGAAAATTTTATAACTGTAAATATTGATGTTTAAAGAATGTAAATGTTTAATACAATTTTAAAAAGTTATTCTCTATATGTGTGTTCATTTATTGTCGCGATTGTAAAGAGACGCTGTATATCGCCTCACGATTGGCAATATCTCATATTTGTTAATTCTGTTACTTATTATTTATAAGCAACTTTACAGCTGTATAGTATGAACTAAATTGTATCAAACAGGTTCTAATTCGAAGAAATAGATTCGTTACATCAGCACTTTGCAAATAACTAAGCCCGTAATTTGAGTTTCAACTGTGTGCAAATGAAACGTTATAATTGATTTCTCATTCGAGTTTAGTGTGTGTGTTTTATACATATCTATACGTACTTTGCGGTGTATCTCTAGAAATAAAACGCATTTTTCGTTAGAAAAAATAATAAAAAGTACGTCTGAAACAGAAAAAGCGTCTTTATTGTCCAAAGCTGCAAATATGCTGAAATAGCGTTTTTCAAATGTTGTTTTTACAAATAGGTACGTTTCTAAATTTTTCTGTAACAACCACTCAAATGTAAGATAACAATTTTATTAATGTAAAATTTTTTTTCAATTTTAATTTAGAACTAGCCATTTAATAGAATAAAAAAATTTCAAAGAAAATAAAAATTCGACTCGCCCCCTTATAATTATTTTTTTTTCCGATCGCTGTTCTTGAGTTTAAAAAGTTTTGCCTATTTTCGTTCTTTAAACAAAACATACTATCATAGTTATCTATTGTTTCCTACTAACTCATTCTCCATATTAACACCGTAACTTAACATTTTAATTTTTTAATGCCTTAAAATATTGTCAAAAACTTTATTGAAAACAAAAGAATGTGCTGTAAAAATTGTCGAATCGAACTGAAAACTTTCACTGAACTTTTGGCAAAATTAATGGAAAAAGGTTTTTAATACGACCCATCTAAACTCTTTCATGGCTTCTCGGGTGGTAATATTGTCTCGTGCAAATTGGATTTCGTTCGGTTAATTGACTTTATTAATGAAAAACATGTCGAAAATATACTTCAGAACGACTAACTACCCTAAACATTAGTGTGTATAGCTCGGTATATTGACCTTGAGGTTTAACACTGTATGTGTATTTATTTTGTACTGACTCGTAAAATATTTATGGGTAATGATTCATACACGACGTTACTGCATCTGACAAAATTCAATTAGGTAATAAAGCCTATCGCAGACTTGGCTATAATATTTATATTAATGTAATATTTAGAGAGGAATAGAAATACTTGTGGCGACGAGAACAGTGTTAGTAGGGCAAAAATATATATTATTCTCCCAAGTCCCAGTTTGTGGCATCTTGCTGATATATACAGGGTGTTACAGAAAGGTGTTGTAACATATAAAGGCGTGTATATATATCAGACTTTGAATCAAATGGCATAATTATAAAATACGAATCTAAGCATTTTTTGACGATAAAAATTTAAAAAATTATTAACTGTAACAACCCTGATTATAGAAGTCACTGACCGCGCATCGGTGTTATCACTCCAAACTCACACACGCATACATCACTTCAGCACTTGGGATAGTCATTGTCACTAACTTAAAATACACCAAGGTCAAGGGTTGCTTCGTCATTTGCGAAGCTACGACGCGTATGGGCCGCGGACGCAGACGAGGGGCGATCCTTCCAGCTCCTTTTTAACACAACTGGCAGCTGATCTAAATTTGTTTCAGCATTCTTGCTTGCTGTTTACTTGTTTCGGCTTTTGGCAAATGCTTCTGGTGCAGTTGGTGAGCCTCCCGTAGTACGCGCATACGTCCAGAACATCTTTGCAGAAATAATTCGTACGTAGAAGCGACAGTTGCGTCAAAAGCTGGTGTAGTTGAAAAGTTCAAAGTAAATCGATGGTCGTTTTAGCCGCAACACTGAATAATATCATGTAGTATTTACTGAGCATATGACTATGTCTGAGACATCTTTTATCAATAATGAATCGATAACTATAAAATAAATATAAATCGACTTCATGCCTAAATGGCTGGAGAGTAACTGATTTGAAAATTTAAGTAACACAAAGGAAGCGACATCATATTTTATGTATTTACCTACCTAAGCGGTAGCGGCTTATGTAGTTAAATAAGCAACGTTTGTGCAAGACTATTTCGCCGCGCCGACAATAAGGTTACCATGTCTACTGAGTAAAATTTTAGGACGGCGGTATAATTGGCAATAAAGTAATAAACAACTTTTTTTCGGTTTTCTGTTAATAGTATTCTACCATTGGCTACTAAAAAACTAATCAAATAACACTTTAAGAAACTAATTGACCTTCTTTAAAATATCACAAAATTCAAACATAACCGTTGTGATTATTAATTCGCTTTACCTAATTTAGAAACTTTTAGACTCATTTTAAAGTATTTGTTTTATTTTAAACTTTCCATTTCACTACTTCAATCGAGGACACACCACGCCGGAAAATAAAAAACCTTAATTTGACTATTTACAACTTCATGAGGCAATATGAAAATTACAAAGAAAAATATTAATGCTAAAGTAATGCTAGCTTACACTGTATCAATTTTTCTTAGTTTCTAACTCAAAGTAAAGACTAAGGAGTCTATGAAAATTCTGGATGAACGGAACTCTGAATATCGGGATATTCCGCGAGAATCGGTACATCTGGTAACTCTAGTTGAAACGAGCGCGGTAAATACAAAGGTGGTCTTTGTTAACTGTTATACGCGCCGACAATCTACCTAGATTGATGAAAGTGACAAGGTCATTCAAAACACGTGTAATTAGTTCGCAGTATCACAACTAATAAGTTTTGGAACTATGAAATTCTCTTTTTTTACTTTTATTTCTGAAGGATTTGTATACACTAATTGAGAATTAATACATGAAATTTTATACTGAATCTAATAAATAAATTTTCTAAGTATTCAATTTTAATAAGAACTAACATTTAGTTCACCTACTTGATTTACCACCTACTTTTTTACTTTACTTTCATAAAAATAACAGCTGTTATTTGTATTTAAAACCCAGTCGTCTTAATCGAATGTCGTAGTTGTAACATGTAACCGTTACTTTACGTTGTATTTTATTTTAGTATTAATTTGTTTAAAAATGTATAAGTATGCAGTTTTATCAACACCAGAGACTATTTTATACTTATTGAACGAAATCATTATCTTTTCATTAATCTATTCATATTATTATACTTTTACTAGCAATACGCCCCGACTTCGCACGGGTGCAATGTATTATACATAATTATAAACTTTCCTCTTGAATCATTCTAGCTAGTAAAAAAACGCATCGAGATCCATTGCGTAGTTTTAAAGATCTAAGCATACATAGCGACAGACAGGCAGCGCGACGACTTTGTTTTATACTAGGTAGTGATTGAACGAATTCATTATCTTTTCATTAATCTATTCATACTATTATACTTTTACTATTATACTTTACGACCCGTCCCAGTTCGCACGGTTGCAATGTATTATTCATAATTATAAACCTTCCTCTTGAATCACTCTATGTTTTAAAAAAAATCGCATTGAGATCCGTTGTGTGGTTTTAAAGCTCTAAGCATACATAGGGACAGACGAACAGCGGGACGACTTTGTTTTATACTAAGTAGTGATTACTGTATTTCGAATTTCATTTCGTATGATATTTCGAAGATTAATGAATCGAGCATTTTAAAACTCAAAATACTTTATAGAAAGAAAATCCCAATATATTAGTAAATTTTGACGACAGGTCATTTTATAATTTAAATTTTTATCAAGTTGGTTGTCCAGATGGCGCTGTTATTTGAATTGTTAAATTTAAATAATTATTTTGATGTCACGGATAACAAAAATAAAAATTTTATCATTTGTTCACATACATGTACGGTCAAATGAAATAAACATTATTGAATAAAAATATGTTCACTCTTAATTTGTCTAATACAAATAGGCACAACACGTACTAATATCATTGTTAATCAAATAACTGATAACCATAAATAGTTATAAGTCAATCTACAAGATGGCACTGTTTCATATTTAATAATTTTGGTCAAATAAAAAATACGAAATTTATACAAATTGACTTTACTATATCCAATACAAATAAGCATTTAGATATAAAATTAAAAAAAATAATGATTTTGGACTATATTTTTAAATGATTTTCT